CTTTCTCTACCTTCATTTCCTTTTCATCTATTTTAAATTGAATTATGCTATGAATTTATGAGATTACTGTTGCATTAATTCGATGTATTTTTTCTTCAAAAAATTGCTATGAAAATTTATTTAGGGCCTACGATTTTTGCATACATTTTTGAAGATGAATCCGGATGCTCGAAAAGTTCTAGAAGAGGAACTGAAAAAACATTTTCGAATGCGGGTTAGTCTGTTATAGGATGTTCATTATGTGCTGAACTTAATTTTAAGTAACTTTGAAATTACTTCGAGGTTATTAAGCTTGTTTCATTTTTGTTATTTGACTATGTTAGGGTTGAAAAGTTGTGAAGGTAGGTCTTGTGTCGTTCAGAATATTCAAATATGCTTCTACAGTTTTTAATAACTTTATCGATCAATTAAGTTGGAGTGAGATGATTTGCTTACTGGCAACATAAATATTTTGCAGAAAAATTATAAACCATTTCTGAACCATATCTGCTTCATCATTAAAGAATCTTAGTAGGATTTGTTATCTTTACTGTCAAATATCATTTCCAAGAAACTTAGTTACATTTAAAGATTCACTTCCCATAAATATTGTATTACGAAGTTTGAACTATATTTGTTAAAGGGTCATACATCAAAGCGTCTTCCATATAAGGTGAGCGTTGATAACTCTTCAGTTTTCTTTCGCCTTCCCTCAATTATTGATCATATGCAAACTGCATACTGGAATGCTCATCTCTAATTTCTTTAGCATGGCTTTTGTAACGAACTGTCATATTTTCTTTTGTGATTGAATATTCTGAATCACATATGTCCATATACCATGCGCTTCTCATTTTTGTATTTTGTGCTTAGCTTAATGTGGAATGATTTTTCAAATTAATTAAAATTATATTTATATTTGCAGGATTTTATTACTCTCCATTTGAAGAAGATGGATTTAGAAGATCGCGAAACACCGGAGGTCACTGACGAATTATATAACGTAGGTTTTTTTTAATTTTTTTTTGACCTGTGTTTGCTAACGTGCATTTCGTGTTTTAGTATTTCATTACTAAACGTTTTAAAACAACAAATTTTTTTTTTTTTTTTCTTTTTGGTTGTAATCACCAACTGGACTGATAGTTAGCATATATATAGAAGAGTATATAATATATTGTTACTTTGTAACCCAATTTTAAGAATTTCAGTCCTTGAAATATACGATATCATGAAGTTTTATTGATTTGATGTTGAATCTGTTTGCAAATGTATACTTTTAAGGTAATGGAATCCATTCGTGCACACCGTGAAGCATTACGTAGTTATCGGCAGACAGGTTGGTGGACTGGTAGTGCTGCTAGTGCTCTTGCTACATCAACCGATGAAAATGCAAAGCCAATGACTGTACGCCGTTCATTCCAAAGGTGAGTTTATTTATATTTCTTTTTCTATAATTAAATACTCTTAAATACATAAAATGCTTATTTTCAAATTTTTCTTTTTAAATGTATTCTTTGTATTTAAACCGTCAAAAATTTCATATGATATTCTGTTGTTATAATTTTTTTGATTATATTAATTTTAGACAACCTTTGGAAGGAGCACCAGAAAATGAACCCGTTACACCGGTCCCTACAAAGCCAAAACTTACAGCTAGTGATGTGGAACCATTGAAACAATTACTGAATATGCGGCGACAGCAACAATGAACAAAATTATTTATGATAATATGCATTTGATTTTTTATTTTTCCTTTCATTAAAAAGAAGCGTAAAAGAATATGTGTAAGGAGCACATGACTTTAGTTAATTAGCTAAAAAAGGGCTATCAAAATAATTCTTTTTTAGTCGTTATCATATTTTTAAAACCTTTGATCAATTCATTGAATGTTAGCAGGAACTAATCGGTATTCTTCAAGTTCTTTATAAAAATGAGATGATATAAAAAATGATATACGTACGTAATGAAGGTGAAAAATATAATTATTTATTTTTTTGCGTATAGTTCGTTACTATACTGGCACTTCATTTCTACACTTATTTACTGGCTTCATTATATATTGAAAAACAATCTTCAATATTATCATGTTCTTATTTATTTTATAAATGTATTTATATGAGTGTTGCACCTCTAGAATTTGCTACTACTGAAAACGGGTGTTTTTTATGAAGGAATTTTTATATGGTGTATTAATAATTTCTCAATAAAAATATTTTATTCCAAACAGTAATAGCTTTTGTTTTTCGATAGCAAAGAAGTAATGCTATCTTCGAGAATATCTTTTGGTGAAGATTGCTTTTTTTCTTTTTTTTAATTTCTGTATTTTATTCAGTGTTTCATATTGTCATGTACCAACAGAATAACCAAGTCAGCAGCCATAGTGGATATTAAAGATTTTGTAGTCTATTATGGATGAGTCAATACAATGAAAAATGATACATAGCTTTGTTATTTCTCAATTAAAAAGGGCATCACTTTTAATTATATTGGCTAAAATATGTCAACGAAATGATACTAAAAGAAGGAATTAAGGATGAAGTGACACTATTAAGAGGGAATTAATTGTTGCTTAGAAGTAGAAAAGCGTTCGAAATCTATATATCGGTAATTTTTTGATGCAAATTGGAACTATGAAGAGCTGAAAGGGGGTTTCTGGGGCTGAGTGGTCTAGTGGTATGATTCTCGCTTCGGGTGCGAGAGGTCCCGGTTTCGATCACCGGCTCAGCCCACCTTGTTTACTCTTTGTTGGTATTTTAATTTCATAGTTGTTAGTTTTGAGGATGTTTGTGGGAAATTTTGAAAAAAATAAAATATGATAACACTATGGTTGTATTTGTTGTTTATTATCAAATTTAGTCTTTCATTTCCTTCTCATATAACTTTAACTGTTAGTGCTTAGGAGAGTTTATCGATGATGAAATGCTGCAATTGTTAATTGTATTCTTACTTTTGCTCTTACTTATTATTGATTTACCTACTTCATCTTCTTTTTTTACTCAAATTAGCAACCATCCTATTTCTTTGCTTTATTAGATTGCTAGCAGAGAGAGAGAGAGAGAGAGAGAGAGAGAGAGAGAGAGAGAGAGAGAGAAAGACTATTAGTATTAATGTTTGCTCGTTAAGTATTGCTGGCTTAATGTTTGCTCGTTAGAATATAATCACAAATTATTGATTAATCACTTTTTATTTCAAAGTTTATTAGCTTTTTTTTTTCTTCCTTCAAAGTGTTACTAATGGATTATCTCTAGAGTTTCTTTTCATTGGAACTATTATTCCATTCTCTTGCACACAAAACTATTTTACAAAAAATTCCTGTTATTTCGAAATATTTCAATGCTTTATGTAAAATTGATGACACATAGTATGAATCATAGCAACTACAATATTAAGTATATATGCTTGTGTATGTGTGTGTGTGTGTGTGTGTGTGTGTGTGTGATCAGTCATAGGACTAGAATTTAAATTATATATCATTTGCAGACAATAAAACTATTCGTAACGTTTCATTTTGGCATTTTGAAAATGATTAAATTTCGGATTTAATTTTGATCAGATAACAATCAAACATATTACAGTTTATAACAAAAGGAGAAGTAGGGAATGAATGAAATTGTTTACTTACTAAAAGAGTGAATAAATACAAAAAAAAAAAGAAAAAAAAAAGGAAAGAATAAATGATATTTTAATTAGAAAAAATGAATAAGCTTAATTCAGTAATAAAAAATAAAGTAATACTTATTCAGTTTACTCATTTCCTTACTTATTACTGCATTGAATTGAAGTGAAAATTTGCTGAAATTATCGAGAATATTTGCAAAATTTATTCGTTGACAAACATTTCACAATGGACAATTATAAAGAGAGTGTAGTAATAGTTAATGTTGTTGAATGATAGATAATAATTTTGCCTCTTCTAAAAGTTGTTAACAAAAGTATTTGCAATGATTCAATGGTAGATGGTAGTTGCATATTAGCATCAAAGTTTTCAATCGATAAATAATTTTTATTACATTCATTGTGGACGCATCATTGCAGCAATCTTTTGTTTTGTTTTGTTAAATGAAAAATTGATAAGTGTTATAATATTCAACAGTATTAATATATTTTTTCATCATTACTTATTAATTAATTTTATAATATTAGTGTTATTCAAATATTTTATTAATTTTTAATTTATTTGAAATTTCCAAACTGAAAAGATTATTAAATTATAATGGAATAGAAGAATGAATTTATTACACTAGATAATTTGCAGAGTATTAATATATGTGGAGGAAGAGAGGGAGAAAGAAAGAGAGAGAGGAGGAGAGAGAGGGAGAATAGAAATGAGTAATTAGAGAATGAAATGTGAATAAGATTTTAATTAAAAATTATTCAAATTCATTTATTTATTTCATTGTTAAATGAATTTTAAATGTATGTGTTATATCATTGTTATATGTATGCATTGTTTATTGATTGCTGTGTGTAGCAGTTTGCTGTCGCCCTTCTTTAGTTCTTGTTTCGTCTTGTTTCATCGTTTCATTCTTCTTATTGTCATCTGAAAGATAGGCATTTGTGAGGGAATAATGAATATTATTATGAGATGATGATACATGTATACCTTTCGCCTAAATTCTATTTAATTAAATTATTATCAAAAATCATTTCTTAAATTTATCATTCCGTTATACTTTTATTCCAGTCATATGTAATAAGTTATTAATTTTATAAGATTTAAATATTTGCTGTATGTTTGTTATTGTAGATAACTTTGTAGAAATTAAAGATTGAAACTTTATTATAAGATATATTAAGGATTATATTTAATATCATTTACACATTGGTTATTTTTTTTTTTTTTTTGTTTGCATAATAATTTTGTGCATTTTTATGTTTCTTCAAAGCAGTTATTTCGTTGAATTTATAATTTATTTACATTTAATTGTTTTCTATTGTTGTTTGTTTTATAACGTTCTATCACTGTTGTATTATTTGATTTTATCAAATATCAATTTTTGATTTTGTTACAGCATAAAGTAATGGCACAACAGTATGGTTATGCTGGGCAACCGCCTTATCAGCAGCCAGGTTATCAGAATGGAGGAAATCCATATCAGCAAGGTCCTCCATATCATCATCCTCCTCCTCCTCCTGGTTTCAATCCTCAAGGTTAGAAGTTTCTTTGCTAGCATCGTTTAAAAATAAAGTAAAAATGTTCAATCGAAATGTTAATGCAACTCAAGACTGTGAGGTAGTATATTCTTTGATTGTCATTTCATTCCTTTTTGGAAACTTTTAAGTGTATACTCCGTTGTCCCTCAATGCTTTTATGAAATGTTATATAATCAAACTTTACGCTATGTTAGAGATGGTTTTATTAACATTTCTAGTTATACCATTTGTCAGATTTGTTTTTGATTTTCAAAAGTAATAAACTTATTCTTCTTGCATGTATGTTTCCAAGCAGATGCTATAAAAGTACAGCATAACTTGTAAAAGTAATTCAATTGTTAAACTTACTATCACCGAACGATGTGATGATGCTGATTATAGGATTTGATAACTTAAAGATACTCTATGAGGAAAAGTACGTGATGATATAGGTTTGCAAAACTTTGAGAGATTAAAGTCTTGTTCTGGAATTTAAAAAGCAATAATTCAAGGAAATGTTTGTATATTTCAGTATTCATGCCACCACCACCGATGCACCCTGGTTTTGATGCATATGTCGAAAGTGAAGGTGTTAAGTCGGATTTTGGCTTTAATTCGGCATCTATTCGAGCAGCTTTTGTCCGAAAGGTTTTCACACTTGTTGTGATTATGGTATGTTTCTCATTAATATTGTAAGATATTCAAAATTCATTTTCGTTAATTTAGAGATACTTTTAATGTATACAATGCAGTGATTATTTTAGGAAAATAATCATCGGAAGAAATAGACTAACAGGAAGGCAACTGTTTTAAGATATAAGTTTGGATCTGAGAGATATTTTATTTACTGTGTGATTAGAATTTAAGATAAAAATTTTTAGTTTTTTTGATTTCTTTTAGTTAACAGTGGTAACAGTGATGACTGCTATACCATTCCTTCATCACGGAACAATGAAGTTTGTGCAAAGTACGCCGTCAATGTATTTTGGGAGTTACTTCATATTTTTGATGGTTTATATCATGTTAATTTGCTGTGAAAGTGTGCGAAGGTTCAGTTTTTGATACTTTTTTTTTAAAAAAAAGGAAGAAAAAACATATTAAAATTAAAACGTTATTAATGTTAATGAAAGTGAGTGGGTTAATTTTTCATATGTTTTTTTCTTATTGGGTAAATTCAAATATTAAAAAGGAGTTGAAGAAGCAAAGCAAACTGTAAAGGTCTAATTTGAGAATATCATTTGTTCACTGGTCTAATTTGAGAAAAAAGAAATAGAATTGCTTCAGATATAACATATCATTTTAAGTGATCTCTAACTTTGTAAAATCTGATTGATTTATGTTTCAATTTCAGATCATTCCCGGGTAATTTGATTGCGTTAAGTATCTTAACATTATCGACTGGTTACATGACCATGATGATTTGTTCTTTTCACGGACTGGTTTCGGTATTACTCTGCTTGATAATAACAGTCATTTGCTGTTCCGGAATCATCATTTTTTCTTCCCAGACGAAATATGATCTTACAAGGTTTGTGATAAAGTTTTTTTGAAATTTAGATTTCAATAATTTATGTATTTAGGAGAACTTTCAACTTTCGTATTCTTTTTATAAGGTCTGCGACTGTTAATTGTTCTAATCGACAATGTTGAAAACTTAGTTAATCGTCCATAAGGATTTTCTTTGAGTAGCTGGTAAAAAATCTGTAATATCAAATAAGATTTGGAAGTTTCTTTTTTTTGAAGTAAATTAAAGGGACAATGCGAGGTAGATTGTTACAGTTATGTTGTCTACGTATTTGCATAATCTTCAAATGAACTGATCTTTGTTTATGATAAATTTTAAATATTTCAACTTAAATTTCAAACTTGAATAGTCAACTTGAATTGAAAATTATGATTCCAGTGAAAATGACATTCTGAAAATAAAATATATTTTCAGCATGTATGGCATAGTATTCATCATTTCATTGGTCATAATGGTTTTTGGTATCGTTGCAGTTATTGCTGCCATTGCATTTCATGTGAGATGGTTGTATACGGTTTATGCTGGACTTGCTGCACTGCTTTTTATGGTTTATTTGGCTATTGATATTCAGGTAATTTCTGAAAATTTTGACAAAAACCTGAATTGCTTCATCTATCATCAAAGTTCTTTTCTTTTTTTTTTCTTTTGCAGTCATTATCTTTTTTGTAGTGATATTGGAATGACATAAGGAAAGATATGTAATTTATGAATTTGTTGACATTACGAGAACCATAAATAAAAATGGAAGTATTTTTTTTTTTTTTTTTCAATACTCTATTTGATTCAGTTCTTTTTTGTGTTTGAATCATTTATGAAATATTGTAGGCAATAATGGGAGGGCGAAAGCACGAAATTTCTCCTGAAGATTACATATTAGCAGCAGTTCAAGTTTTCCTGGATATTGTTTACATCTTTTGGATGTTGCTTACACTATTCGGCTCAGACAAGTAAATTTTTTCGAATCATACATGCATGTTTTTGTATGCATGCGCTCTACTGCACACTGTTGTGTAAGTTATTATTAGACTTGACCATTCTTTTCATTTTAAATTCTTCAACACTTCATATATGTTGTAATAATTGACAAGTTGTACACTGTTCCATAAGTCATCATTGAATGCAAATGTCTTAAAAATTTGATCATTAATTCAGAGCGACACAATGCTACACTTCTGTCACTCTTAGGAATTAAATTGATATTTTTTTTTAATCTTCACTGAATCAAAAGTAAACAACTTTGCTTATTTCACTTGCAGTAACTTCTAATTATAGTAAATTAACTTCGACCATTTAAATGACTCAGGATATATTTGACATACAGTAAGTGCCGTAAAGTTATTTCTTTTCGAAAAATGCTGATAGTAATGGGAAAAGAAAACATTTATTTTTATTCATGGGAGTACAGGTATATTCAAGAAAATTGTAGTTTCATTTCAGGCTTATTGGTTTCATTAAAACGTTTTTATTTACTACTTTCATCTTTTTAGTTGAGTTTAAAATGTGTGACAGATATTTGAGCATATAAACACAAATATAAACATTTACTTTATGCTTGACGTATAATGACATACAGATAGATCACTCTACATTTACCTGTAATGGAAAAGTTGCATTAATAGTATTAGGAATTATATAAATAGAAGGACTACTGTTATTGTCGACCTTATATTTTTCTGTTTATATTTCTTTTTGCATAAAATTATTTAACATGTTGTGATTTATAAAATATTTAAAGAAAATCAGTAAACAACATATTATATTCTTCTGCATTACTTCAGCTTAAGCATTTTTGTTGTCGGTGTATTGTGTCATATCGTATGCTTCTTATACTATTTCCGCTCAGTTCAACTTTTTCATCACATTCTTTTTTTTCTTGGAATTTGTAAAATTTATAATTTTTCACACTGAAATTCATTCAAGTTGGAGTGTTCATTTCAGGGAATGAAAATGAACAGAGTGAGCTATTATAAGGATTATACTGATATATCGACTCGATCATTTTTTCTACAAATTATCTTTATTTTTTTCAAAAAAAAAAAACCATTTCAGTATTGGGTTTTCTGTTTAGCTAATGTTTTTACTGTTAAGAAACTACCAAATTTGTATAATAAGCAATCACATTCACAAGTTCTTAAATTTTCATTAGTGACATCATGAATTTGAAAGAAAATGATAATATCTGTTATTAATCTACTTTTGGGAACATAATCAGGTTATATGTTTGGGAGAGATTGAGTTGGAAATGACAGTAATAAGAGTAAATTGTTATGATCATCTCACATCGTTCTTGTCAACTGATATTTTCAGAACATTCATCTTTTCGATTGTTTATATTGTAAATATTGTAGATGTATATTCCTTTTTTTAAATTAATATATTTCAGCAACTGACATTCGAATATATGGCGGTATGTGAAACTGATGATTGTTCTTCGAGTATCTAAGGGCTGCTATTTTTATCCCATAAAAAAGTAGCATATTTCATCAGGGAAGATCGATGGATATTTCTTTTCTTTTCATTTTTGGTTTTAGATATTTTCTCCAATTCTTTTTTGATAACAATCAATCTAGTCTTGTTAATTACATTTTACTGTAAAACAATTTAAAGTTGTGCAGAATGCTTTTGTAATGATATATAGAGAATTTTAGAGGCATTAATGTTTTAAGTAGGAAATCGGAGATGAAAAACAATCAATAAATGTATTCTGTGAACATTGATCTTTCTAAAACTTAAAGTTTGTTTATTATGTTTTTTGATTTGTGCTTTTGATTTCGGATAGCGTAGTATATCTTTAGTCATTGGTTTTGAATTGATATACTCGAAAATTCGAGAAAAAGTCTTCATATATTTTTATTCAGATCTTCAGTTTATAGCAGTGTGTTTATGTTTGGTCCAGTCATTTCTATCCAAAAACTTTTCCTTAATCAATCACTTCTTTAAATTTTGCTACTTTTTAAAAATCTTTTTAATCATTACCTGTATCTTTGCTTTGTGTTTTCCTTTTCCGTTCAATATGATTATTAATTCTTATTTCTTAATACAGAAAATATTCTTTCCATACAATTTTACTAACTGATATTATTTTGAGATGCGTTGAAAGTTAATAGTTTTAGAAGTAAATTTCTTGTTCTAAAATTAGATAATTATTCTCAAGACATTGAATGCATCCAGGAAGTATCGGTGGTATTGAACTAAAAGTATGTAAAAATTAAGTAAATAAATAAATGATACAAATGAAGATACATTAGTAATTCAATCGAAATTGTTTGTTAAACATGGAAAGTAAAAGAAAGATTGTTTGCTTATTTCTGAAATAATTCAATGTAGCTTATTAATCGTGCCATTTCAATAACTTTACAATAACTTGTAATCTCTACTACTTTAATTTCAATTACTTTAGTGGAATGATTTATATAAATGGAATTGATTGATTTGAAAAGGCAGTGCTACTGATTCCATTTTACAATTTTAAAATATATATGATTTGCTATTGTATTTTGTGGGAACACAAGTGCAATACAAACGATAAACTTTCCCTAGTATAGTAGATGAGGGTAAAATGCTGAAATTATTGAAATTTAGTGATAAGTCAAGTTGAAAACCTTTCAATTCGGTAATATTGGCTCTTCACTTACCCTTATCAGTAAAGTTTAACACCTTTAATTAGTCATAGAAAGAATTGCTGAGAGAAGAAAAAAAAAAGGTACAGATATCTGTCATTAGTCGTCGTTCGTGTCATTGAATTTTAAAGTGATACATAAATTTAGTCGTCTAAAAATGACATTGTACTGAAATTTTGCATTCATTTAATAATTAAACTAATTTGTTTTTGAATATGAGTGATTAATTAAATGTAATCTAAAATTTGATAACAAAGACTGCTATTCATTTGCAGCAGATTAATTCCATTTGTTGTAATAGAAAGAATAAAAGAAACATTGTGATATGATAAGAAAAATAACACTGATCAAAGATGGACAGAACGAATAGAAATAGAGAAGATAACACAGAAGTGAAAGATAAATGAAGAAATTAGGGATAAATCTTTTGTCCAGTTTTCATCACTTAATTATCGAGATCATTACGACAGTCACAGTTCTTCGAGAATAAAATGACTTCAACGTATTCAGTGATCCGAAATATATAATATAATTCAATTGATAAAGGGATCTTCAATCAATCAAAACTTTTAAAATGTTCATTTAAAAGTTATGTCTATAAAATATCAATAAATTTATATTAGAGGAAATAAAAGTGGACAGTCACAGTCTCCTCTTCCTTTTTTATCACCCTGTAATATTATTGATCGTTGTCATCCTATAATATTGATCGTTGTCATCCTATAATATTGATCGTTGTCATCCTATAATATTGATCGTTGTCATCCTATAATATTGATCGTTGTCATCCTATAATATTGATCGTTGTCATCCTATAATATTGATCGTTGTCATCCTATAATATTGATCGTTGTCATCCTATAATATTGATCGTTGTCATCCTATAATATTGATCGTTGTCATCCTATAATATTGATCGTTGTCATCCTATAATATTGATCGTTGTCATCCTATAATATTGATCGTTGTCATCCTATAATATTGATCGTTGTCATCCTATAATATTGATCGTTGTCATCCTATAATATTGATCGTTGTCATCCTATAATATTGATTGATCGTTGTCATCCTATAATATTGATCGTTGTCATCCTATAATATTGATCGTTGTCATCCTATAATATTGATCGTTGTCATCCTATAATATTGATCGTTGTCATCCTATAATATTGATCGTTGTCATCCTATAATATTGATCGTTGTCATCCTATAATATTGATCGTTGTCATCCTATAATATTGATCGTTGTCATCCTATAATATTGATCGTTGTCATCCTATAATATTGATCGTTGTCATCCTATAATATTGATCGTTGTCATCCTATAATATTGATCGTTGTCATCCTATAATATTGATCGTTGTCATCCTATAATATTGATCGTTGTCATCCTATAATATTGATCGTTGTCATCCTATAATATTGATCGTTGTCATCCTATAATATTGATCGTTGTCATCCTATAATATTGATCGTTGTCATCCTATAGTATTGATCGTTGTCATCCTATAATATTGATCGTTGTCATCCTATAATATTGATCGTTGTCATCCTATAGTATTGATCGTTGTCATCCTATAATATTGATCGTTGTCATCCTATAATATTGATCGTTGTCATCCTATAATATTGATCGTTGTCATCCTATAATATTGATCGTTGTCATCCTATAATATTGATCGTTGTCATCCTATAATATTGATCGTTGTCATCCTATAATATTGATCGTTGTCATCCTATAATATTGATCGTTGTCATCCTATAATATTGATCGTTGTCATCCTATAATATTGATCGTTGTCATCCTATAATATTGATCGTTGTCATCCTATAATATTGATCGTTGTCATCCTATAATATTGATCGTTGTCATCCTATAATATTGATCGTTGTCATCCTATAATATTGATCGTTGTCATCCTATAATATTGATCGTTGTCATCCTATAGTATTGATCGTTGTCATCCTATAATATTGATCGTTGTCATCCTATAATATTGATCGTTGTCATCCTATAGTATTGATCGTTGTCAAATTATTTTAAGATGAATTGCGAGTAATTTCATTTTTCATTGTATGACGAATAATTTGTTGATTTTGGCCTATTAATTTACTTATTTTTTTCTTCTCAGTTCTTTACTGTTTGATTAGAATTTCTTCCAAAGTTGAATTAATCTTAAAAACTAAACGATTAATGATGAATTATAGATGAAAAGGAATAATAGCTATCAAAAAATTTTAATTATTATTTTTATTTATTAATTATTATTATGTAATTATTATTTCTAATTATTGGAGAAAATTACAGAAACTAATACATTAATACAATTGAAATGCATTTTAATTCTTAAATATAAAAATTATATAATGATGTAAAGATGCATGCATAAATTGCAAAACTAGCAATGTTATTCACTTGCATCTGCATAATTGCAACATTACAACATGCAAATGCATGCATGCACTTCAGTTATTCATTTTTTTTTTTTTTGTATAGTACAACTTTTGAAGTAAAATTACCTTATAAAATTACCTTTTAAAGTAAATAATCTCGCATTAATATTTCGATTGTTTTTATCACTTCCTGCTGCTTTTTTTTTTCTAATTTAAATATATGATAAAGTTTAGCAATTGCATTAGCAGTAATAACTAAATTATTCAATTAATAAATTAGAGTAAAATAATAATTTGAAATTCAAATAATAATTATTTTTGCATTTAAGTTAAATTTTAGCAATATATTAATGAGATTTAAATGATCTGAAACAATAATCTTTATGAAAATTACAAACACAACATTTTATGACAAATGAAGAATAATTCTCTCAAATACAAACTTTATAGATTAATATAGCTAATTTAATAATTATTCGATCTTACATTTTCTGTTAATTAACAGGTATTAATTAACAGGTAAGTATTATGTGAGATAATTTACATATGAATTAATGGATGAAAGACATCGATAGTGTAACTAAGAACAAAGAAGTGATTGAAGTTTTTATGCCTTAAAGTCTTATTGAATTTGTTTAATATTAGCTAATCGATATCTGAAATTGATCTTTGTTCTTAGTACCGTAGATATTATCAAAATATTTTTTTCTTTAATTTAGCATTGTTTTTTTTTTTTTTTTTTTCTCTTTATAATTTGCAAACTTTTTTTTTTTACTTTAGTCAATAATTTGTTATGTTTTTATCATGCTAGATAATTTAATTACATCATTTTTTCATCTCTTTCTTATCAGTAGCATCTGATATTTTTATCAGTAGCGCCTGGTATTTTGTTTGATAAATTTTTTTTAGCTACCGCTACTGTAAAAATAATAACAAAATTGCAGTGATAAGACATAACTTTTACTACTTTATCAAAAGTTTTTTTTCTTTGTGCTTCAAAAAAAGAGAAGTTTTTATCAGTTTATTAATAGTACATATACGTTGTAATGATAAAATAGTATAATCAGTATTGATTTGTTCAACTTCAATTAATAATCAAAGTGATATTACAATACATTTAGCATTTGTTCAATGTGACCGAGAATAGTCTTCGAATGGACATGTTCAGGATAAAGTTTTAATGCTTTCAGTACCATTGTTCGACTCTCATCAAATTGTCCAATCTAAAATAAATGTTGCAAATAAAAAATAAAAATAAAAAATTAAAAGAAAAGAAAAAAAATAGGTTAATAAAATTGTTAATTTAATTGCAAATCATTTTAAGAATAAAAAAATTTGACATCAAAAAAAAAAAAAAAAGTTGAAAAAAAGTTAAAAATTTCTAATTAATACTTTTTTGAAAGAACTTACTTGATAAGTAAGCAAAGCAAGATTATAACATGGCTCAAATAGATATGGTCCTTTCTCAATTGCTGAACGAAACAACGATCGACTTTGATCAATTTTACCATCACGCATTTGCAAGATTGCAAAATTGCATACACTTTCTGCATGATTCGAATCTGCAGCCATTGCTAATCGAAAACATCGTGATGCCATTTTAACATCACCAGATGACTGAAATATTATAAACTTAGCATTTTTTCTTTTGTTTAAATAAATCTTTTTTTTTTTAATCTCAAATTTTGTATATTTATTTAATTATTTAAATATAAATTTATAATTTAATTAATAACATACTAAAAAAACATTTCCTGTATTATACCAAACATCAGCAATAACTTCATCATTAGCTAATACTTGAGCTCGTTCAATACATGACAATGCAAGATCAAATTGTTGACAAAAAAAACAACATAAGCCAAGATTCATAAATAGCTCTGCACTGTTGACACCCATTTGCAAAATACGCCTTAATTTAAAAAAAAAAAATAATAATAATAATTTGTGAAATATCTATAAAATACTTATTTAATTTATTGTTATGAAAAAATTATTTAATTTTTATTTATAAATTAAATTACTTATTTATTTATTTATTGTAATTTTAGCTTTAAATAAGAATTGTAATCGAGTGATTGCTTTAACCTGTAATAACGAAGAGCAATTTCAGGTTGATCATTGTAAAAATAATTTGTTGCAATGCATGCAATTGCTTCTACATTAGTTGGATCTTGCTCTAATACCAGTTTATATGTATTTATGCTATTTTCAACATTGCCAAGATGCTAGAAATTAATATTTTCCATAAAATTTAATTTCCTAAATGACAAATGATAAATGCTAATGCAAATTTATTTTGTAAATTAATTAAGATCAATTATTAAATTTGATCGTTAGAACAAGCTAAAATTCATTTGTTAGCACAAATATTTTCAAAAATAGCAGTAAATTTTTTTTTTTTAATAAATTAATATTTCAAAAATCGGAATATTTTCAATAGTTTGATTTTTATTTACTCAATTAGTTTTATGATTTAATAAATAATATAACCGATTTAATAATGATTTAATAAACAATAAAACTGATTTAACAATAAAATTGAATTATACAAAAAAAAATTAATAAAATTTATAAAATAAATTATTTGACCTCTTGAACTCGTGCTAAACCAATTAATAAAGTAATATCGTTGTGAAATATTTGCAAACCAAAATTATACTGATCGATAGCCATTAATGGTTGATCAATTCGACAATATGTCTAAAATTACTGCGTTTGTTTATTTATTTGTAAATAAAGAGAAAAGATATTTAAGAAAAAAAAAAAAGAAAAGTTTGCATTGAAATAAAATAGAAATATCTCAAATTTTATTAATTTTTATAAATTAATTCTTATAATTAATAAAGTAAATTTATAATAAATGCAATTGTGAATGTAATAAAATGCAAATTTATAAATGAAATAAGTACTTTAGCTAAATAAGCATATGTTTCAGCCATTTTTTGATTATTTAACGATGAATGAAATTGTTTTAATGCATCATTGAACATTCCCAGTCGATAAGAACATTTACCCAATTGATTCTTCCAATACCAATCTGTATTACTTGCATTTTTTGTTGCGAGAATTGCAATCTGAAAATGTCACCTTTCTTTTTTGTTTTAAACAAATGTGATCATTGATAAAGATAAATTGATAAGTTACCTGATGAGCTATTTTCATATCACCTTCATGATAAAAGACATATTCAAAGAGATTACGATTAACACATGGATCGATAGCATATTTATCAATATTAAGTCTTGATAAATTTACAAATGGTCCATTTGGTTCTGATATCATTGATGCCTATGACAAATAAATTAATAAAAAATTCTATAGAAATTTTCATTTGTTTATTTGTATGATTTAAAAAAAAAGAAAAAAAAATCATTAAAACATTTCAATTTTTATAATTAATAAAGCATCAAATGGGAGTTATCAATGATATTGGAAATAAATAACTCATGAATTCATTTACTCATAATAATTTATCTGTATATTTAATGGATAAATGAATTACAAATGATTATAATAACTGATATTTTGTTTAAATTACTTCTAATAATTACTTATGTCATTTTAATTACTTTTAATAGTTACTTATTGTAATTTCTAATTAATCAAATAGAGAATAAATTATGCAAAGTATTTTTGTTAATTTGTAAAATTTTCTTATTATTTGAAACAATCACCTACCGTACCAAGACGAGTAAATCTGGCAGAACTAGATGAAGTTGCGTGAGTAGTTCTTGAAGTTCTTGACGTACGTAGAATTTGCTCCATGGTACCTGGTCGAAAATGAGTTTCAGGTCGTAAAACACCGCTTATAGGTCTTCCAGTACTTGAAGTTGGCCTGTTAAAAGTTAAAGTTATTTTTCATTTACATAAAACATAAAATCTAGCATTATCATCTTTTCTTTTTTCTTTTAAATAAAATTATAACTTAATAACTCATAATATTTCGCTTATAGCATTATGTATGAGAAATTGATGTAGAAAAAAAAAAAAACCTAATAGCTTGTCTAGACATTTGGCCTGAAGTAATTGGCCTAGATAGAGAAGTACCAGGTCTTGCTTTTGATGCCAATACAGTATCATCTAAAAATATTTCCGCAATGCCACGTTCATCATTTTCTAATTCATCAACATAAAATTGTTCCGTTAAACAACTCATTTTCAAGCTCCAAGCTGCCTAGAAAAATAAATAATTTTTGAAATTCCACCAAAAATAATTTTTCATAAAATGAAAAATTTTTTGAAAACGAAAAAAAAAAAGAATTTTTTTTAATATTTAAAGAGCAAAAAAGAAAGAAAATTTAACAATTGCTTTCAATAATTGAATAGAAATATTTAAATAAGATAAAAGATTAATCAAATCATATATTAGTGATAAGATAGGAAAAAAAAAAAGTGATAAGAACTTAAAAATGATATACCTGATCATATGGATTCTTTTCCAATATATCATTGCAAATTTCGATTGCTTTTTCAATATTATTATGCTTAAAATAAATTAAAGCTTTAAGGCTAAGATCCAATTCCATTGCTATTATCAACAAATTTTAGTATTACTTTTCATCAATTCATCATCATTCTTTTGAAATTGTCTCCAATAGCAACCATTGCTGTGTCATATTGATTTTATGCATTTATTTTCTTTTTAATCTTTTGATTTCATTGACGAATTATTTTAAATTTGAAATAATAGTTTGCTCAAATATTCTTCAAATTTAAACTTTTCTGAAAAAAAAAATTTTTTTCTGAAATTGAAATTTTTTTTAGCATTCAGAAATTTTTTGAGAAATGGATTATTTCCATAAATAATATAATGTAGTTCATTATATACTCGAATTATAATTACAAATCACTTTACAAATGCGAATGATAATATCATTTATAGTAATTTAGAAGATATCAATACTTTGAATAATCTTATCAGTTGATTTAATTTTCCATTTTTTTTTTTTATTACTTAATATTTAAATGCATTTACAACAGTTAATGACTAGTTGAAAATGTGTTTTAAAGCATTTTAGAAAAAAAAAAGTTTGAAAAGTTGAATAATCATCACAAATCAGAATATAACAAATTTATTAGCTGCTTAATCATCAATTTTAAGCTAAAATTCAGCTTTGAAAAACATTTAAAAATAAAATTTATTATATATAAATTGAATGTACTATAATAAATGAAAATAGTTTAATGTTTAATTTGAAGATAAATTGATCTGTCAGATATTCATTTCATCAAATTAACTAACTTTATTAATAATATAAATAAAATTGTTAAAATATAAATAAGTAACCAATAACAATTTATAATATAATTAAACACTTTTCAAAGATATAATTTCAGTGATTGAAAAAGATAATTAAACATAATCGAAAAGATAATAACATCTGATTGATTGAGTCATTTATGATTACTCACTGATTTCACGATGATAACAATATTGAAAACTTGGATATTATTTATATATAAATTGAATATATAAAAATTATCAATGATTACTGTTTGTAAATTATAATGTTATTAACTTATGATTAAAAATGAATTTATATGATATTATGATAGTAATAAGTATGATCAGTGCTATATATATTGATATTATTACAATTATCATCATCATTAATAATTTAATATCTTAAATTAAATTATTTTTATCAAACATTAACTATTATTTTATACTCTTTAATGAATATCTGTTTTACTGTAAACAATACAGATCAGATTAATATCATAATTATAATCAATATTATTGGTGTAATCATTGTTATCACAGCAATATAATCATAATTAATAGCAGTGATAATTAAATATGCAGAGAAATTTTGTTTAATTATTCTAATTAAAAAATTAATTACAAATAAAATGTGAATGTCAAATTGTGAATTATTCATGATATCAATTATTTAATCATCGTCACCGTTAGAAAGCTAATTCATTAAAAAAATTCTATTTATTAACAAATAATTTTCATGTGATTGCTTCAGTGACGAATTTCTTTTTAAATGATTTTAAGTAAATGAGTTCAGATATCAAATACCGAATATTTTCAAGATTTCTTCTCTGTCTATGCAATACATTTATCAATTATCATTGCATATTTTCCTGTTAATGTCTTGAAGAATTCTTAACTTTAACCAATAATATTAAATTTTTGATTGCAATGAGTAATTCTTTGTCGTTGATCCTTTAATATGTCAAAATTAAAAATTTAAAAAGAAAAAAAAACTTTGCTTGTCATTTCAACTTTTTTTTTTTTAAACCATTATTTGAAAGTTTTATCAATTTTTTTTTTTTTTTTATAAAAAATAAAAATACCTTCATAAAATATTTAATTCAAGCATGTTTTAAATTATTTATGCAATAATTTATTAATATCAAATTTATTCTTTTTTTAAATTTTCAAACGAAAAAGATGATAAATTGTTGAATCATTTTCTGTGTCTTTTTTTTCAGTTTAATGGATGAGAATGTGATATATGCTCAATGTTATTATTATTATTGTTGTTGTTGTTGCTACTGTTGTTGTTGTTATTGTTATTGTTGTTGTTGTTGTTGTTAAAAGATGAATCAATCAGCGGTATACATAAATTTTATAAGTGAAATGTATTTCAATTTTTGAGTTGTTAAAGCAAATGACAAAATGTTAATAGCTGTTTTCTTTTAACAATAATATTATCATCATCATCATCATTTCATTTAAAAATGAAATTTGTTTAACTCTCAATCAAAATATCATTCTTTTTGAATATCTCAGGAAATACATTTGCACAAAAGCAAAACACTGAGCAGGCAGTAAATGGAAATGTGAAAAAAAAAAAAAAAGATTTCCAAAATTTAAATTCATTTAAAAAAAGAAAAAAAAAAAGGTCTTTTTTTTAAAATATATATATGCTAAGAGGTTAAGATGACAGTGAAACAAAAATGAAAGTTATGGAAATATTTTATTAAATAAAAAAATAGGAAAAAGAGAAAGAAAATGAAGAAAGAATGAAGGCAAAATTGTATTACAAGGCGATAATTTATTATTCTGAAATGAGTAATAGTACTGACATTCAAACTTTTATAATTTAAATCAAAAAAAAAAAAGAAAAATGAAATAAAAATATTTCTATTTGAATTACCCTTTTACAGGTAGCTACAATATGACAAACGTTCGTTAGGTATATCAAATTTTACCACAAACGTCTCACATATTCACCGCGTACATCACGTGGAGTTCCAAACGCTGACATTCCAGTCTGTAATAAATAATTTCTTTCCACTTTTACACTTTTCATTTCATAATTAATGTAATTTGAAAAATAATTTTAAAATTAAATTTTAAAAAAATTAAAGGTGAGATAGAAAAAAAAAAAAAGGAATTAGATAACGATTAAGTTAAAATCTTACCTGATTTGCGAATTCGGTTTCCTGTCCTGACCAGAATGGTACATCTGGCCGTCGAGCCATATCTAATGGTAATTCTTCATGTGAATCATCTACGAATGGTGTATAAACCTAAAATTACTATTAAATTTTTTAAATAATTTCTTGACCAATAAATACAAACAAAACACTCAAACATTTTTTTTTTTGCATAAAACATTAACAAAATATCTATGAAAGACAATTTATAACTATTATTATTAAATCATAAATATCATAAAAAAAAAGTGAATTGAAAAATAAATGTAAAATAATTTGAAATTAATGAAATGAAGAGTAAAAATATGAAAGGTATTCAAATATGAACAGTTATTTTTGTTTGCTTGAATTTTAAGATTTAATTTAATAATTCATACCTGTCTTGGCATACCGAAACCTGTTTTACCAGCTTGAGAATCCAAAAAGTTAACACCCATCTGATATGGTATCATACCTTGTGACCGTTGTTCTTGCGCTTGCATATTTGCGACAGTATTATTTCGAAATGCACCAAAACCTGACATTCCCGCTTGCGATGCACCTGTAAATTATATTTATGAATGAGATTAGAGTTAATTTTAGTTAAGGAATTATAATTGTTTGGCAGAGAAAGTAGCAGAAATATTTTCGAGAATGCATGATGCATGATGCAAGATGCATGATTAGCAAAGGTTATGATTACTGAAGGTAGAAAGGTTACCTTCCTTCCATCCGGTAGTTTGTCGTGACATGGTTGATTCATCATTTGGCATTTCACCTCTTACTTCATCCTTATATTTGGTAATATTATGTCGAGGCATGCCAAAACCAGTCATACCGGATTGATTAGCAAAACGATTGGTACCCATTTGAAGATGAATGAATCCTTGGCTATTTCGATCTTGCTCATCGGTTTTCCTCACTAAAATTTACAATCTTCATTTAAAATATTTTTAAATTAAAAAAAAAAATCCAATCTCATCTACTATTTGTAAAAGAATTTGAGAAGACAAAAATTAAATTGATTGAAATATTTGCTAAAAAAAAGAAAAAAGAAAAAAAAAAGAACCATTTAATCAAATTATTTTTCACAAAATTTACAAATAGATTATCATAGAATAACTACCTGAAAATGATAATAAAATTTCATTTTGAAAACGTACCATCAACGATTCGTGGCATACCCATACCAGTCATGCCAGCTTGAGAAGCTAATTTATTTGTACCGGATTGTAGTGGTACAATACCATCGGTTGCTCGTGCTTTTTCCTCTGGTACCTCACTTGCACCACCAGTACCTTTTGTCTTATAATTCACATCACGTGGTGAACCAAATCCTGTAAGTTTTTTTTTATTGAAATCTCATAAAAGGATTTAATTCACAAAATAGTTAATTTTAAAAGTATAATTTAGTTCAAAAAAAAAAAAAAAAAATAGAAAACGAAAAAATATACCAGTTAATCCTTTTTGTGATGCAAATTTATTGGTACCAGATTGCAACCAAGTTGATTGCTTCAAATTTTTTATTTTTTCTTCATCCGTAATTTCTTGTAAATTATCCGCTTTAACTTTATCGATTACATCACGAGGAACACCAAAGCCTAAAAAGTATTTTAAATCAATTTTAGCATGATTTAATTTTTTTTTTTTTTTGCATTTCTAAAGTTTTAATACATTGGTACGATTTTAAATTTAAGATTTTAAATAAATTTCTTTTTGTTAAAATAATTTAAATATCAAATTTCAAAATAAATTTTCAAATACATATATCCATTTATCATTAGCATAAAGGCATGCTTAAGTGTTAATAAGTTTAACAATAGATGTAAAGATAATAAGTACGAGTGATAAGTAAATGATAAACGTTCAATGCTAGTAAATACAAGTGATAAACAAATGATAAAAGTTCAATGTTACATCTTATATATTAGTAGGTTTTTTCCATCTAAAATTTGAAATCATTTTTAATTGAATGATTTCAAGAGAGAGAGAGAGAGAGAGAAAAAAAAAAAAGGATATGTTAAAAATTAAATGAAAATTGGCGCTACTGTTAGTGATAAAAGTTAGTCAAAAATGTTTGACTAACTTTTATCCATCGTTCAAAAATTTTCAATGCTACATAAAAAATTCTAGAAAAAGGTCAGATACTAATTTTCTAGTAACTTTACTTATCAAAAATATTTGCTTATCATTATTATTTCATTAATTGTTGTTATCTTCTCTCAATTATTCTCATAATAATCACAAAAAATCATTATTGTATATTTCATTAAGCAATTATAAAATATTCTATCATTTAATATCCCAAAAATTTTCCTATAACTTATCATTATGAATCTTATACTTTTCATTTATTGCTTCATTTACTTTAGTAATTTCCTTTCAGGTATTTTGACTACCAAATTTACCTAAATCAACAAGCTTATATTCCATACGAAAAACTGAGATTCTATTATTCGAAATTATCAACAATTTTAAATGAATGATTATCGAAGGTATTTTTTTTTCATTCTAACGTTATTTGTTTTTCTTATTTATGCCTATAAATTCATTTATTTCGCTTGATTAAATTTAAATTAGTTTAAATTATTATTAACACTTTTCAGCTATAACTGACATAGATACTGAAAAATATTTTGAATTGATTAATAATTTTTTGGATATAAAATAAATTTCGTACATTTGAAATGTTATCAAAGTGATATGATAAGTTAACGTGAAAAATGTAGAAAGTACTCTCAGAAACGGAAATAAATAAATATTTTTTTTTTTGCTGCTTCACTTTTCAGTAATAGAAAATTGATGTTTTCTAGTGTTATTGAAAAATAACAGTTGCTCTAAGCATTTCAAAAGCTTTTAAGTCAGTTCCTATTTTTTTTAAAAAAAAAAAAAAAAAATTAATTTAAAAATCATGTAAGAGAATGCAAAATGTATTCAGTTGTAAAAATTAATTGCCAGAATTAACTGTCTCAAATGGACGGTAATTTAATTTACCGAATGATATCATATGATAATATTTTGAATAATTATTCAATTATCATTACTAAATCATCTGATAAATAACTGATAAAACCTGATAAAACTGATTTAATCCTCACAAGCAACTATATGATTTTTAGTTGTTACTTTGATTAAAATGTAAAAAAGCAGAAGTGCAAAAATTCTAGCAGACAATTTTTTCTCAACATGCAAAAAAATTATTCATTTAAGAAAATTTTCAAATTTAAACATAATTGAATTTTCTTAGTTAAAAAAAAAAAACTTGAAATAATTTTGGAAATTGTACAAAAAAAAAGTTTTTTTCTAATGTACATTCTTCGAAAGTTTAAAAAATGTTATCTATTTTATTTATTTGTTTATAAATAAAATTAATAATAAATTAGTAAACAAACAAAAAAAAAAAAAAAAAAATTGAAGATGGCAGCTCCTTCAATTTTCACAAAAAGTGTATAACTTTTTGTAACTTTTTTTAAAATTATAAATTTTCAACTTTTTTTAAAATTTGAATTTTCTTTCTTTCTTTTCAACTTTATTTATAACTAACCAGTCATTCCTCGCTGTGATGCATATTTATTGGAACCAGCCTGAATTGGTATGATGCCTTCGGAGCGCATCAGTTTCTCTTTGTCATGTTTTGATGGCTTACCACCTGAATAATTTGCTGCACGTCGTTGAAGACTTTTTGGTACCTCTGGTACACCATATTGACGACCAGGTGTTGGACTTTTAATATCCACCGGTGGTGGTGCAGATTTTTTAACCTCTGGAGCTGCTGCAATTTTCTGTTCTACTTCATCTTCTTCCTAGAATAGAATGTATCTGAAATACAGTGTATCCAGAAATTATTTCTTATCATATTCTCAAATTTCATTTTCGAGAACTAAAAATATATTGTTATCAATTATGCTAAATTACTAAATAAGCTTAAAACGAAGTCATATAATTCAAATATACCATTATTAGCAATTAAAAGCAAATTTGAAGAATGAAATTACATTTTTTTTAAATATATTAATTTAACTTTTAAATGGAACAATCAGTATTAATTGTGGTCGGCAACGAAACAATCATAAAATATATTATTAATTAAAAATTACAATGAATATTGTAAATTATAGTTATTGTATCAATTGTATGCTGTATGTGTGACATTTGACAGATAAAAATGTTTTCATTGGTATTATATTTAAATCTAAAAAAAGTTTTATATTTTAAGTAGTAAGTAATATCTTTTATATTATTATCATATAACAATCATACAACAATTTATTTTGAAATGTTTTTTTGTTGTTGAATATATGATAGAGATGTAAATTAGATTAATTAATATAAATGTTTGATAAATGTAGTATGAAAAAGAATGAAGATGAATGAAGAAAGAGTTAAAATTTACCGATTTATCATCAACTGCATCTTCATTTTCCTCCGCATCTTCATCCTCATCTTCCCGAGATTCCTCGGCTTCATCAACAATATCCTCCTCGTCAGCCATGCTTAATTATTTTCTGCTTACTTCCGCTCTTCCTCCAACTTTTCTTCTAAACTAATCCTTTAGCTATAAATTGTTATGCTACTATTTGCTGCTTTCTTGCACCTGCGAGGCTGTTCTTCAACTTTCTGATCTGAAAAAATTTTTTTCCATACAACTAGCTGCATGTGTATGTATGTATGTGTGTATGTGTATGTATGTGGCTAGTTCAAATTTGATGATGATGATGTATAATGTGATAGTGTATCGTTTGCAGTTCAAAATGTTGTCGAGAGAAACTCTGATAAGCAAATGGTTTTAGTTTAACTATTATCTTTGCCACTATCATTAACAATCATCACTATCACTGCTAACAGCAATAGCTCAATTTTAAGCTTCAAAAATCGAACTTTATTTATATCTCTAACATACATTCTGCCCACAAACATTCTTTCATTCACACAAAAATGTTATTTTGTTATTTTCAAAACTTTTAGAATATATCATTGACTCTTTCATTTCACATTCATTCGTCTAATATTGCATACATAAAAATGGATCATATTTAATGCAAACTATCTCAGTATAAAATAAATTTCTATTAAAATATATATATATATTTATAAAAATTAAAATTTAAAGATAGATTAAAATTTTGAATAAATTTTACAAAAAAAAAGAACGATTTATTTTCACTTAGAAAATAAGGAAAAAAAAATATTGTATAAATATGCATTCTAGAAATTTTTTTATGACAAAAAATTTTCTGATATTTTTTTTCTTCTAATTTTTTAACAAATGAATGAAATAAGTTATATTAAATGGGAAAAGATAATTTTAGAAAATTTTTGAACCATGATAAAGGAATTATTTAAGAATTTATTGAAAAAAAAAATAAGCAAATAATATGATATGAAATTATCAAAATATTAATAACTATTAATTTCCATTCTAAATTTTATTTCACATAGTGACAAAAAATAATAGCAAACATTTTACAATTTCATTCTTAAAAGCTTTTCTTTGATGTTGTAAAAATGTTTAAATTAAACCCTAAGTTACAATTTTAGAATAGACTTATAATAAATTATATCCAAGTTTGCTATCAATTTATCAGATAGCAAATGATAATCAAAGCAACAAAATTTTATGGACAGGTGCTTCACTTCTGTCTGCTATTCTATGTTCATTTTAAAATTAAAAATTGTTTGGAACCAAAAATTAACTTTATTATTGGAAATGCTGATAATTTCAATCTAACTGAGTGATTGTAATGAATTAAAATGAATAATTGTATAGCAATTTAAATATATGGAAATTCTGAAGAAAGTATAAGTAAGTAAGTAAGTAGGCAAAGAATAAAACAGGAAATAAACTAACTTGCCAGCTGTTCTCAATTTCAAAATGTGCTATGAAATGAAACGATTTACAAATTGTGAACGGGAATTCACTTTGAATAATATACTTTACTTTAAATATTTCAATTGCAATTCTGTTTTGTTATGAATTAACAAAATTTTATTAAATTTATTAGTATATATCAATGAATTGAAAATTTGAAAGGATAAAGAAAAGAATTTTGGTATATCATCAAAAAATTTTAATTTTTTAGCTAAAAAAAAATGTTTTAAAAAGAAAAAATAGAAAGAGAAACACTTGATTAAAAATTATTTATTTAAAATTTTAATTCAGATAATTTAATCCAAAGTAAAATTATTAACAAATGAGTTAGATCAATCAATTTGTAATTATTATTTTGTTTTTTTTTTCTACTAATAAATAAGTAAATTATTATTGAATTACTCATTAATAGTTAATTAATAATAAATTTTGCAAATTAAATGTCACATAAATCATTGCTATTCATGTATAAATTATAAAAATTTTGATTGTAATTTTAAAATTATAATGAACAAAAAAGTAATAAAAATATTAGAAATGGTCTAATTAAAAAAAAAAAAAGTTAATTTTGAAAAATTGAAAAAGATAAAAATTAAGTATTACATTAAACATAGAAAGTAATGCATCTGAATAACTTTTGCTTACAATCTTTTCATCTCTTTCACTTTCTATCACTTCCCTTCTTCCTCTTTTTTCTACCATAATTTTTAAATTTTGATAAAAAACAGTAATTTGATTGAGTGTATAATATAAATTACAAAATTATTTACTTTGTTTTTTGTTACACAGACACATACATACACACATACACACACATACATGCATGCATACATACATACATACATACATACAGGAAATGAAATGGTTGTTTCAAAATAAATGGTTAAGCGGAATTCCGAACTACTTAAATCATTTCAGGAATTATATCCGACAGTGCTGTGTGAGAAGAAATGATAGTTCTAACGACAGAACTACTAGTTAGATGTTTTACACTCTCAGAGAGAGGGAGAGAAAGGAGAGAGGGAGAGAGAGGAGAGAGGGAGGGAGAGAGTATAGTTGTGTTGTAATAAAATATCAATAAATATCAACAATTGTCTTAAAACATATATGTTTACCTTCACAAAGTTCACTTCAATGGTATAGTTAAAACGAGCATTGTTAAACCATTCATTCATACATAAATTAGTGATAATTTATTATCAAAGAGAAATCAGTATTATTTAATAATAATTTAAAAAATTTATAAATGATTAAAAAATTTGAAAAAAAAAAAGTAAAACTAACTTCAAAAATTATATCAATACATTCTTGAGCTAATTACACAATCAGTTTGCTCATTCTTAATTTAGAACAAAGACAAAAAAAAAAAAATTTATATTATCAAATGATTTAATTATTATTTATCAAATGAATTCATTTCTAACAAAAACAGATTAGAAGCTTAAATTGAAGTTACACAAAAAGAAATTAAAAGTCTAGATTGAAGTTTATAATCTTCAATTAAACGAATATTAAATGGAATGATACAGATGTTCGTTAAGATATGAAAAGAAAGGGAGAGAGAGCGAGAGAGAGAGAGAGAGAGGGAGAAGAAAATTGAAGTGTTATTAACTAAAACTATTTTAATTCATCAAATTTTTAATATGATGAATTAAAATTAATAAAAAAAAAATTGCATTTAGGTTATAATACATAATATTAAGTTAAATAATTTTTGAAAGAATAAAAAAAAAAAACTTTTTGTCTTCCAATCTAATTTTCATCTTATAGCTATAAATCATGTGAAATCTCATACAATTTTTACTATTAAATGCTAAACTTATTCTATTCTTTGTTACAATTTAATTTCTTCTTTTTCAAAAAAAAAAAAATTAATTAAAAAATATATGTAAAAATGTTAAACAAATTTTATCACAAAGATGTATAATTATTGCACATTTCTAATGTCTAACTGTTGTAATACTTTTAGAACACTTGTTTAATAGCTTCTACTTTCTTAGCAACTTTTGAAAACAGAATTTCAATTTCGTTATTTCAAACATTTCCTCTTTTTATCTCATTCATACATACACACATACATACACATACACATACACACACACACACACACACACATACACACACATACACACACACACACACACACACACACACAGACACACACACACATACACACAATTGGGGAACGAAGAAAGAATTGAAGTAAAGATGTGAAAGTTTTTAAGGAATATTTTTCCTTCTTCAATTTCCTATCAAAATAATCAGAAATTATCATGGGATGATAATTTCACTCGATGTTAGCTCTTATGATTATACTACTACTACACTAATAACTAAATATAATAAATATTAAGAATGATTACTGATGAGAATGTTATCAGGAAGAATGCAAATAAAAAGATTAGAATTGTTTGAAATTACCAAATATATATATATATAAGTTTAAGATCATATGAAACTAAAAAAAGAATATTTAATAGTAATTAAAGTAATTTCATTGGCAAATGGCAATATTTTTAGCATAAATTTAATTGCATTATGTTTGATAGCGTAAAATGATAGAATGATTAAATATCATCATAATTAATTAGAGAAATAATGATGAAATTATCTGAGTTATCTTTCTAATTTTATTTTAAAACTATCCGAATGCAATTCACCTCAAAAAAAGAAGATTAGACGTAGATTACTCTTTTATTGCAACAAGAAACAATTGGATAAATGTTTGCATCATAACCCAGTCATGATGACACAATACAATTATTTTCCAGATTATGTTATATTCACATTTGATACACGATGATTTATGAGGTGTAGCATCAGGTGAATTGACTGTGGTCTGAACTTTAGGTCATACTCTTATGTGGGTTATTTATTTTTGTTTTATTTAAAGGATTTACTTCAAGTTACTTCAATTAGTACATCTAGATTCGTGAAAGAGGTAGCAAACAGATCAGCAATTAATTTGAAACACATAGTTATTGACACAGTTATTGACTTTAGCGATCTCGTTGTATGATATATCGCTTTTCCAGGATCGATGATACAGGATTATGAGATTATACGGAAATTATGGGATGGTCGTATTCCGGTGCAGTTTGTTCTTGATAAGCTGGAATTCATTCAGTGTTCAGCTAAACCATTCTGTGTTAGTTTTGTCTTTTCTCTCTCTCTTTTTTTTTTTCTCAAAATTTGCGTTTAAAATATAATTTTGGACAAAAAGTTTTGAAATGTACTTATTAATTGCTACCAATACATCATTCCTTTGATGCTATCTGCTGTTCATCGTAAAATGGTGCATTACTAGTGTAGTATATTTTAAGATATAATTGTAACTGAAGTATACTGTGACAAAACACCAGTAAGAAATTGAATGTGTGGTTTACATGAGTATGTCTGGTAGCATAGCAGATGAAGCAGTTATTATCTTTATAAGTTATGCAATTTCATTGTTTTTCAGAAATGGTAAACTTTTTTGTTTATTTTCAGATTATGGTTCCAAGCATGACTTATTTTCCTCTAGTTTTACCACGGGTTTTGCAGTATTTTGTGGCTATTGTTGACCATTTTGATGCGGATTCAGTATGGCTACGGTACAACACTAAACCATTGAAATGGTATTTGTTTATTTTTCTTTTCTCTAAATTTTTACATCTGTAATCTGGAATATAATTCATTAATTTTGCTATGGATTGCACTTTTATTTACATCATCACTTAGTTTGAATGATTTTTCAATGTTATTTAGGATGAAATATGAATTTTTGGCACTTTAACGGCTGGAGTTCATATTGATTATTTTAGGCATTATCCAGTAGGTGTCTTGTTTGATTTATTGAAAGCGGATGATCTTTTACCGTGGACTATTGTGCTGAAAACCAAGGTTTGCTGTCTTTTTTGTATTTCTAGGAGATCCATCTTATGGCAGTTCTGGTCTGCTTACTAATATCCCCGTATTTCGGTCTATGTAATTGTTAAGTTCTCTGCAATGGAAACAGATTGGCAAAAGAAAATGTGTTGTTGACAGTCACTTCATCTCATGGCTTACGTCAGGACTCTCCAAAGGAAGTGATGCGATTCAGGGGTAATGACTTGGAGAGCTCATACATTCAGTCAGTTAAAGAAGCTGATCAACTGAAGCACAAAGCTAGGGTGGTCAATTCAATGAAGGTTGATGAACATCGGCAATTATGGAGCAGTATACTTCATGGTCAGTTATTTTCGATCTTCGGGATTTTTTTTTTATTATTTGCTGTTCTTTTTAAACAATATTTACTGATAGTTTGGGAGCAAAAAGGGAGTGGAAGAAGAAATAGTGTTCGTTAAGTCATCTCCCAATTCCTCAGAACGAAATCTAAATTGTGAGTTGCTTGATCACTTTATAATATCAATTTGTCAGAGTTATTTGTTTGACTGTCTTGCTTATTGCAGACAAATTTGATGAATTTTGGGCTATAAATAAGAAATTGATGGAAGCTAGTGAAAGTGAACCCATACTACATATTCCTATTCGTATTTATCAGGTAGCACTGATTCTTTTTTTCGAATAGTTGCATATTTCTTATGTAGTCTTGCTTGCTAGCTAGCTTACCTGCATATTAAGCAGTAAATGTTGAAATGAACTGAAAATGTACTGTGAAGGATGAAGTAATGAGAGCATCTTAAAATCTGTTATACCATTCTAGGCTACAAATATTATCGGTAAAAAACTGACTTAGCTTTATACCATACTGTTTGATCTCTCTATATTTTCATGAGCTGTTTTCTATTTTTTTTTTTTTGATTAATTGTTTTGTCACAAAATTTATCTTTTTAGGTCGATTGTTCTTTTCAACAACCGCTAATTACGCCTTTTGACGAGTCTGATCAAGCACGTACTATTGCTGATGCACTCAAAGCTGTAAATATTGACACTCAGTTACCCGTGATCTCTCATGGTATTAAAATACCCCCAACAACCCCACTTATTTGGATGGTACAGAATTTTTCATACCTTGATAATTTCATTCATGTTGTCGTTCTCCCACCTTCAGCATAACAGCACAATGTTCTATTACTTAAACTGTTTATATCTGTATCATATTTTAGTCAAGCTTAGTATATTGTAGCAAATCCAACAGAAGACGAATAAAATTTTAGTAATAAAGTTTGTTTTATAAACACATTTCTTTGTTTTAGAAATACATTTCGAAAATTTCGAGATGTCAGAAATTTAATAACCAGGACTCTGCATCTACTGTACTTGTTAGCAAAGATGGACATCTCATACCTTGCAATAATATCTACAAAGAAAATGATTATTCAACAGATGGAATCCGCATGCCATATAACTTGTTTATGAATAGAGTTGGAGTAACTGAAGATATTATCATCAGTGATTGGTTATAAAAAAAACTGAATTTTAATAACACTGATAGCATTACAAAAAAATAACTATGAAGAAATGAAAAAATAATAACTGTGAATGAATACTATGAAAAAAAAAAAATTACAAACAAAATTATAACTATGGGTTTTTTTTTATTGTTGGTATAATATCGTTTAAAATTTTGTGAGACTGAGCTTTGAATGTTTATATATGATTTTTGTATTTGTCTAATTAGAAATAGAATAATGATGAAATGAAAACAGTTTTCATACTTAATATTCTTTGCAAACTTTACAAAGATAAGAGAAAGCAAACAGAACAATGGTATTAAATGGATGAAAATAAATTGATGGAAGATATTTAAATTTTTGAGATGCTATTCGTGAAATAAAATAATTGTAGGCGATAATTTCGTTTCATCTTATATGCTTTTGGAAATTAGAATAAGGATGTTTAAATATCTCATCTTCATCTACGAATAAACTTACGACGAAACAGGTTTTCAGTTATTTCAGATTTATAAATCATCTAAAACTAACAAAACAAGTACTAGTCTAATTACAACTTCGTCTAATTAAACAAATATTTTCCATTTATAATTTGTGGTATTATATTATATAAAGAATGGTTTACAGATTTCCATAGGTTTAGTAGTAACACTTAAAGTCTGAGATTTGCTAAGGTAGTCAGATTGTATTAATGTATATTAGCATAATAGTAAGTAATTTGTCATATCCATTCTACACTTCAGATATTTATTCAATTTTACTCAGTAAATGAGCGAAATTTTCCGTCATTAGATCTATTTTTCTAAACAATAATAAATTGTGCGATATTTTCAGCATTTTATTTCAGAACTTACAGATAAATCATGCAGATATTATCGTCATTTGAAAGTAACATCAAACTTGGTAATCATCAATTTTAAACAAAAATTGATCTAATAAAAAAACATTCGAGCTTTGTTAACTTATATATATATATATTTTTTCCTTTCAATAAATTGCTATACCAATAATATTATTGTAATAATAGTAATAAAAATAATATTAGCAAATTGTAATTATATTTCTTATTCCTCCATTACAATTAGATGCATTTTCTTGTGTGTCATTTTCACGTTTATTTACAAAAAAAAAAAATTTAAATCAATAAAATGTTATCCAATTTTTATTAAGTGATTAAATATAGTATATATGTATATGTTTGTGTATGTTGGATATTGAAATTATAGATTTTAAATACGAAATTACTTATTTTTTACTATTATTTCCACAATTATTACAATTTTTAGGAATCTTTTTTTTTTGTTTTATAATATCTTTTTTTCAGTTATTTCTTTAGTTATTTTCAATTAAATAATCAATTTCTAGAAGAATATCCAATGTTCAAAATTTGAATTACTTTGAATGTTATTCTGATTAAAATATTATTTGAGCTTTAGATATTAGATTATTTCCTCTTTTGCATCAATTGTTGTTGTCAGTAATTTGTTGACAATTGAAATATTTATTTGATAATTAGTGTTATATTGATTTCCTCTTTTGTTTTTTTTTTTTTTAAATTATTGAAATTTTTAAAAGATATTTTCTACAGAGAGCTAATTACTACATTCCATATCAACATTTATTTGCATAAATAACATTTCACAATTTTTTTTATTTTTATATATAAGAAATTTTTAAATTAATAAATTGTTCTTTTCTTTTTTTTTTTTTTTTTGTTTTTATGTATTTTTAAGTTAATAAATAATTGAACGAAGAAATTAATTTTTTGTTTCTTTTCTTACAATAATATAAGTTATCTTTCAATATGTTAAAATATTGGCATTGTTAATCATTTCCAATCGATCTTTACCAGTAATGTATCGTTTCTAATATCTGTAATTAATTACTTTTAAGATTAAAATATCTGTAATTAATTACTTTTAAGATTAAAATTAGTGACTTTTGCAAATATCATTACTTACTGAATTGATCGAGCGTACTTTTTGAAATTGCAATTTAGCAGCTGTTCGATAACGTAAAAAATTCCACGGGATAAGCAAATTTTTCTTTTCTTTTTTTTTTTGTTTCCTTTCTTTCTTTTCCTGGGTGAAACTTTTTAAACAATTGGTATGTTGTTTCTTTTCTTTTCTTTTTTTTTTTCTTTTTAAACATTAATTTTATTTTTTGTACTAAATAACATTTAAAATGTTTGTAAGATATTTGCAATGAAATTGCAATTTGAAATTCATTAATTATTTTTAATTGATTCATTTGAATTCATTGAAATCGTTGCAATGATTTTTTACAGTTAAATTCAAAGATCATATTTTAAATTATATTTAATTTTATTCTTCTTTCATCTTATGTTGAAAAATATTATTCATCTACTAAAATTAAAAAAAGAAAAAATTGCTTTTTCTTTTTTCAAATCATTTTGTTTCAAATCAGTTCAACTGCTCAATCATTCATTTTTTTTTTTTTTTTCATTTTAAAACTTCTTGATAGATTAAATATGAAATAAACAATTGATGGATTTAATTGAAAAAGTTCATTGGTAAACAATAAAATTAACGTAATATCATTTCAACCTTATAATGGTCAAATGCATTTCGTTGTGTCAACTTTTAGAATTATAATTTAGGATAATTTAGGCTTAAAATAATTTAACTAATTTAAATTAAACATATAAAAATTTTATTAATTGTAAAAAAAATTATTTCTTTAGAAATTATATTGGACAAATCAATTAAAGTTTATATTTATAAGAAATGAAAAAAAAAAAAATGATATAATATATGTATATGTTCAGTTTAGTTGATAAACTGTGAATTCAAACGATGGAAAGATAAGTGATAGTAATTTGTCAATTTGATAGACAATAGTAATGACAATTCCAAAGAAAAAAAAAAAAAGTAAATTTCAATTACTATTGTCTGGTTTGCAATGAATAATTGATGTTATTTCTGTTTGAACTTATAAAAGTTAAAAAAAAGCACTTCCACAGCATATGTTGACAACAAATTCAGCCAGTATCTTCCCTTTATCTTCTTCCTGAACAGTAAGCTTAGAAATTTGAAATATAATTTTACACATATTTAGTTTTTAAAATTTTAAATAATTTAAAAAATTTTTTTTTTGTATTTTTGAAATTAATTTTTTTTTTTAAAAAAAAAGCAATTTTATAGGAATAAAAGAAAATTATATAAAAACTTGTAAAAAATAATTTTTATAGGAATAAAAGAAAATTATATAAAAACTTGTAAAAAATAATCTTTGCTTTTTTTTTTTGGAATTAAAAAAATTTGCTTTACAAAAATTTTAAAATTGATACAAATATTATCATTTAAATGCTATGTAAATCTGTGAAAAGAAAAAAAAAAAAAAAAAAAACATTATTTATTTATTTTTTTTCTGATATTCAATAAAAATAAGCAAAAATTATTATTTATGTTTGTTTTTTGAATTTTCTTTTTTCTCCAACCATTTTTAAATTTATGATGATAAATTTAAACGATACTTTATTAAATGAATTTTTATTCAAATAAAATTTTATCTAACTATTATATATTTCAGATAATGGATAATTATAATAATAAATTGGAAATAATATTTAAAACTATAATTTTATTTTTACTAATCAAATGGACTGTTTGTCAAGAAATGCTAGAAAATGCTCGTTGTAATCAGTATCCCAATCGTGGTACTTGTGAAGATCGCGGTTTTACAACCAAATGGTACTACGATCGATACGCACATCGATGTCGAGAATTTCACTACGGTGGTTGTGAGGGCAATGATAATCGTTTTGATTCATTTGAAGGTTTTTCTTTTCAATAAATTTGCAGTATGAATTAATTGATTACTGCAATTGCAAGCATATAAAGCAATTTTTATAGTGCAGAAATGCAGTAAATGCAAGTTCATGCAAGTTTTTAATTATACTTTTAAAAAATAAGTTTTTAAATAAAAAATTTTTAAATATAAAAAGTATAATATAGCATGGTAATTTGTAATTACTTTTAAATAATTAAAATTAGTCTATTAGAAGAAAATTAGTATTATTATTATTTGAAATTTTGATAATTACTAAGCAATTTGTTATAATTGTAAATTATAATTCATATTTATCAGTGAAATGATATGAAAATTAGTAATTGCTTTAGCATTTTCATCAATTTTAAAAATTTCTTTTAACAAATTTTTTGCATTTATTTGAAGCTAATAATTGAAATATTGAAGAAAAAAAAAAAAAAAGAAATTTTTTGTTTTACAAAGCAAAAATATTTCATTTGTAATTTGAATTTAGCAAAATTTATTTATGGTTTTTATTTATTGTTAATGCATGTTCAAATTTAAAACTTTTTTTAGAAAAATTAATTCATTAAATTCTTAAAGAATTTAATTAGTTAATGGAGAAAATTAATTTGAGAAATTCTCACAGATGGTAAAATTTATTATTAATTTACATATAATAATTAAAGATCGGATAATCAAGAAAAAAGGCTGATTTTTTGCATTTTTATTTATTATATTTTTTGTTTATCAAAAATTTTGATAAATTTAAATTGATCAAACGATCAATGTTTACATTTTTATGATTAATATTTTATCTAATTGCAGAATGTAACCAAGCATGCAGGTATCAATCCTCAGATGATCCTAGCAGACGATGTATTTTACCCCACGATCCGGGTAATTGTGATGGTAATTTTGAACGTTGGCATTTTGATATGCGAATACGGCAATGCGTTTGCAGGTATATTCAAAAAAAAATTTTTTTTTTTTCATTCATTTTATTTCATTTAAATTTCTTAGGTAATCATAAAAAGAAAAAATCCAAATAATTACTACTAAACTATATGCTTAATTAGAGTTTTCTTATTTAGTATAAATTGACTGAAATAGAATTAAAATTAATTTATAAATTTGTGAACTACTCTGTTGTTATGGAAATTTGGGAAAAAATTCAAATATTATTCATTAATAATTTACAGTATATTACAAAATTTTGTTGAAAATATTTCATACATTATTTTGGAAAGTTTAAGAATTTCAAAATTTTAATATTTATTATAAATCTAAAAAATTATAATTAAAATTTTAGTTGGTGGTCAGGTTGTGGTGGTAATGCTAATATGTTTTACTCTTATACGCACTGTATGTCAATTTGTGGAATTTATGCAGATAATCGCACTTCCGAAACAAAAATGTCATTTCGTCGTTTCATTCCTGAATCAAAAAGTAATCAAATTTATCGTGTAAGTAATTTCAGTATGGAATATTTGATTTGAATTAGAAGAGGAAAAAAGTTTGAAATTTGTTTCATAACTTGGAAATATTTGATAATTTTCAAGAAAAAATTTTTCACAGATATATGTTTGAATTCTATTCCTCAAATTGTGTCAATTTTTTTTTCTAATTTACTTGTTTTCTTCCATAATTATAATATAATTTTCTTTTAACTGATAAAATAAACAGATTGATTAAAATGGATGGTTAAAAATCAAATGAAGAAGTTGTTAAAAAAAAAAAAGAGATAGTGAAATTCTAAGATGATTAAATGCAAAGTTAAATAATTTTTAAATTTTATTTCAGAGATTTGCAGAACTGTTTTTTTTTTTTTCATTTTTATTTTTTAAAAAATTTTTTTCAGCTCAATGAAGCTATGCCAACAAGACAAGGACGACAGTACAGTAATTTATTTGTAAAATCACCGAGTAAAAATGATAGAGAATATCAACGAAAACAACATAATAGATTATTAGCCGAAAAGATAAGATACTCTCCACATTTTCTCAGATTTTAATTTTATTAAAGAATTGTAATTATTGAAAATGAAAATCTATGAATCATCTTGATTGGAATACTTTTTTCATATATGAAAATGAATGTGAAAAATTCAAAATGAGGAGTAAAATTTGAATTTGAGTTAGCTGATTGAAGAAAAATAAATAGATGATCAATCAATACAAATAGATCAAAATAAATGTTTCATAAAAAAAAAAAAAAAAAAGGAAAAAATAACTAATATTATTCAACTTAATTTGATATATACAAAAAATTTGTGTATATTAATGACTTTTTAATAATTTCAGAAAATGCAAGCAATGAATGCACGAAACGATCAAAGTGGTGGTGCGCAATTGGCTAGAAGATATCAATATTTGCTACGATATAATCCATCTCAACGTTGGAGAATGATTTCAAATCGTTTTAAACAAGAACCAAGACAGAGATATCATAGTCAAATAATGATACGAAAACGTGGACGGATGCAAATACCGCAAGAACGTTTAGAAAAAGTAAGAATTAACGTGACAGGCGGGCAAATCAGTTATTCAGGATCACGAGAAGTACCACGAAATAGTCAAATTATGTCACAAAATAATCAAATTCGAATGAACCAAACAACTGAATCATCTGAACATCTTCGTGCAAAACAAATGCAAATTTATGAACGTGCACGTGCTGAAGCTTTACGTGAACGTAACAGACTAATAGAACAACGTCGTCGTGATGAATATGAACGAGCAATGTTATATCAACAAGAATTGCAACGATATCAGCAAGCTCTTCAATCAGCGCAAAATCGCATACCAAAAGAACGAATAGACGACAAAGAGATTTGGCGACAACAGCAACAAGTAGCAGCACAAGGACAGTATTTGAATTCAAGAAACGATCAATCCTTTGGTGAATCTTCATCAAGAAATTTTAAAACATCTGAAGAAATGAAACATGCAAAGTTAAAACATCGGAAACTTTTAAATTTTGAAAAATTAAAACAGTTAGAAAAAAATCGAAAACTACTAAAAGCCACCTCAAAAATGCATCAACATTGGTGGTGGGCGCAACAACAACAGCAACAACAACAACAACAAAGGGAAAATTGGTCAGATCAGATGAAGGTACCGGAGAGAGATAATGGGAACGAACTTGATTCAGAATACGGAAAACAGCCAACGTATACAGCTCAACCCCAACGTCAGCAACAAACGCCATCTTATCAGACTTCTTCAGATTCATATCAGGTGCAAGGTCAAGGTAAGTAAAAAGTAACTATGTATAATGATAAGTGTCATCAATGAATCTTCAAGAAAAATGTTTTAACTTAATTACTGTTCAGATTGTTTTTTTTTTTTTTTTTTTTTGTTGTTGTTGTTTGTTATTAACTTTATGATATGATTTGCTAGAGTCTATGAAAATAATCTCTCTTATTAGACTCTTAATTACTTCAAAAGATCAACATGTGCACCCGAATAACTTTGAGAATAAGTGGAAATGGTAAAAAGACGTGAAATTAATTAGAAGACATTTGAATTTAACGTGAATTTAATTCAGAATGCTAAATTTTTAGTACGTGACCTGCTGGAAATTCCAACAAATCCTACTAACACTGAACTGGAAATGGATCAAAGTGTAATCGATCAGTCAGTTAGGGAAGGAAATTGGCATCGTAGTGAGGTGCAACCGGATGCTGAACGTTTTCCGTTTGAAATGATTGTGGCTGCAGATCGCGTTCCGGATCGTCAGGATGCTCATTTTGCAGAAACAATAAGTGCCAGTCCATCATCATCATCAGTTGATGATGATGTTCAAAAGAAGCAATTAGTTACCATTGAAGATTATGAAGATGAGAATTATGCATATGATCAACAAACTGAAAATGAAAATGGTAAGTTCACGTTTACGTTCACGTTCAGACGTGTGTCATTTTTTTTTTTTTTTATTCATATATATTTTTAGTTTTACATTTCATTCCTAACTGTATAATAATCAACTATGATAGTAATTCTTAATTCTTACTACTTTAAATCTTACTGAATTTTTTTTTTTCCTTTCGATTTTTTATATCAAATTTCTAATCTTAAAAATTCCAACAAAAATAAACAATTCAATATTTGTTTATTTAAGCATAAAATTTTACAAATTAAAAAAAAAAAAAGAGAGTATTTCTGAGGAATAATGCATTTACAATATATTAATGCATAATACTATAAATTCAAAAAAAAAAAAAGAAATTAAATTTTAGAAGATCAAGGATCAACTTTTTCGAAACATATTCCAGCAGAATTTGTTGAAGGACAATGGGCATTGACAATAGCTGTACAACCTACTTTACCTTCCATATTTACTTCTCATTCAACCATCGATGAATCAATGAATACAGAGAAAATCATTACAACAACAATGGAAACACTGAAAAAAAGAAAGGAATCAGATGCAGAAATGGATATGATAGAGATAATACCATCTAAATAAGATAAATAATCATTTGAAAATTTTAAATAGAAATGATAAGAGAATTACTCTCTCTTTTGGCATATGCAATGATAAAATATAAGAATGATCAACTAATGATAGAACTATTAAATAAATTAACTAAAGATAAAAAAGATTATCAATGATTAAAGATTACACTGATAATTATACTGATTAAAAACATTCAATAATACTATTAAATTAAAATTCTCCTATGAAATGCAGTAAAATTAGCTAAACAAATAAATGTTAAATTAATAGTAGAATTTTTATAATTTCAAAATTGTAATAGAAGTTTAACATAGATTTTTGCATAGGATTAAAATTCAAAAATGAATAAACTCATTTCTAAGTTTAAAATTATTAAAGTATTTATAGAGAAAAGGATTAGTGATCAAGTTACAGGGTAACTTCAATGTATACTTTCACTTTTTAAATTCATTCTATAATTATTCTTACTGCCATTATTTATTTATTTTTTATCTGTTGGATTGTTCTGATGTACTGCCAAAATTTATTGTTTCAATTATATGCATTCATACCAAATATTTATAATATGAATCATTCATTAATATATGTGAAATAAAAATATAATAGCATATTGCATTTCTATATGCGTGAAAAATTTACAATTGACGTACGTGAAGCTTTTGACGAATTTAATTGATTGATTGATTGAAAGATAAATTTATTGATCAGTTTGCTTAATAAATTTTTGATAATGCATTGGTAAATGAATTACTGATTAAAATTGAAATAACTTGCTTAAAGTATTGTTATTATTATAAGTGAGAAATGAAGTAATTAAGTATATTCTTTTATTTAATATTCTAATTAAGTTTAAATTAAATGAGAATTTTAAACAAAAAAATGAAATAAATTCAATTTCTAATATCATTTGATATATTATTGTTTTCATTAAGCAGTTGAGTAAGCACAATTGTGATAACTAAAAGAAAATAAATAAAAAAGGATGATGAATTACGTAGGTATTTTTTGTTAATTAATTTAAATTTGTGTCATCTAATTAGCATTCATTTCGCTTTCTTTCTTTCTTTCTCTCTCCCTCTCTCTCTCTCTCTTCCGCTCCTTTTTTTACTTTTATTTATTTGATCTTCACAATTATTTCAATAATTTGGTAAATTGAACTAAAAGCAAAAATAGTTCAATTGTCAAAGATAAGAATCAGTGAATGATTAAAATTATAATAATTAGCTGATAACAGTTGATTAACAGCAAAAATAACTTCAAAAATATATAAATTATCAATCCGAATCTTTTCTTTCTTTTTTTTTTGTATTAATGTAATTTTAATATTTATTGATTTTTTAATAATTATAAATGTTTAAAATTAAAAAAAAAAATATTTATTGAGAATAATTTCTGAGAGAGAGAGAAAAAAAAGATTATCTTTTATCATTTTTCTCTATTTCTACTAATTAATCTATCGATGATTTATGTTTCATTTTTTTTTTTTATTTTTGGTAATTTAAATTGATGACATATCTTTTGTAATAATAATTAAAATTAAATGATATATCTTTTGTAATAATAATTTAAATTAAATGATATATCTTTTGTAATAATAATTAAAATTAAATGATATATCTTTTGTAATAATAATTAAAATTAAATGATATATCTTTTGTAATAATAATTAAAATTAAATGATATATCTTTTGTAATAATAATTAAATTAAATGATATATCTTTTGTAATAATAATTAAATTAAATGATATATCTTTTGTAATAATAATTTAAATTAAATGATATATCTTTTGTAATAATAATTAAAATTAAATGATATATCTTTTGTAATAATAATTAAAATTAAATGATATATCTTTTGTAATAATAATTAAAATTTTTACAGAGTATTGAAATGGATAAAGCAAAAGCATTGTTTGCACAAAAATTAGTGCAAAAGGAAATTGATATGAAAAATTATAATTTACAACAAATTGCTAAATTATTGAAGGAAACATTTGATAAGACATACGGTATTGGATGGCAATGTATTATTGGTAATAGCTTTGGTTGCTATATAACACATTTACCAAATTCTTTTCTATATTTTTCTGTTCAATATTTTTCTGTGATACTTTTTCAAACAAATTTAACCACCGCAATAGTTTAAATATTTTGTATTTTTATTCGTAAATTATAAAGCAATTTAAAAAAAAAAAAAATAAAAAAAAAAACTACAACTTAAATAAAATAAAATCCACCATAAAAATATTTTACAATTTTAAATTATAAAGCAACTGTAAAAGAATGAAACAAATAAATAAACAAAAAAAAAAAAATACGATTTTTACAAAAATTCATCATAAAAATGATGTGAGTAGAATTTTCATATTTAGAAAGTCTTCTAAATTAAAAAAAAAAAAATTTAGAAAATTAAGAGATAATTAATGTTAAATTTATACATAAATAAAATTAGGAAATTAGGAATAATTTAATAAAAATTACACAAACCAATTTAAAGGAGAAATTTTAACACTTAAAAAGTTTATTTTAAACTTTTTTTTTTTTTGCAACGAAAGAATTTTTTTTTTTTTTGAGATTGTAAACATTAACATTTATTAGCATTTGTAGGCAAATAAATTTTAAATATTTGTCTTTTAAAGATTCAAAAAAGCAATGGCGCAAATATTTATGCTCCTTTTACAGTTATTATAATCGTATGAATAGAATAAATCACAACTTGTAAATTAATTTAAGCATAAATGAATACATAAATTACTTAATGTATGACATAAATAACTTCCAAATGAATTTAATAAGTAAATAAAAAATCTACTGAATAAATAAATAAGTAAATAAATAAATAAAATTTGGACTTAACTTTATGTTAATAGTTAAAAATAAACAGCAACAATAAATAAAGCTAATACTTTAATAAATTCAGCTCATTTGAAGATGAATTTATCACTTAGAATATTTCAGTGCTTCAGAAGAATACTTCTCGGTACTGCTCATTTCAAATCATTTAAAAAAAATCTTTTAAATTAATCATTTAAATTTCTCTTGAAACTTTAAAATGTATATGTTTAGTTTAATTTTCTTAAAATGCAAATTTTAAAGAGTGATTTAAAAAGAAAAAAATTCAATTAAACAGTATGATGTCAATGCTTCAAGCAATCCGGAATGTAACAACCGATTTTATTCAATATTCAGGATGGGAAATTGTTTAAAAAAATTCGGTTGTAATTAGAGAACATTTTGTTTTTGCATTTCTTTATGACTTTTATGCATTATCATAAGTGCCGGATATATCATTTTAGAGTAAACACTGAAAATTACATTAAAAAAAAAAATTATACCACTAAAAATTGTTTATTTTATTCTCATTCATTTAAGAAAAAAAAAATTTATTTAATTCAACTCAAATTTTCAAATTGAACAAATACATTTCAATTTATTTAATTCCAGAAATTTTTTCATACATTTACAGATTTCATTTCATTTTTAATTTCCAGTCATTTTAAATTATTTTAACTTTTGTATGACTCAACATGTTTGGGAATGTAAAAGAAGGTTCACTTAAAGCTATCATTAATTCAAGAGCAACAGAGCAGCATGAAATTGATGAAAAATTCAGAAATTAAAAAAAAAAAAAAAAAAAAAAAACAATTTTTCAGATATTTGTGTAAAAAAATAAAAAACAAAAAAAGAAATACAAAAAGTAAATATTTACCATAACTAAAATTATTCTAGAATAGAATAATTAATGAACTCAGTGGAGTTTAATATTTTGATTTTCTTAATTTAACAAAAAAAAAAATTAGAAAATGAAAAAGCAATTTAATTCATAGTTTTATTTTTTTCTTTTATGACAATCATTAAGGTTCATTTTTTTTTCTTTTTTATTGTAAACATACATAATAACTTTTTAAAATTCAAATTTGCAACATAATAATAACATGAATTACATTAAGTTACATTTATCAAATAAAATTAAAAAAGAAAAAAAACTAATATTAAATAAAATTAGACATTACTGAATTTTAGCTAAGCCTAAAAGAGTTAACAAATCTTCCGGTACACATCGACAATCATGAGTTAAATTATTACCAAAATTTTTGCATTTTCCCTTGCAAAGATTTAAACTGTCGATACATTTATGATCATTTGTATCATAGGAACATCCATTAGGCTAAAATTTTACAAATTTTTATTTTTTTTTTTTTTTTTATAAATCTATATTAATGATTTAAATTGAATTTTTTTTTTTATTTTATAAATCTATATTAATGATTGAAAATTGATGTATGAAAAGAATTTGTGATAGTTAAACAGATCATTTCAGTAATCAATAATTTGTACCAAAATACTAATTAAATTAATAATTTGAAATATTTTTAGAATAAAAAAAAAAAATAAATTTATAATTAAAATTACCACAAATCTATTCTTATCATTCAGAATATTAGCTCCTAATAATTTTGGTGTTAGACCGTTGCCATCCATTGGTGCTACTTCAGCATTATTTAACAAAATGCCATGATTCAGGAAATCTACCGGAATTCCGGTATTCTGACGTAACATTCTATCACTACGATCATATGGCATAAACACATGCGGCATTATTCCTGTATTAAAATAATTTATTATTAACTATCAAAATTAAGATAACACTTGAAAAAATTTCCCGCAAATTTTAAATTTAAAAAAAAAAAAAAACTTAAATAAATTTAAAAAGCAAAAATTCACTACGAAATTATCAATAAAAATTACCAATATACGGTCTTGTATTGTAATTTTCCAACTGATAGTTCGGATAGAGGCTCCATTGTCTGAAGCGCTGTTGACATGGCACTTCGGTCATCATGACATTCATACATCCGCCACCGTATCCTAATCCGATATTTTAAAATTATAGAATTATGAGTAAACAATTTCTATTAAACTTAACCATATGAATATTTAATAAATGGAAAAAAAAAAATTTTTTTTTTTGATTTAAATTATTTGCAAATTAGCTTATTCACAAAGTTATCAAAACAATTTAATTATAATTTAAAGATTTTGAAAAAAAAATTTTTCTAATTTTTAATTCTCAAAAAAAAAAAAAAATGCTTATAGGATTTTTAAAATTGTTATTAAAAAAAAAAATGAAAATTAAAGGAGTAAACTGTATAAACCTTGATATGGATGTGAATTATAAAATGTATCATACATTTCATACGGTGGCCAAACTTGTCCAGCAATAGCTGTTACTACTAATTTAATAATAGTAATAAAAAACAGCCTAGACGTATACATCTGAATTTTCACAATGAAACATTTAAAAATGCGCAAAGATCATTGTTAAAGATGGGAGGCGCAAAGGTTACTGAAAATTGGAGTTGAAAAGGAGGTAAATAGTTTTACATATGACCGATTTATGCCTACCTGACCAAATATTGAGAAATTTAAAATGCATTTATCCTCAAAAGAAATACTTAACGAAAAGATTTATGGAAAAAAAAAAAATTTAGGTCAAAAAGACATTTTAGTTGACACAACTAAAATTTTCAAGGTTTCAAAGTTTATTTGCATAAAAACTTTTCGCCTAAATTTTAAATTTCACAAAAAAAAAGAAAAAAAATTGAAATAAATTATAATTATCCTTCTTAGGTTTTATTAATATACCGCTTGATAGCATTTACACATTAAATATATTTTAAAACGCTAATTAAATTATACGTTGATTTATAAATGGCGCAAATGTTTTAAAACGATGGAATTTAAAAAAAAAAAAAGTGAAATCTTCTTCAAAATTGTTTAAAGTAATAAATAAATTTTAATTGTTAATACTAGAATTAGCAATGAATGTAGTTGGATAAAATCTAACATTTAAATACTGACAATTTGTTTGTTATAAAGTTGTAAGTGACTGTCAACTTGTCATACTTTCATAAGTTCAATTTTATAATGGTTCAAGGTTAAAAACTTTTCATTATTCTTCCATATTTCAAAATTTTTCATTGACCTTGTCGTGAGGAAAAAAAAATGCAAATGTGGATGCATAATACAAATTTCATAGAATTTAAGTTTATTTTATAATTCATCGCGAATATGCTTGTATTACATGTATAATCTATCTCTAAGTAATATTTTTCCTATTCAAACATTTAAATTATTAAATTATTAACAATAGCAATAAGTATTTAGAATGGTAAAAAATCAAAATGTAAAAAAAGAAATTTTTTTCCTCAATCTAAAATTTGAATTATAATTAAAATATAAAATAATAATATCTTATGAAAACCTTAAAATATCTTAAAAAAAGTATTTTTAATATTATCTGAATTAATTTCTTACATCAAACTTTATAATATCATCTCCAATTATCTCTAATCATGTTACAAAAATTTATTTTTTATATTAATACTAAATTATTATATTACATTGCTAAATGAAATTTTAATTTATTGTATAAAAAAAAAAAAAAAGCTTTTTTTTTTAAAATGAAACTTAAAATGTAAATATTATTAAACATTTAAAGTATGCAATTGGTCAGTTTCATTAAATAAGAAATAACGAATTCGAAAGAATACAGAAAGACTTTGTTTTGAAAAAATCGTTAAATGATTTGCTTCATCCACATAAAATGGTGGCACAGCACGAGGAAATCGTTTCATTAATATTTCACTGTGATTTTTAGGTATAATATTATCCATGCAACCATGGCATATTAGTACAGGAACATTAACATTTGGTGCTCTATCGTAACTTAAAAATAATTAAGTAATCATTGCTTTTTTAATTTAAAATTTTAATGAATGAAACAAAAAGAATATAATAATAATAATAATAAAAGTATAATAATATATAATAATAAAGAATATAACTTCTTAAATATAATAATAAAAGAATATAATAACTTCTTAAATATATTTGGAAAAAAATGATAATATTTCAAATTTCATTTTTATTTTGGTTAGAATTAAATTTAAATTTGACAAGAAATTGAATTGTTGTTGAAAGAAAAATAAAATCTGACATGTTTGTAACATTCATAAATGTTATGTAAAATTCTAAAATTTCATATAATCATTAAAAGTTTTAATGCAACTTTTTATCAATTCTAATTTCAAATTTTAAATTTGAAAATCAAAAAAAAAACAAAACAAAATTATACCTTAAAAATCGATCCATACAACATGTTCGATTAACTTTTGTATACAGTCTTAAGCCAGATGCAAGTGGCGCAATTAGTACTATTCCACAAAGATTTGGCGGATGTTTTGAAGCCATATAAATTGTTGGTACTGTCCCAATACTATAGCCAAGTAATGCAATCTGCAAATTATTTAATTAATTACTCACTATCGTTTGGCTTATAATTCATTTAAATTATTATTATTATTTCATATTTGGATAATTTAATTAAAAATTAGATTGCTAATTAATGCACACTAATTAGGCCTTTTACAATAAAATTATTTGCAAAATTCTAAAAATAAATCTAATTTCATTTTTCATGTTAACTTTTTCTTATTTACACTTTTACTCTTATTGATTCTATATTGACTAATCTTTAATTACATTTAATTTAATTCTGATAAAATTATCAGTTTTATCACATTTCGTAACTTTCCAATGAGTTTTACTATATAAATTTAAAAAATTCATAAAATGATTATTTAATGCGATGGCTTACTCGAACATTTGGTCCTTGTGATTCAGAAATATGTTTATAAGCAGCTTCAATGTCAGCGTAAATATTTTTTTCGGATGGACTACCGGTGCTAATACCGTATCCGGAATAATCATAAGCATACACGATAGTTTTTAATAGTTTAGAAATATCCCTGAAAATATAACATGATTAAAATTTCTTTTAAATTCTTCAAATTTAGATGTTCTGGACTGTTAACATGAAATAGCTATATGTTCTGTATTAGCATGAAATCAAAATTCAAATTCAAATTTAATTATTCGTTTTATTCTAATTAGACTTCTACTTCTACTGAATTTGAAAATTTTTAAGTTTGAACCACAAATCTTTAATTGAAATTGTAAATTTGTCTATCATAGCTAAGATATTTTAGAATACGTAATATGATAAATAAATTATACGTTAAATTTCAAAATTATAAATGAATAATAATTTCTATTTCGACGATTTTTTTTAATATTTCTAATTTAATTTCACAAAATATTTGAAACAGAATCACTATGCTAACATTTAATTAATGAAAATTTACCTAAAATTTAATCCACGTGGGTGAAAATAACATCCTAAATCAGAGCTATTTGGTTGTGAAAATAATACTACCTAAAAAAAAAAATATATATTTAAAAAAGGCAAAAAAAAAAAAAAAAAGGTCTTGCAACTTAAAATGAACTTCATTAAATGAGATTAAAATTTTAATTAATTAAAATGAAAAAAAAAAACTACGACTAATTTTATATGATGGAAAGAAATCAATTTAATATTAATTTCCAACATTTTAACAGTCTATAAGTTAAAAAAAGATTGTAAAATGTTGTAATTGAAGAATTTTTTCTTTTCTTTTTTCTTAATTTACTTTTTATTTTAATAATATCTGTAAAGATAGTAATATTTTAGAAATGTCATAGATTACTAAAATTGCTTAAAACTTTAAAATGTTCTGTAATATATTTACCAAATGTTTAGATTCATCATTTGATAAATTACTGCTAATCATTAAAATCGGTAAATGTGAGCCACGTCTTGTTTTAATTATTGAAGTTTCAATACCTTCCATTAAAATTGATGATCCATCAATGAGATTTTGCATTTCAAATTTTAATGATGTAAATTTTAACGCCTAAAGAAAAAAAAGAAGGAAGAAAACTTTAAGCTTTGATTAGTAAAATAATTTTGTTTTAGAAAAAAATTCAACCAATTTTTTTTTTTTTTATTATTAAAAGTTATTTTATTTTCATTTTAATTAATTCATTTCATTTTTTTTTTTTTTTGTTTTTTAAATTGCAAATACCTTTTTAGCATTATTAATTAATATAAAATTGCCATGTATATCTTTTCCAGATAATACATATGTTTTTCCTCTTTTTAGTGGATGAAATGCTAATTTTCGAACAACCATTTCTGGTATTGGTGGACAACAAAATATATAACATAATATACCAGTAAACTGGAAATGATAATAATTTAACTTTTAAAAATTTATAAATTTAAACAAGAAAAAAACAGTTTTTCAAATTAATTTTTGCAAAATGATTGAAAGAAAGAAAAAAAAAAAGGGATTAAACCTTTAAAAGTAGGAAACATAATTGACAGCAATAACAACGACGTTTTTTTGATGCTTTCTTAATTTTCTCCGATTTTAGATCATTGAGTACAAGTTGATCATTTGATTGTAATTCCGCATGTCGCATACATTTCTCGAATTTGTCATCATTTTATTTAAAATTCTTAAAATTTAGCTAAAGCTACTAATAAGTTAAAATTTATTATTCTTTTATTAAATTATGATAATGTGTATAGTTTAATTTACATATGAATAATTTACTTATTTGATTTCACTTCAAATAAAACTGAAAATTATGATTATTTTACAATTTCTATATCATTTATCTATTTTTTTTCCTATATTTTATTTCAATTAAATAAAAAAAAAAAGTGCTCAGATTCTAGGTAACGTGTATTTTTGAAAAAAACTAGCGTACGTAAATTTTTATGCGCATTTTTTTACATTATTATTCTGTAAAAAAAGATTTTCCGTTTTACAATAAAATTTTTTTTTTTTTTGACGTAAGTGATCAGATGCAATTATAGGTAATAATGTTAGTTTATTATCACATGTATATCATTTTTAGTTTCATTTCTTTTATAATACTCACAAAAAGAAAAAGAAAAAAATCATTTTGTAAAACAAAAATTAATTAATTACAAATTTTTTCCTTCCAAATAGCATTTTATTTTTTAAAAAATTTTTCTACTACTTTCTTTTTTCTCTGTGAAACAGCAAAACACGAAAGAAATTCTGAAAGAAATTTCTTTTCGCTTCTCTAAAAGTAATAAAATCAATTTTTCGCGATTTTGAACTTAATCAAAAATTTCAAATTTACCAAATTATCAGCATGATCAGAAATTAGCTCATTACTGGTAACAATTCCAGTTACACTTATCAATTCCTGATCTGAAATCTCGTCATTAGCGCTTGCAACAATGCTCATTTCACTTCTTAGCGCATTTGTCGTCTCATCAATACATTAATTAGGAACAGAAAACAACCGATTATAGCAATGAATTTTATTGTTAATATGATTTTTTATTAATATTTAAAGCTTTTTTATTCAACAATTTCGATTTATTAATGTAAAAATTGAATTAAAACAAAACAAAAAAACAACAAAACTTTTACATTGTGATCATTTGTCATCAAAGAAATGTTTAATGAAGAAATCACTGAAAAAGAAAATTAATTTTTCTCCATTGCTAATTTTCATTTTTCATTTCTATATCTCGTTTTGAATTTTTTTTTTCAGTGACACAAATACATACTCCAAAAAAAAAAAAAAAAAAAAAAAACACTGCTCGATGACATTGATCACACAAAACAATGATTTAATCAAAAATCAAACTTCAAATCATACACTTCAATTAATTAATTCAACTATTTAATAAAAAATGATACTATCTATTATCATATAATTCAACTATTTAATAATTATTACCTATTATCATACTTATGATGGTATTTCAATCGAAATTATCGATCATTTTGCAAATAGTGCGAATCTGAACAAAGTGTAATAATTCATCTATAACAGCTAATGTTGCTGAATAAGATGTTTACGACGGTGACAAATTACCCTACGATTTGAAATTCTCTATGTAATAAATTATAAAGTAAAAAATCACAAATTGACTGCCGCATCCTTTACATCTTTTCTTTACATTTACCTGTACTGCAGTTAATTCATTCACATTCACATCTTCGTGATAAAAAAAAAAGACGTTTAGATCTTATCAAAGTGACGAAAAATTTGCACTATTTGCTCAACTGCAATTTGTTTTATAATCTAAAAGCATGAAATAAATAAATAAATAAAACAACTGTAACTGCAAACATTTAGAATCTTTATAAAATACTCCATTAAACTTGGAAAATAGATATTAAAAAAAAAAATAAAATAAAAAATAAACAAAGAGAATAATCCAAAAATAATTAAGAAGGAGATATATAATGTGTAAATGAGCAAAAAATAATGATAACAATCTATCCATAAGTTATATAAAGTTCAATTCAACTTTAATATTCAAAAAAAAAAAAAAAAAACACTGAGTCAGAAATTAATCTGAAACTGTTTGTCTAACAGAGTAGTAAATAATTTTCAAATGAAATGAAAAATTAAAATTGTAATGCGATTGCAAGCGATGTAATAATCAACTACTTATTATAGACTATAAAATTCACAAAATTATTTTAGAATTCTTCAATGATTGCTTTGCATAACTATAAAGAAGAACATTGCATTAAAAATATTTGCTGCATTTTCAATTTTTCTCAATACATACTCTCGATCTTCTCAATTAGAATAATTATCATTCCTATTTGCTGGTTTTCGAAATAGTTTTGTCAATGATTTTGCTGTCTGTTAATAAATGATTCCCATGCAGCATCACGGTACCGCCTCACTTGAGTATTGATATCAGCTGCATCAGTAATTGCTCGTCCCACTATCACAATATCATTTCCATCTATACCTATTGCATTCTCAATTGTACGCCAATTTTGACCAACTCCATCACTCACTGCATCCATATGAACTCCTATATGACAGCAATCATTTTTTTTTCAAACTATCAATAAATATTCAAAAAAAAAAAAAAAAAAAAAAAAAAAATAAATAAATAAAAAAGATTTTCAACCAAAATTCAAAATTCTTACTTCTTTCCACACACATTTTTTTACCTTATACAGTAAAAAATAATTTGAACGAATTTATTTAATAATTAAATATTTAATAGGTCAAAGATGAAGAACAAATAAATCTTCAGAAACCTAACAAAAAAAAGAAAAAAAATTGGTTATAGCAAAACTAGTCGTTTATTACTCAATACCTGCAGTCCAATAGAGAAAACCCGGTATATTAGCGCAACGTTTCTGACAAATGAATCCACTTACGATATCACGATTATTCTTTGCCAAATCCAATGCATCTGAAAGACAGATGAAATCAAGCACTGTTCATATTTTAATCTAAACTGGAATTCTAACATTAAAAATCTTACATCAATCAAAAATTAAATTTAATATCCATTAAAAATAAACAGTAATTTTCCAGTTATATTGTTTCAAATAAATCATCTCTTTTTACTCATTACAAATTCTATTTTTGTTATTTGTAAAAAATCCAAGTAAAATTTCTCCGTCAAAAAGCATTGTAGCATTTTGTACTGCTCCAAACACACAAGAAAGGTAGGTAGGCATATTTAGTTAAGTTAAATTTCCCAACCACAGTTATTACACCATTCGCCTACCATTCAAATATTGTTTCGATTTAGTGAAAGATCCAGAACTCATTTCTATAACCAACAAACAACCAGTAAGTTTTGTCTCTGGCTGATTAACAATCTGAAGAAAATATTTGGTAGTACTATGGTCTATTCTTCAACAGATACATATTTAAGTTCATATTGAAAATTCCACAAATAATAAGAGCTATTAAATTTATAAAATGCATAAAATAAAAAGTGTATTAAATGACGACAAGAAGTGAAAGAAAAAAAAAAGTATTACATTTATCCTACCAAATTTAATAATAAAAACGAAACAGTTTAGAATTAAGCAAAGAAGACAAAAAGACAAAAATTTCACCACGAAAAAAAAGCACTATTAAACATGTCTTCAAAATTATGAAATCAAGGTTAAAAAGTTGAAAAAGAGATTTACTCCAAAAGAGATCTGATGCTTAAAATACTTAAAATATTCAGATTTAAAAATATATATATATGTCTAAAATAATCGGATTTTCCGAAAAAAATGAAATAAGTATTGTTTTTGGGTAAAATAAAATAAGTACAAACCTTTCTTACGACATTCAAGACAGGTTGACCAGAAAGAACATGTACAGTGACAATCTGTGCCCAAGATGCTATCTTGAATGGTCCTTTCGTAAGCTGCAAATTCGTCGTGTAGCCAGTATCAGCTAACTTTCTAGAAAATAAAAAAAGTTGATTAGTTAATCTTTCATGCATTCTACAACAGACAAACTTATTAGATTAGAAACATTAAATATTCATAACTAAAACACTATAATATTTATTGCGCTAAAAGTGAAAAAAAAAAAGGAAAGAAGAGAAAGTTTTCACATGACTTTAATAGGTGATATATACTTCTTTAATATATACTTATATTACCTCAAATTTTTCATGATAAAAAAATAAAAGTATTATTAAACCTGTCTTCAAAAATGATGAAATCCAAATTATTTGCCATCGCTGTAAGTTTCTGCACAAAAGCATCACTGAAATCTTCAATCACATCAGCGTGAAGTTTTACGGCACAGATATAACCAGCAGTCTTTTCGATAATTTGTATAATCTCCTCGCATTTAGTGATGTCAATTGCTATACACAAACATGTTTTTTTCTGGAAATAAAAAATGCAATTTTAAAAAATAATTATGTCTTTTTAAAGACGGCTTTCTTCACCATCTTTATTGCTTTTCTAAATAAAAGTGAAATATTACTGTTCTCTCAAAATTCCTGGATATTGATTAAGTCGAAATGCTAAATCAGTCTATATGTCGCACGTTTGCTTATCGTAAAATATTTCGAAATTTAGCGTCAATCATTACTCTTACTGGCAATAATAATGCAAAGAAAGCATTACGTTTTTTTTAAAAAATATAAAGTACAGCCTTCTTAAAAAAGAAACTAGAAATAATTTGTTTACTAAAATTGAAAGTTTGAATAAATGAACCACATAAAAAAACAAGTATTAACCTTATTCATTATTTCCAATAATTTTTTATTTAAAATATTTGGTGTAGAGTTTTTCCGTGATGTTAAAGACCAGTCATCATTGTATTGTACTTTTTCAATCGATTGCGGTGGGAGTGTTAATTGATACAGTATATTTTCCTTCATTTTTTTGGTAATCGTACCAATATCGATCAGGAAATCAAGCACTTTATTCATTCCCAGTATACTGCAATATAAAGAATGAATTCTCTAAAAGTTACACAATGCAAACATTACAATGTTTCCCTTTTCCATCTGTTTGTGTTAAACAAGGTGAAAGAAAACTAAATAATACCACAAATTCCCGTTCTATGATGCCGAAACATTAAAATTTAAATCAGTTTTCATCTCTAGTTCCAATACTAAAAAACCAGTTGAATAAAGGCAGCTAAATTAACTGCACACTTCAAAATTATAAATGGCAAAAAATTAACCTATGTAGAGTAATTCCTTCATCCTGAATATTTTCTGGACCACCTTGTTCACGATCCAAAACACATATAGCATCTTCACAGACTAGACCTTCGCTGCGTAAAGCAAGAACTGTTTCCAAGATACTTTTACCTGAAACAAACAAAACATGCACATACAATTTAAAAAAACAAAAAAAAAAATGTTTTTTTTTTTTTTTTTTTCCATCTCTTCATATTTTTATTAAGGTTAATCGAAGGCAACTCTTGACTATCAGTACTATTTGCATGGGATTTACTTAGAAAATATAAATAAACAGTAAGACCTGAAACGACGACATCTTCAATGATCAGAGCACGTTTTCCACGTTCATAGTTGCCCTCGATAATTTTTCTCATTCCGTAGGATTTTATTTCTTTACGCCGTAACAACATTGGTTTCTCCAAACGATCAGCAATAATCTAGTAAAAGCAATAACCTTGTATACTGAATAAATTAAAATGAAAGAAATTTATTTATATCACATCAAAGCAATTATACCCTTATTTGAGTTTGATAAAAAGTGCTTAAAAAATATCTCCTCAATGAAAACATACCGTCGAGAGTGGTAATGCTGCGTATGGTACGCCAACGATATAATCATACTTTAAATTCTTCGCTTCTATCATGTTGCACATACAATTCGCTGTCAAGCTCTAGATTTCGATCAATTCCATTCAATATTACAGTGTCATGACTTTATATATATATATATAAACACATATCTCACTATATAATTCAAACATGCCGAAATTCAACTGATCTGACTCATGGATGTGCATCTAATATGACTTCAGACATTTGTTAAAGTATAACATTACATTTGACCTATAAATCTGCCTTATCTTATCACGTAAAGCAAACAATTTAAGTGAAAAATCTGATAAATGAATATTTTTTTCCAATAAATGGTACAATGGAAGTAACCTTATGTCATAAATATGACATTATTAACTATATTAAAGGAAAAAATTTCAACCAAAAACTTACGAAAACACTGGGTGACGTAAAGAGTAGACGTAAATCGATATAGATTGGTGAACTTTGACCACTTTGTAACGTATAATTGCCCAGCTTAAATACTCCCGTGCTATTCAGCTCCTTCAGTAGTAACCGCTCGTTGATCATATCGCCAGCACCTGACATTTTCCTTTCGACCAGCGCTTCCACAAAATAAATCCTCTTTCGAGAAAATCTTACCAATATTATATTGCTCCTTGCTTCTTGGAACTTACAACTTCTGTTAAAAAAACAAACGAAACAGATAAAATACAAACATTCTTACGTATAAAAGTCAGATCCTATGCACAAATGTAATTAATGTAAAATATCACAAATAAAAATTAATACACACACGAGAAATTCATTTCGTGGAATGGATTTGTTGAAAGAACTCCTAAATTTCAAAAATCATTAGCTAAAAGTAATAAAATAACTTAATGAAACATAAAACAAATTACAAAATAGTCAACTAAAAGATTATTTCTAAACAAAACTATAAAATAATTAACTAAAGAATTATTCCCATTACTTAAATAATTTCTCTATAAAAAAAAAAAAACAAAAAAGAAAAAGAAAAAAAGAAAAAAGAAAAAAGTTTGAGAAAAGTGAGATGAAATTAAAGCAACATGATCATATAAATACTTTTATAAATAGTTGCCATCTATCATGTGATTTGAAAATTTTTGAAATTGATTTATGGAACAATGAATCATCAAGTGTTAGTTACACTTACGGGTCATGTAAATAAACAAACAAATATAATATACTTTTATTATTTAATATGCAGCTAAGTAAACTTTTATTGTAGTCTCAAATTAAAGAGGAAATTTCTTTGTAGTAAACAAAAAATTTTCCCACCTTTTTTGTTATTGTTTTTATCATCATAACTACTTACTACTATATCATTATTACTATTATTATCATCATTTTTATTACTATTAATTAGTTAATTAATTACTATTATTGTATTTAAAGTTATTTCAAAAAAAGGAAAAAAGGAAAAATTGCGCATATATACAGTACGAAGAGAGAGAGAAAGGGAGAGAGAGGGAGAGAGAGAGAGAGAGAAAGCGATTGATTTTGTCATCATCAGAGCAATGAGGAAAAGAAAATCAATTAATTTAGGGACATTATGGGCAGTGCTTTTTTTTTTTTTTGTAAATTGCACCGTTTAAAGGTGTATAAATGCATCTAAAAAGTGATGACAATAGTAGCAGTATTTCGTTTTACATTTTAACTTTTTCATATAAAACAAAATGAATAGTAGTATCAAAATTGATTCTTTAGCATTACAATTTTAGCAAATAATTCAAAAATTGTGCAATATATGAAAAATATTTGTGAAGAAAACAAAAAAAAAATTTTTTTTGACATTTAAATAAATACAATTTTTGTGTAAAATTATTATTTTATTTCCTTTTTGGAACTATAACGCAACAATTTTTATTCTTTTTTTTTTATGTTAAAAATAAACTTATTATTGAAATTTGTATGACTAATCTGTAATTGATATCATTAGTTAGAACAAATGATACAAAAAAAAAAGGAAAAAAGATTTTTTTTTTTCTTTTAGGGATAACATTTGCATATAGCAATTCATTCAATTGTTAAAGAATAATAAAGGGCAAAAGCATCGGAATGTACATTTCATTGTTCAGTGAATTCTTAGCAACTGGTAGGTTTAATTTTGGACGATGCATTCTGCATTCACATTCTATGCTATTCTATTCTATGAGTCAAAATGAGATCAACATGTCATGTTATCATTTATTTCATCTTAGTTCAAAAGCTATTCATAATGAACTTTTACAAAATAGATAAAGTTGACGTTAGTTGATATGAATTACATTCCAATATTTAAATTATAAAGGGGGTTAAAATAAAGATACTAAAATTATTTAGTATTCAATAGAAATGGAGGTAGTATACCGTTATGGTGAACAAATTGAAACTACTGTTGAAACAATGCGACGTCGATGTCTTGCGGTTGTAGCATCTTTTTTGAAATTAATTTGCAAAACTTCATTAAAATTTATGAAAGTTTTCATCTAGCTTTTTGTATTATTGACAACTGTTAACACTTTAGCAGAAGTATTTATGAGATAAATTGTTTAAATATAGTTATTTATCTACAGACATTGTTGCTACAAAAACTATGGTCATAATTTACTTGTCAGAAATTCAGCTTCCAAATATGACGAAAAATTTGAAGCACATTTTAGTAATATTTCCAGATATATGATGGGACAATAAATTTGGGACAGAAAATAATACGAGCATCAGAAAAAATACGTGAATACGCAGAGCCAATTATTTATGAAATTTTCGAGAGTGTTTGTCTAGGGATTTTTTTTCTTTTCGAAATAGCATGAATAAGCTAATTTTTACTACCAAGCTATCATCTAAAAACTAGAGTTTAAATTTAAATAATTTTATAGAGTTACTTTTAAAATGGATTTACTTCTACTTTAAGATAAAATACTGCATTAAAATTTTACCACTTAATCTAAATATACAAACTCTACAAGAAATTTCGAAATGCCTTTGGTTGGACTTTAAGAAAATTTCCTATTTCATTTAGTATTCCAAAGTTTTCCCAAAAAATTTACAAAGGTTTCTGCAGATACAAACTGCAGTACACGATTTGAGCCCACTGGATGCAAGCGATAGAGAATTCCGCAACAGCTTACTGGAATTGTACTTGAGCTGCTCCGTCCTTTCAATTGGAATCAGTGCAGGTATTTAGTGAAATGTTAACTATTCTGGAGATAGAACATATTTAACCAACCTTTTTATCTAATCACAATAGTAAGAATTTGATATGACTACGGATTCTGAAGAAACAATTCCAGGAGAAATTTCTGGTACACTTGTACTAGGAATGCTATACCGAAAAATATTTGACTGGTGGTGGGAAGTATTACTGGTAATCTTATTGCCATGTTATGTTTATCTTACATTTAGAAAAAATGCAGGTAATTTTTTGAAATTCAAACTTGGACTTAAATTCTGGAATTTCGAAAAAATAAATATTAAATAATCAAATCTAGTTTTAAAAAAAAGAAATCATCTAAACCGAATAATGAATAGATTGCATCTGAACAATAAAAGAAATAAAGGTCAAATTTGACATAATCAGTTGACACCAACGAATAAAGAACTTCCTAATAATGACGATTCTACCCTGCAGCATTGGACGAAACTGAAAGACGTGTCAACTTATTCGGCCTAGGTCTCGCAATCGGTTCGTGTATAGGACATATGATGGGATATCGACTGATTTCAACCCTTCCATCAGTTAATTTCATCCAACCACTCATCCTAGCGCTGATGGTAAATCTGAAAAAAGAAACAAAAAAGAAACTCATCTAAATGAATTTTAATCTATTTGAAATCTGTCGAAATTATTCGACAATATGAACACAAACTAACATAAAATAAAGTCTTAATAGAATTTATGAATTCTTGGCAGGTGGATCCAGAACTTTCTCCACCAACCGTATATTCACAACGGTTAAATTTGCTAGCCATAGGTACAGGTGCAGGTATCGCCGTAGCTATTTTTCTCGCCATGATCCATGGCCTGTCATTCTGTATTATTTTGTCAATTGCTACCCACGCTGCATTCCTCGCCAGTCATTTTCAGGTATATTTATTCAAAATACTGCTCACATCCTCTTAAAAGATCAGCTAAGTCGTAATGTGTAAATAGCAACCTGGCCGTAAGTAATGGGAAAGGTAATAGAAGTCTACTTATATTTCAGTAAAAATTAGCCTTCATCAAAATGTAATTTACGTTTATATAATGCCAAGCCGACGACATCTTCAATTATACGAGCAATTCTAGGGATATACAAAAAATAGTCTTCTTTTATTAGCTGTGTATATATGCTTTAGCAAATCTATAGGTCGTATTGTATGCGATGAAAAACAAATCTTATGGGGTTGGAGAAGCTCAATTGTGCTACGTGCTCGGATCGATAATTAGCCAAATCCCGCTAGCAATAGTATTCGGTACCAGCAATGCCGGCTCTAATTGAAATAACTGAAACTTAATTCACTGAAATAAAAGATAATTCTTCCATGTAAACTTTTTTATTATATAATCGTTACAATGAAAAAATTAAAACAATCACTTTGTAGTAACATCGAAATAATATAAATCATTACTGCCCAATTACTCTGTCATTCAATACAACGTGTACATATAAGTAAAAGATACAATCATTAAATGAAAACTTTGAATGATTCCATAAATGACTAATCATTTTCGAAGTATGCATCCTCCAAATCTCGATCACACATCAGTTCATACTCTTTTGTCATCACATTATCAATAATAGAGTAATCATAAAATTCCGTATCATCACCTATAACTTCGTTATGAATAATCTTTACTTTCAGCTAAAACTAAAATTGCGGACTTTGACAGTCGTAAAGTTTGAAAATTATAGTGAATCATTCAGATCTGCTAAAAAGCAAAATGACTAAATTTGAGTAAACTTTCCAATTTTAGTTTTAACTGAACTGCTTTTAAAATCAATATACCAGTAAAAAAAAAAAAAAGACCTCTTAAGAACCGTTGTTCCATATGGTCGATGAAGTCTGCTCTCAGTTGTTCCTGATCATGATCTTCATCGGAAGATTCCGAAATTATCTCCTCTTCCGTTTTACGGCTGGAAGTTGGCTCAAGATTATCATTAGCAACTTCCTCAGAGCCGTCTTCAGACTTCGTTTCATCGTTGCCACTTTCCATCTCGTCACAAAATCGGCTCCTTGCGTGTTGCACTAAGTCACCAAATTTCGAAACATTCTCCCTATCATACTACAAAAATTACAGTTGCGTATGCAATTTGGGAAGGAGTCTTACTTTACAGTTTCTGGTGATCATACAATTAATTCCGAACCTTCGACTGTAATTGAACAATTAATTTCTAGCTTCCTACTATAACTAATTAAGGGTTAGGAAACTAGTTTTTATATTATTTTTCTTCCTTTTCACATCCATTAACGAACTGTATTTTCATTTTCACTTATCAATCATTCCCTACCAATTCATCTTGGGCTGTCGGAACTTTTCTTTCATCAATAATTGAGTAAACAAATTTATTAAAGGCTGGATTGAAGAAATGATAGATACTGATAGAAGAAGCGATAGAAACCATGGCTCTTTACCTTTAAAAAGTCATTCCATTCATTTAAATGAGCATTTCGTCGATTTGAAATGATCTGGGAATCTTCAAATTGCATAAAAACACCAGAAAGAGAATCATTTTCAATAGTTGGTCTAAGATAGAGTTGTTCCTCTTCTGGCAAAAATCTACCAATCATTTTATCAAACAGTAGTGGTTCGCGTTCTCGCATTTTCTTATCCGAAAAATAATCAGTTTCTCTTTTTAATCGCATTAATTCTGCATAGCGCTGATTTCGAAGTCTTATATTCTATAAAGATATAAAATACAGAAGAGATGGACAAAGTAAGACCGTATTATTCTTTGTTTATAGATATCGAAAATAACGAGACTAAAAGTGAGACATGAATTAAAATAAAAATTAGAATAGAGATCTTGAATCTATACAAATCATAAAGTTGAAATGAAAATACCTCCCGCTTCTTGATATCCCTATCGTTACATCTTTCCATAACTGCTTTTGCATAAAACTGAATTTCGTAATCATTTTGATCAAAACACTCGCAATCTTCCACTGCCAGATATTTGTGATAACGTCTCATGAATAAGTGTGAATTTGTCGCATATAAATTTTCCAACAATTCTCTGTAATTCGTTCCATTATTTACACCTGATAAATTAAAACAAGTAATAATTGTTACTGCGATGTAAGACAAGTTACAAACTTTGTGCATGTTCCTATGTTAATATGTCAGTACGTCTTAATATATTTGCTTTTTCATATTTATTAACAACTACAATTATCAATTATTTTGAAACATTAAAAAAAGGCATTCTTTGATTCAAAACCTTTTTTCCTGCATCGTTAAGTCGGGTGTATCACGTTGCTCTGAACGATAGAAGATATCGTCATGCGATACGATTCTGTCAATCATTCTAGTCAAACTTGGTGTTATTCTCACTTAAAATGTAAATAATAATATAACTTTACAAAAATTCCGCTCAAATTTTTTAAATTTAAATTATGGAATTAAAGCGTAATGCATTATGCTAGTTAGATTCACGTCATATCTACTGATCTCTTGTTACAGTGGGAAATAGAATGGGAAATAGACAAAAAACTTACAATCCTTCAATTTTCCTGTAATACCCATTGTTTTGGCGTAAAATACGTAACGTTAGCGTGAATAAACTTACGCGAATTTGCCAGGAAAGAATCAGGAAAAAGGATACAACATGTGAAGGAGAGAAAGAGACAGAAAACTATGAAAATTCCATTGAGAAAATGGAGAAAAGAGAAGTGAAAGAAATTTCACTGAAGCGGTTTGATTCTTCAATGTAGCGTACCGCTATGGGCAATGTTATGCTACAAATTTTACAAAACGTTTAGGGTGTTGTTACCAATGGTCTATTAGGTGGCGTTTGTGTTCCGTTATTTGTAGGACTTTTGTGTTAATTAAGGATGAAAGCGTTAAGTGGTGGATTGGCTTACTAATTTACCTAATTTCCTTCTAAACTTAGCTTTAAGTTCTTCTGAATACTGAGCTATCCAAATAGCCATTATGCATGAACAGAGTGTCTGACATTACTATGAAGCCTTATATATATTTCTGGGTGATTAGCCTTAGGTATTAGTTAAAAGTCAGTTGACTTTTTTTCCGATCTTTTCCAATTCAAAGATTTCTGTTTTCTATTACTTCAACTTCATGAAATGGAAATACTAATTTTCATCCAATTAGGAAGAACTGCTTTAATTTAAATTGCTAGTTAGATTAGTACCGTTTAAGCATCGCTTTTTGTTCAGCAGCGGTGACTGGAAATATTTTAATTTTTAATCAGCCGTCCAATACATGTATTAATGCATGAATATGATGCATTTGTTGATTCTGGTCTCGCTTCTTATACCGAGGACTTTGTAAGGGTGTCTTTTATCATTTTACGTGATTGCTTTATTATTATCTTTGAAATAATAAGGTTATAAAATCTTGGGTCACGTACGTTTATGTGTTGACTTTTTTGCGTGTTCAACTAAAATTTTGCTACTGAATCGAATAACATTCAAAAATTAAGGAGTTGTGGAACATGCCTACGAAGTCAAAAGGCGAAACGGTAAGTGCTTTTAAGGCATATAGTTTTGTTTAGTTCCTTGAGAATTTTGAGGTAGCTGATTGCTGATGAACTTATTTTCTTTCTTTCTTTTTCGGTTTTCTTTTTTCCTGTATCAGGAATAATTCTGTTACAGTTGAGGGAATTCCTCGTGGTTGGGCGTAAGTTGCCGTCTGCAAAAGAGTTGAATCCACCAATTTATAAGATGCAAATCTTTGCATCAAACCATGTGATTGCAAAGTCTCGGTTTTGGTATTTTACAAGTATGTTGCGACGAGTTAAGAAGGCGAATGGAGAAATTCTTGAATGCAAAGAAGTAAGTCTATAACATATGCTCATTTTTTTCAAGAAACCCGCAGTTCCTTTTACATAGCTCAATTTATTGTTTGTCAATAATTGATAATTGATGAGATTTTCCATCCATGACTTTGGCGTCTGAATTCATTTGTCGTTGGGAAATTAGAGACAGATTCCTTGTTATATAGATTGATATTTAATTGAAATTCGTGGACATATTCTGCGGTTCGATACTCATTTTATCATTAACTGGTGGACAACAAGGTTTATGCGGTTCTGTCTTTTCCTTATAGTGTGATTCTAACTTCAGAGTAATATTACAAAATTAGCGTTTTCACGAAAATTGGACTGATGTACTATAATACTCTTCTTTACAGTTACATCTTATAGGTTTTTGAAAAGAAACCTGGATACGTCAAAAATTATGGCATTTGGCTTCGGTACGATTCGCGCACTAATCATCACAATATGTATCGTGAGTACCGAGACAATACTGTTGCTGGAGCTGTAACACAGTGTTATCGGGATATGGGTGCCCGTCATCGGGCACAGGCTGATCGAATTCAGGTTTTTATCTGGTTAACTTTGAGAAAGCAAATCATTTAATTCCTTTTTATGCACTGTAATTAATAACTTCTAATAAATAATAGGCAAAAAAATGGAGTGGTAAAGTAGCGAGCCTTGACTCTTCATTCATTTCGATATATTTTCTGTATTTAAAAAGCTATTTCCACTTGTATCTTGAAATTAAGATCGTGATATTTCTATATATTTGTAGATCATCAAAGTGCAAGTGATTAAAGCTTCTGATTGTAAGCGTGCAGCCATTAAACAATTTCACAATTCGAAGATTTGTTTCCCACTACCACATCGCATCGCAAAGAGAAGAAATGCTGCTATCTTCACTACTCGTCGTCCAAGAACACATTTCTCATAAATACATTGTTTTGTTATTGGTTATAAGAATAAAGGAGTTTTAAACTTGGGGCATACAAAAATATTTGAAATAAAGCTTGTTCAAAATATATCTGTTTAATATCTCTGTACAAATTTTTGAGAATGGCTTGGTGATACAAACTGCTTGATATCGAAGCATAGTGAAGTGGTGATTCAATTTTTTGGTGAAGGGGAGGAAGGGATAGTTGTGTGGATAGAAATATAGTACTTCACTGGTATTGTGAAATGTTGTCGCAGGTGTGTCTAAGATTTTAAATGAAACTTCAAATTCCGTACTGTGCAGGGTTAGATTGTCGACATTGATGATAAGTTGTCTGATGTATTCCTGAAATTGCAATTTTAGATTTAAGTGGGATGGATTGCTTTGTTGGCGCGTCAACGGGTGCTTTGAAAGGTAAGTTAAAGTGTTCCAAATTAGAAGTGGTGGTGCAAGATTTTAATTTGGAGTCCGTTGAGCAAGTTTTTAGTAGAAGTTCGCAAGGAGATATATGTAAGAAATACTGTTGTGATTGTTTGACTACACAAACTGGTAGAAATGTAAGAAGTACTGTAGTACATATTTTTTTAAAAGGTTTTCATGAGACGACAGATTACGACTGGTATAGTAGATATATTGTGCTGAAGCTAGTTTCAGGTATTTCTTTCAAGGATAGCGCTTTCAGTAATGTGAACCAGATTACTTCTTTGAATCCGAAGCAAGATGAAATAACTTGTATGAGCTGGGCGAATGAAGATCAAGTAAGGATTATTTTTACGGTATTTAGTTTCATTTTTTAAAAGATATCTCTGTTTAAGTTGTGAAAAAATTTTTGTATTATGATGCTAGAATTAATTTGTTTTTAGACGGAATTGTTAACAGTCCAAATGGATAAGCAGCTGAGATTGCTTGATACAACTTCGAATGAATACACGACACTCTTTTCTTTGGGTAGTGGCAGTGGTGCAGTTAAGGGAATCAAAAGGACTGCAGTGTATGTTGTTTATAGCTGTTAATTATCTTCAAAGGAAATCGAAAATATCTATAAAGATTGTGCATAGAAAGCTATAAGTTTTTTTCTAGAAGGTTATTCGAAGGTAGTAGTTCTGTCCTGAAAGTATTCTTCAGAAAAGCTTTGCGATAATCCTACTGAAATTTCACTAAGAAAAATACTTAGATTCAAAATGACTACTTGTTTAGATGATTGTGGACAGGTATTCGTTCTACCGCACATTTTAGACTGATGTGAGAAGATTGGCAGTTTTAATTTCAGAACTTCGATTTTTAGATAGTTTTTCAGAGTAGTAGAATTGAAAATTATTTTTGCAGAGGAACATATGTATCAGCAGTTGAGTCTGGTGAACTTTCTGTCTCTTTGCCATCTGGAGAAATAGTTAAGGAGTTGAACGCAGGAAATAACCTAATCGTGATGGTACCCAATTGTGAGCAAGAAGGGCATTACGCAACCGGTGGCAAAGAGAATCCTTTAAAAATATGGGATATTGAGAAAGGCGAAAAAATTTTTACTGCTAAAAACGTACGACCAGATGAACTGCAGCTTAGAGTACCAATATGGGTTAATGATATACGATTTATACCAAAATCGCAAAACATTGTAACAGTCACTGGTAAACATCAGGTAAGCAATTGTTTTCCTTTTTCTGAGTTTTTAGAAATTATTTAAGCGTCAGTTACATTTGTTATTAAAATTTTAAGTTTTTTTTAGTAGTGACATCAACTTGTTGCTAAATGATATTGGCTAAGAGGTGATGATATTTAGAGAAACTGATATATTTGTCTAATAAGTTCCAAAAGAGTTAACTAGAATTCAAATTGACAGTTAATGAATATTCACGATATTAGATGAAAGTATAAGTGGTAATTTGTTAGCTATTGTCATAAAATATTAAACATGTGTGTCGTATGGTTTTATGTCTGAAAAATGGTTGTTGTGGTGAAATACAGTTGAGTTCTTTTCATCAGAAAATTCGATCATTTAGATTGGAAAGTGATCAGAGTTGTATAAAGTAACTTGTAATAATTTGGTTCTTGTAATCCTGAATTGTAGATAAGACTTTACGATCCTCGCACACAACGGAGACCAGTAAAGGAGATGGTGTGGGCAGAGGAGCCACTGACTGCAATGTCTTTGTGTCGAAACGAAATGCATATAGTTGCTGGCAATACTCGTGGTGATATAGGATTATTTGATTTACGAAACAAAAGTAACATTCATCACCTTGTATTAATCACAAAAAGCATGAACCGTAGAAGAGTTAAAAAAAAAAAAAAAAAAAAAAAAATGAAAAATGAAAAACGTTTTTGATGAGAACAACGTCGTTTTACAAATAAAATATCGATGACGGAAGCAAATTTGTGATAATTTTTCTTTCTCTTTAGGAAAATTTTCGCACAGGTGGGAATGACTTGCAGACTCTCAAGAATATCTTAATAGTCTTTTTTTTTTTAAATTAATCAGTGAGGTTTTTTTCAGTGCATATGGTGTGTAAATATAAGGGTTGTGCTGGTTCGATCAGTGGAATTGATGCGCATCAATCAGCTGAATATATCGCCTCCTGTTCCATTGATCGATTTGTAAGACTGCATGAATTGAATTCAAAAAAACTTGTTAAAAAGGTCATTACTTGCAAATCTTGAACAGTTTTCCGGTATTTGAATCATGATAGCAGTATTGTAGCATAAATTTATTATAACTTAAGATTCAAAATTGCTATTGGTTTGGCATTTAATTTTTTTGTCGTTTTTATTCGGAGATCATATTTAACTTTACGCATTAAATTTACCATTTTGGACAACCACCACAATTAATTTTTTGGTAAACAGGCAATAGGACAGATCGTTACGAATCGTTCATTTATTTGTTATTTTAAAGAATTCCTTCTTTCTTATTTATAATCAGTACTTTTAGATTAATTTGCTCTTTTTAGGTTTACTGTAAAGCTCGTTTGAATCGAATTTTACTGCGTGATAAACTTTCCATCCTTAATAATGAGGATGAAAGCAAGCAGGAAATGGAAAATTATGATGATTGGTTGAAAATCGAGGTAAATAATTGGGATCATTCTGTTAATCTTTTAATTAAAGCCATATCAAAAGTCGACGGCACTCATTTTGATTGATAGCTTTGCAAAACCATTGATATTATGTATTATTGGAAGCTATTGTGTTTAACATCATTTTGAAGACCTTTTTTTCACTTTAAAAAACTTTTTAGGATAATGATGACAATGGAAGTAGTGAGGACGAAGCGTTGTGGAATGACATGAAACAAAATAAAGAAGGGAATATGAAGAGGAAATTGAGGGTATGTTTTATGTGATTGTTTTGGATTAACTTGTAGATTTTGGAGATAGATCCGATTTACTGTGGTGGGAACTATTAAAACGAATGATCAGTTCAGGGTGTCTTCGAAATTCAGTTCGATGAATTAAATGTAAAAGTAAAACATTAGCAATGTAAAGTTTGAAGAACTGAGGAAAGATGCATGTCTTATTCGTCCTCCATCTTTGTGCTCAATTTCATGTTGTAGGAGGACGATCTCGAAAAAGTGATTAAGAAACCAAAGTCTTTGGAAGTGAGAAAACGAAAAATTAATGCCATGAAGTCAGATATTTCAAAAAGAAAGAAGCTGATAAGACCGAAAAGGAAAAACGAAGGTGATGATGAAGCGGCAATCACGCTTCCATCTAAAAAATTAGTCCAAATTAGTTAGTTTTTCGCTCGTAAAAAAATTAGTTTGTGTCCAGCAGAGACAGACGAAATCCAAGAATGTTGACAGATGGTACAAATTTTCCATTTCCATCATTGTTCGGCAGATTATTACATTGTATTCTTTGAATCGTCTGCTTGTATAGATGGGAACTATATGGATTGTAGAGAATATATTGAATTGTGACAATTCAACAAGGCCTTCTGTCTCGATTTGATCTCTTTCCCGGCTTGTCAACTTTTTTATGTTTATTTGTTATCGAATATAGAATGAAACAATATTTATGTATAGAAGCAGTAAAACGAACTTAACAAATTTCAAGTTGCCATAGAACATTCCTGATCTGCGGTCGCATCAGCTCCGATTCTGGAAATGAAAATTGTTTACCTCCGCTTCTATATGCTTTTATTCTTAATTCAAATTAAATAAGCCATCTAAGAGGTTTTGCCACTGCCAAGTCAGTTAATTTTAAAAGAAGGTTAAGCGCTTCATTTCACATCAAGAAAGAATGGCCCATACATAAGATACTCATTATACAAATTAATTTTTAAATTACCAAACGGTATTCTATCTGGCATTTTATTTTCTTCGGGAATCCTGATGATACCATTTTTATCACGATACTGAAAAAGTATTCAAAAATTAGGATTAAAAAAAAAAAAGAAAAAACGAATTTATAAAATAAAAAGTTTTGGAAATTTTTAGGAGAAATTTAGCTTAACGTACAGTTTCACGTAGAGGTCCTGGTATCATATGTGCAGAAAGATGAGTTGGCCAAGCTATTCCAATTACTTTAGAAGTATTTTTTAACAAGGTAAGAAAATGAGTTTGTATGGTACGTGCTTCTTCAACCGCATCGACAGCTACTAGGGTAGGAAGTAGGGAGATCAATTCATCTGAAATAAAGATAAGAAGTGATTGTTCAAAATTCGGTAAAAATGATAATAGATGAAATGTTAATGCAAAAATTCACTAGAATGGATCTACTAGGTGTAGAATTATTATTTGTTTTCTGTAAAATGAAAGTGAGTAGCACAAATATTTAACTCTTTCTTTCTTAAATCATATTATCAAAAAGTAAAAATTTTTTTTTAATACAAATTCAAAGCGAATACTTTGCTAAGGAATACCTTGCTGAGAATCAATAAGTGACATAGTGTCTTTCAAAGCGTTCAAAAGTGCTGCATCTTCATACTGCGTGCCTTCTTTTAACACTTTTTTCTTCCTTCAAAAGCATAAGAGAAACTCAGTACATGATATTAGATATCATATATGTTTCATTGTTTATAATAATAATAATACAAATAGCATTCGAGATTGATCTCTATGATTCCGATCAGAAGAACTCTATGACTATACATGAGGACTATAACAAATTTCCCTCTAACTGTTTACTGAAACGTTGACTTTCCTGTTTAGTTAATCAGAAATGAAAATCATGATGAGTGAGCATCAAAAAAATAAGGAATGTGCACATTAATTTTTTTTCCTACAATGGGATGACTTTCTAAACATCTTTTATGTACAAAATATATAGAAGTGATATGAAATACCAATCCTATTTTTCTATTGAACTATCAGTCAGTCAGTCAGCATCACTCACTTTTCAATATGTTTTCGGCGACGAGCTGAAGCCGTAGAAACTGTTGAAATTTTCGATATATCACTCATTGCACTAGATGTTTCACTAAAAACCTAAATAAAAATTTTCTCGTACAATACCATTTGAAAAATACACCATTATTTCATCGTAAAAATGTTTAGTAAGGATGAACAGTAATGGAAATGATTTTAATTATAGTATAAACTATGCTATCAAACCGCATGCCTTCAAAACTAATCTCAAACAAAGAAGAAAATTTTACTTCTGACGCTGGCAAATCATGATCTTCAAATCGCTTAATAGCTGCTTTCAGAGAATTTTCTTTATTCTCCCGTACTACTTCCAAACGACAGCAATATTGTTCCAATAAGTTTTCCCAATTTTCTATACTTTGTAAAATTTGTTCGTAACGAACTGAGGCTGCTTGAGAAACAATTTTTGTCAGTTCTGCAAAAAAAAAAAAGGTATTGATTTAATACACTGCTTTTCGTATATATAGATTAATATATATAGTACATCAAATAATACACATATATCCTGGAATATTTGGTATGATATTTTGAAAGAGAAGTTACCTTCATTCCCGAAGGCATGGTTCATGGCAAAACTCCAAGCATCCGCCTTACAATAATATTCCACTATTTGCACCATGTTAGACTGAAAAAGAAAAAACATTTCCTATTCCTTAAAGTCTCACTTTTCTTCTTTGATACAAATTTTCTTTTATATTCCTTGTTTACATACCAAAACATCACAAATTACATCATTCTTAACGATTCACAACACTAATCACTGCTTACGCGATAATATCGAATGAATTGTTTTGCCATACCTTTTTATCAACGAATGATAAAATCTCAGCTATATCCATAAATTTCCCTCTGCTTTCAAAATTTGGAATCATCTTTTGAAGTAAATCGCTCAACTCTTTATTCGCCATATTCATAATTTGACCACATTCAATCATCTCTCGCCATTTTTGAGCACTTTGATAGCATTGCAGTGCCATGGTCATATTATTTGCACGTTTAAACAGCAGACCAGCTTCTTCAAAACGTCGTTTATTCATCAAGTGATTGGCGCATAACTCACACACTTTCTAAATTACCAATTCTTATGATTTCTCTAATTATGATTTTATTGCATGAAATAGCTATTAACTCTTATTAGAAGACAACAAAATAAAAGAGCTAAATTGTGAATATGACATGGTGACCAGGTCATACCAGAATTCATCCATATATCTATTCTAGTAAAAAATATATAAAAAACAGCTGGCAGTAAAAGTATGATATAATAATGTATTACTCTATGAGTTTCCAGCAAATTATACAGCCATCTATTCTTTGATATCAATTATTACTAGCTTTTGTTAAAGATCTTTACAAAATAAAATCGTAAGAATACATGCCAGATATGTTTTCTTTCCACGATACACAATCAAAGCTTCTGTATATAAATTTTGCCGTTTGATAATTTCAGCTGCTTCATTCCAACGATCATCTAACTCCGACAGATTCCGAATAGCTCGTCGAAACATTCCCAAATATATATCAATTTTAAATTTCTGATATGCAGGAGAAGACTGAGTTTGAAAATCCGCTAGCAGTGGTAAATATTCCTTTGGATCCTGAAAAAAAAAAAATGAAATACGATGAAGATAACATATAAAATCACTTGTGATGATATAAGCATTCTGAGTATTAGGACATGATGGCAAAAAGTTAAAAATAACTTTAATGACTACATAATGTCATAACCTGCAATAGGGTTTACTTGAAGTAATAAACAAGCATTTAATTATAAAAACTTTACCATCTGAGAATTTTCTGCAACAGCAAGTGTTAAATTTAAGTCATAAGTTGATAATGCTACATTAAATAGATTTTCAGTGGGAGCAAGCAAAGATACATAAGCAATCCATTTTTTTTCTAATTCCTTTCCATGAGGTACTGAAAAAAAAAATTAAATAATTGGAAACGACGTAAAAATGTAAATATTGAAAGAATTTGAAATAAATAATGGAGGAAGGTAGCTCATGATTTTCTGTCGAGGCAAAACAAAAGAAATAGAGGAGACAGCGTCCTTAAGCAATTTTTGTTTTGATTATATCTTTCACAAATTAAATAGATTTTCCAAAACAATTTTCATGTTCTTCAAAGGAAACCTTCTTCCAACGTTTTATAAATATTTTGCCTTACATTTTAAAGATTGTTCCCGAAGTGCTAATAGAGCTTTCGAAACCTGCGGAGGCTGTTCTTTTAAATACGTTAGTATAACAGTGGTGTACAAATCAGTAATATGGATATCATCGAGACTCAAAATATGCTCTCGAATGGTGGTGCAAACTTTCTGAACCTTAAAAAACAACATAGGTGAATATTCAAGTGTAAACAAAAGTTAGGACCATTTTATTTCGTTGACGTACATTATGTGTTTGAATTACCTTAATGCTAAACCATTTTGCAATATAAAAGAAATAGGCTAACATGACAATCCATACAGATCAGATGAAACCTAACAGTGAAAGTGTGTAAAAGTATAAAAGTAACACATTTATTGTTAAATTTCTATAAAGAAATAGAATTTGACTCAACCTTGTTTTCGTTGCTTTTTACTGCTTTTTTGTCAAGCTTTATGTGGTTGCTATTGCTATAATTTTCTGAATAAATGCCCAATGTGACATTATCATTATTCAAACTTGCTACAAACAAGTTCAACAATTCAGCAGAACCAATGTCTTCGACAAACTGACCAATATGTTTCATGAAAAACTGAAATTAGACATAAGCCAAGAAAAAAATTATAGCAATAATTCATTCACACAATAGATCACCTTGTTTAGCATTTTCAAATCTTACTTGCAATGCGAACAGATCCTTTAACATTTTCAACCACATAAATGCAGCATGTTTAAGCATGAGGTTATTTCATAACCATGGATTTTGCTTTCAAAGAGATGCTTTAATTTCTGCATTAATAACTAACCTCTGGATTATGATCGTAAAAGAGATTCATATCAATGCGATGCTTCTTCATGATAACAGCTGCATCCTTGAAATGTAAATCGTTTAATAATTTTTTTAACTTGTTCAGCAGTAATTCTTTTAGGTGTATTGTCTCCAAATTACCTGAAATGGTCGAAATGAAAAACAAAAAAAGACGCATTTCTGATAATATAAATTTATAGGAACTACGAACTTTCAAATGAATATAAAAAAACAAACATCTACAAAACATTCAGTAAAAAAAAAAAGAAAAAGAAATTGTAAAGAATTTCCTTGAAAAAATAAAATAAAAAAACTTCTTCTACAGATTACGAAAACGAAATGAAATAAGTTCTAACCACGAGGCATTTGCAACCAAACTCGAGTACCACCAGTTTCATATCCAATCAACATTGCACCTCTTTCAATAGCTCGACTACTTTTATAGCTTATTTGTTTATCAGTTGTTAAAATATCTTTCAATTCAGCAATTTGCAACTTTGATGAGCTTGAATGTGAATCAAATGTTACAGTTAACAAATAATCCTCATCCGCTGTATATGATCCAACATATTTGAAAAACGAACGACCATTCACAACCAAATCATTTGTTTTACTGATACCAAAAATGATATCCTCAAAATTAAACATTTCCCTTCTCTGCACAAACTAGCTAGCATTTTTCAATCAAATTCAAATATCGATAATATTACATAGTAATTAAAGAGATATACTGCAAAATCGACAGCAATGCAACGCTTCGATTTGCAAGTTATAAATCGTTTTAAAAAAAGAGTTAAAAACTGAAAAATGAACAGTGTAAAAAATCCAGTGAAAGCATTTGAAAAAAAAAAATGCATAATATTTTTGAAATTTTTTAAACAAATATACTTTAGTTTGTGAGTAATGACAATGGCACAATGCTGATCCTGTTTCGAAAAGTATTCCTGTTTCTAGGTAACAATGCTTATCTTTGTTTTCTTTTATTGAAAACCATTCTCCGTCAATTCTTTGCAGTATAAAACCATTTGTCATGTGACTATGCCATATCAGTGGTTTCTCTGTAGAATACAGGCATATGCTGAAAGAAAACAATGTAATCATAAGATATGAAATAGAAACGTGCTGATTCTCAAAATTTCACAAAATTTCGTGCCTGGTTAGTTACTCTAATCAAGAAAGCTTGAAAACTTTAAACAAGCTTAAGTACCTTGTCTTTACTATCGAAATTTACTGACTGGGTAAAATGATTAAGCACCTACAAAAAATCAACTGTGTTCAATATGAAACCACATTCCAATAATGTTGAAATTAATGTAACAATGTTAATTCATTTTGCTAGAAAGCGTTCTACAATTCTATCAAGAATATTGGGTACGTATATTACGTAAAGCCAATTACCTTTCCTTACAATTCATATTTTTTAAATTTAAGTTGCATATACTGTAATGTGAAGAAGCGATAATTGCAGAAAGCTGATTTGAATTATTCAAACAAAGATTGTAACATATGCAATCCTGAGATAAGTCAGTAGTATCATACTCAGCATATTCTTCGAATTTTCCTTCTCGCAACTTATCTGTAAAGTAACAATCCATTAAGTTAAGTACTACAGCATGAGAACTAATACCGAACATGTGCAAATACAAGTGGATTTTTCATCTACGATACCAAGCTGACGATGTATAGTAATGCCAACATCAAATTTTGTTTTTGAATTAGTTCAACTATTAAAAAAACCGTTTCATAAACCTAAATTCGAGAATTTTTGTTTGCAGCATCAGAATCATATCATTTCCAGTACTAATAATGAATAGTGGCTTAAAACTGGACATCAGCTACTTTCAATTACTTCAAAAAATTGGAAACATAATTGTACATGCAAGAAGTGAATGGTCCGCGAGTAGAAAAGCTGCACTATCATTATATTGTGCAATTTCACAGACAATATTTGGAAAAGTGAGTTCGTACTGGCACATTGGTGGTGGAATTGGTGCAGCTTTCAGATCTGTTACACGTACATTACCTGCAGTTAATCCATAAACCATACAAGAAAGTTTGCTAAACAAATTATTTGCTCAATAATTCCATATAATAACGAAAACTTTGTGACGAATACTCTATGAAATAGGGTTCACTGTCAAAAAAATGTACTCGCAATTTGTGTTTTTATGCACTGTCTACTTTCTATACAAAGAAGCTAAATCAGAGCACACTTTGATATTGAATGTCAGTTTTAACTTTATATGAAAAGTAGTGGGTTAAAAATACACCATTAGAAGAAACTAGCGCATCAGAATTACAGATCAATAAATGGTCTTCCCATTATAGTCTGTCACTTCAAAAACGGAAACATTCCTGGGTAACATAGTATAAAATAAATAACTTACATCCTGCTATTGACAAAACAATACCACCACAAAAATTGTAAGTGAATTCGAAATCAATAAAATTAGCACGACCATTTCGCGCAACATAGCAAAACTGATTAGGATTACTTTCGTGCCAACATGCCAATAAAAATCCATCATTAACCACCTTACGATACTTGAGCATCCAGTCATAATTACTGACACACCAAAAACTAACTGAAGTAGTTTTATTTATAAATGCTCATAAATAAAACTAGAGATCTAGAAAATATTTACAAATATTTGTAAACAAAATTAGAGATCTATAAACCTAATTTTTCCATTGCAATGCTGTACCTTCTTCAGCAGTTCCAGCTAAATCCTTGGACTGCACACAAAGAATATTCCCATCAGTATTCCAACCCATCCAGTTAATTAAACTCCCTTGATGTGGTCCACATTCGAATTTCGATCGCCTTTGTCCATTACGTTCATAAAAAATTATTTCACGTTTATCACTATCATACCGACTTGTTGCAATGATGTTTCCCGTAGGCCTGCATAGAAAAATTTGTAATTTACAAAAACTAAAACAATATATAAAAACACAGCAATATTCCTTGTATCACCCGTTAGCATCTATCAAACAAAACAATAGGATTAGCAGTAAATAAAAATCTATAAGCTATCACATTACTTAACTCTTCTACCACTATTTTTTTCTACACTGAATATCGGGTTATTATTCCGAGCTCTCTTGTTCATCGCTATTGAAATTAACAATAACAGATAAGTACAAAGTCTAAAACTAAAACAGTAAAAAAATCATAGAAAAGCTCAGCATATAACACTGTAAAAAAAAATTAACAATAAATCAGAACAGAGTGCAAAAAGATATGAATCGATATTAAAAATAGTACGTAATTTGCACCTGTAGGCCAGCGTCTCTTCAACATTACTAACTTGCTGCAGGCGACTAATAAGTTCACCTTCATGATCGAAAACACAAAATTGCCGGAAATTAGTTAAGTTATCCACATAACTAACAGCCACATAGTTAGCATCACCGTTCCATGCCAGTAATACTCTATGTTGATCATATTCACTTACAGTGGTGGGTTGCTCATTGTCAACCTAAAAATTTTCCTTAAATTTACATCAAAGTGGTCGAAATCAATAAACTTCTGGAATTTGAAAATAAAATGTTACAAAATCAGGAGTTTAATAAAAATTTTATATTTCCTTAACAGAAATCATACCTTCCCAGGTTGTTTCCGTCCTCCGATGCCTTGAAATTGCGTCTCCTTAGAACCCCAGCCAACTGTCATCAATTCCTCTACAAATAACCTCTGCTTACGACTCCCAGTCATCACATTATAAAAGCATTTATTAGTAATGGAAACATTACCAAATATTAATAAGTGCCTTCATAATATAATGATAGTATGGATAGAACATATGCATAAATATCGCCCAAATTTTTTTTAAAAAATAAGAGTTTGAGCAAAAATTTTACAAGTGCTAACTTTCAGTAAGTAAAAATGGTAATGAAATTTTATGAAAAAATAAAAGCGTTAGACTACCTCGGCCAGATCTCGATGAATTCAGCGGTTGTTCATTCAAAACCTCAAACTGACGTGTAACGAAGTATAACATTTCTGATGATGCAAGCAATAGGACATGAAAGTCTGGAGCCCATCTTGCAGAGCAAAGTTCAGTTGGTATTATGTCACATCGCTCAACCTGAAATGATTATTTCTCCAAGTATAAGTCGTACACAATAATTAATATTAAAACAATATATCATAATAATATCCAAAAAGAGGAAAAAAAACGGAAATGATGAGATGTCCATATGCTATGTTTGTTGAAGCCTACTATAATTTTGCAATTAAAAGCAGAAAATCCAAGAACTAGTAAAGATACTCTTCCCTTAAATAAATACGACAGGCAAATAAACTACTGGGAAAATAACCAACAGTTCCATTCTCGTAATCCACAATCAATACTACACCTGATGACAATACAGTGCATAGTAGATATTCATCACTTAAATGATCAAATGAAATGATTCTGGCACCATTGCGCTGTTCTGTCCATTCGACCAGCTTCTGAAAAATACTAAAACTACAATTCATTTTGATATATTCTAATTAACAGTCACTTTTATCCAGCTTCATGCTCTATATTCTGCTGGCTATTGGTAGATGTCACAATGTAACGAAGCACAGAAACCTACAACTTTAAAATATACTCAGTATGCCGATTCTACTATATCTAAGGTCTTATTAATATCTGCTTTACTTCATCTCTCATGCCAATACAGTACGATGGTGACGCATTCTTTGCACCTATACAATTATTTGAATCACATGAATAACCATCTACTGACAGCCAAGTGATGTTTTACTCTGTACATTAGAATGAATAGCTCAATCTGAGTTTATCATTTTCTTTAATATTGTGAAGTGAAAAAACAATCATGAAAGCTGGAAAAAATACAATAAGCTTACAAGTACTTCAGATGACAGTTCACATACTCCAGCATAACAAGCGCAGAAAATCCTGTTCTCAATACTAACACATACTGCTTCAATTTCTGAAAATAAAACAACCATTTATCTTAAATGATATATGGAAGAAATGAAGGATTTACGTACTTATTTACACAACTTCAACTTTATTGCTAATTTTATTGTAATGAAATATTTATATAACAAAACTTAATTCGTTTACTCGCCAATCCTTTCTTTTAAAATTAAGTCCTGAAATTTACCATGAGATGAAAGGGACACTGAGGATGCTTTGTTCTGTTGACCTTCATATTTTGCATTTGACAACAATGTGTCATGCACCACAACCGACCGAACTTTGAGATTTCGCATTTAATAATTAGCCTAAATATAATATCATGAATGAAATGTGAAAAGCGAACATTACAAACTAAAAAACCTAAAATCAAGACTGACGAAATAATTCCCATCAAAATAAACTAATAAGAGATGGCTTGAGACAAAATATTGCACAAACTGTCAATTAGCTGAAGAACCAGCTTTATCTCTTTTCTCTATTCTTATTCACACGATGCTCCTTTACGTCTCCAATAAATATATTCAAATTATTCAGTTCTACTCTTATTTTAGCAGTATTGTCCTCTAATCTAAACCAATTCCGGTTTTATAACTATGATGCATTTCCTGTTTTAATTTTTGTTGATAATGAAACGATTATGTCTCTCGCTGTACGCTAGATGTACTGTGTACCTTTTCAAAGGTACCGAATATTAACCTTAAAAGATGTGAAACGGAAGTTAATGAACTCTGTTAACATTGTATTTAATTAGTGATATCTAATATTTTCGAACAGATTGTTAAATTTTTCTATATTTCGAATAAAATTCTTGTAATTTCATCATTTGCTATAGTTAGTTAATTTTGGCCATTTTGTTCTGCTTATTTATTAGAAATTGAATAGATTAATTGTTTAGTGTTTTACAGTAAGTTACAGGTGAAACGTGATGGTTGACGTTTCGTATGAATCTCTTCTGGATGTTTGTGTCGCAGCTGCAATGACATCGATTAAGAATATGAATTATAATCAAGTTGGAGAACTTTTGAATAATGGTGCTGAAAAGAAAATTGATGATATCATTGATAATATATCGCAGGCTCGTCTTTTATTATTTTGAAATTTTTTTGTCTTTTTTTTTTGTTAGTATTCGAGAAACAGCTGATATGTCATTTGTCAAACGTTAAGCTGTTTTGCAAGGTTTGGTTTTAAATGAAATTACTCATTTCGAACTGTTCATTTTGTTCTAAAAGAAAATGCAATGAAATTTTGTTAAAATTAATATTGGTATTGCATTATAATGCATCTTCCCTAGCTTTTTAGGTTCGAACTTTGCCTACTGAACGTGAAATGGGCCTTGTGCAGAATAAATCGCTTGCCGAATGGAATTTATCGCAAGAACCAAAGATTGAAGAAGCTAAAAGACAATTACGGAGCACTTATGAAGAAGCCGTTAAAATTAAAGAGGAAGTTATGGAGCTTAAAGAAAAATTGAGTAAGTTCTCATCAGTTTTCATTTTTTTCCTTCAAAAGTCGTCAGCTTTCACATGTTCACATTTCAGTTGTTGCCTTCCTTATTATATATTTAAACAGTTGGAAGAATAGATTTTTTTCTTTCTTTTTTAAGATATATAAATCTTGATAGATATAATGTCCATCTTCAAAATAATGCAAAATGACTTCATTTTCAGATTCATTATCGGAAGAGAGGTCGTTAGACACATCGAGTGCATTGCTACAGGCTGCTGCACAGTCTGCTGATGACGAAAGCGAAGTAAATGACGAAATTTAATTATAATTTAAAGGATAGAATTATTAAATTGTAGGTTGATTTTGTACAATATAGGGAAGAGTTACTGCCTAAGATCGCTGGTACTTGCCTTTTTTGAACACTTACTCATAATTTTGATATTTAGTAGTAGCACTGAGTTGAAGCTTGGTTTGACACGAAATGCCTTTCTTTTTTTACTCTGTTAAATCAGTAAGATAGTTTACATATCGTTTAATTTATTTGAAGCTAGTTAATTTTCTATGTACAGGACACTGCGCATGCAATTTTTCATACTGTTTTTTAGGCGATTTTATTCAAAAACTTTCATACTTAGTTTCCATACGCAAAGTGCTACTTTATAGATACAAAATGCAAAGGAGAAAGGAGAAAGTTAAAGCTCATCTTAACTAATAGAGTATAAATGGTATCGATTATTAAATGTTTTGAAAGCAGTTGTAATTGATAGGAAAATATTTTTTTCTGAACTTAAACAGAAAAATGGATGTATCGAAGGCAGTAGTATGACTGCACTGCTGTATTTCTTTTTCAGAAGACTGATGTACAATCATATCTGGGATACAGTCATTACTGACAGTCGTATAACTGTTTTGAGGATCTTAATTTCAGGCAATCGCCGATCGATATTTAAGGGGTGATATAGAAGTTGATCAGTTCTTGAAAGAATTCATTGAGAAGAAGACTCTTGCTCATATGAGGTTATTTCTTGTGCAGTTTTTATTCTCTGCAATCGTCTAAAGTAATTTTGTATCTTCAAAGTGAACATTATGAAAATTTCCTTGATCTCTTATAAAAGAACTCTGACATTACCCCATTTTTTAAGCGAAATTTTCAACGTCTTAGGTAACTATCCACAAAATGATTAATTAAATCATTTCCTAAAATTATCAAATTCATCCACTACGTTGCTAAAAGGTCAGGTTTTTAAATCTTTCTTATCCTACAGAAAAATCAAATCCGACAAGTTGCTGGCAATATTGCAACAGCAACAATATCCGCAGCGGCCAAGTTCGAACTTCACATCGACACCATATCCTACAAAAGGTGGTGGACTATATCCACAACCTGTTAGTCTATCATCGTCCCGCCAATCGTTCTGGTACTGAATTGAAATTAATATAATTTACACTATGATATATTATATTGAGTCTGTCTCTCAGGTGCCTAATACTATTATAACCGAGTTAGACTTCGAATTTCCAAAATTATTTGAAATTGAAATGAATGTCTATTTGGAAATGAATTAAGTTGAAAGAGCTCAACAACTAAGAAAATTCTTTTTGATCTATAGTCAAATCGATATAATTTATTTCATCGATTTTCATAACCATCACGTTATTGATTTTGCCGAATGTAGAAATCTTACTAAGATACTTTAGTATTTTAATTGGATTAGGTATCAAAGGCAAACCTCCACTTCACATTATCACTGCTTCACTTAACATCATGTATTTGTAATTTGCCCAAAAATAAATTATATCTGTAAATGTTTGCAACCAAGCATCAAGCATTCCCGATTTCTAATAAGTAAGGGCAAACTCACTTGCCCGTAACATAGAAATCACGAGCATCTGAGGGCAGAATAACGCGAAAACACCCCACTGCACCGATGGTCATCCAACCAAGCGGTCTGACGCAGTAATGGTACACGAATATACCTGCTGATGCGCTCCCGGATAACCCCGGGGACGCGGTCCAAAAAAATCAACCCGCGCAAAAGACAAGTCTTCTGCGCGAGGGATCCCAAGAACAGTTGTTCAAGGGCATAAACCCGACTGACTCACTTCCCGTATTTACTTTAGGCTTCTTTGCAGATCATACTCAGTGGTTTGATTTCTAAATGTTACACGCTTCCGACATTTTCTCTGTCATGCGTTACCTCACTCTTCTCAAGCATCCTGTATCTCTCTTCAAAGAGAACATTGATAAGGCAATGGATGATTGATAGGCAATTTTTAACGTAGCTGAAATTTTCAGCAATTATTTTTATAACTTTTGAAATAAATTTTGAAGGAAAACTACGTCTCTTTTTTTAAATTGAAATTCGTGGTGTCGCGGTCTTTTCTGAGATTAAATATAGCTATTAGCACAATTTTAGCAATGAAGGATAGTGAATTAAGAATGAATATGAGATTTCTCTAAGAAATGGGATTACCTATTGTTCAACTTAATTAGTCGTGATAAATAAGTTTAGGATCAAATAAAATAAGTTGTGGTTAAGATCAGAAGTCGAAAATCTTTCACAGATGCTTAAGTCTAATATACGACATAATATACGACAATATTTAAGTCTAACATACAACAACGTTTTTGGATTAATAGAACAAGGAATGCACTGTTTAATTAATGGAACATATTGGTCAATTTGATTCTATTTTCATATTATCATAGCATTCAACAATTCATTTCAAATTAATTTGCTTTTTAGATATTGTGATTTTTTTAGATATTTGATATTGTAATACTTTAGTAAAATAATAGTTCCTTTGCATTATTGTTAATTTTCTTTTTATGGTCCTCAAATTTTGTCCTATTTAATATAATTTCAGAATATTACAAAACCAATTAACCACAGAAAATCATATGATTCAAATATGATAGATAACCTGGACGAGGCTCACAATACCAGTTACCACCAAATTATTCTTTTATTAGACTCTTTTTTGCAAATGTATAATTTATTTATTATCTATTACAGATTTACTCATGAAATTGCTAAAATCTCAATGGATTACCGGAACTGCAATGATACAACATATCCGAGAAGCATCTCTCAGGTCAAAAGTCAAAAAAATTAATCCATGGGAACTATATGAACCGATGATAAAAAATACAAAAGTTTATCCTGAATATCCAACGTTAACACTTCAATTGGATTCGATGGATTTTGTACCACTTGAAAAATTTCATAGTTATGCGCACAGAAAAGCACGTCAATTCAAATTCAAAGTGATCGATAGGTATGGTTTTATATTGGTTCCAGCTAAAGAACAGTAAGTACGATCAAAATTTCAGTATTAAATACGATGATTATCTAAGGATTTAGCATATGGTTTACCTTATCTGTACCTTTCAGAACTAAGTGGGAATTTAGCACTTCATTCATTTAATTGGTTATTTTGATCTTTTTCTTCCTTGGTTTGTCATTATCCATGCAAATGGATAGGAATTGAAGCGTTGGTATTTTTCTGTTTCTATAGTTTCTCTTAAATTTAAACATGACTTTTATTCTTTTGAAATTTAAATTAAATTTACTCCAGCACGATTTACAATGCTTTTCAGCTACGCGATTCCTCCTACTAAAACTGCACTGAAGTTAGAGAAACCTGACAAAAGGAAACCAGAAAAAGAAATAGTACTGTCAACGTATCATCGATTTCTCAGATTGAGTGAAGTACCATGTGTTCGACTCTCATTGTATCTTTATCTTATGCAGGTTCTTTTTTTTTATCCTTAAAATTTGTTTTTAGAAAAGAAGGATTACAGACTACTTCCATTGTAAATATTTGCTAGTGTTAGAGAATATGGACTAACCGAAATGGTTAATTCTTTTTGTAATCCTAGAAATTAGCTACAATCAGCATATACTACATCATGTCATCCTTGTTATTTAAGTAATAAATTTGAAGGAGTATCGTGATATTTCCTAAAATGAACTTTAATTTTATTTGTAATTTTTTTCTAAAAAAAGAACTTAAGAAGTCTTAAATAATTTTTTTCTATAGATAATTATTCAGTGGAACATTGCGAAGTGAATATAAAAAAACTGTCATTTCAAAAGTTGAAAACAAATATATATATGAATTTGTTTTATTTGCATCCCTTTGATTCGAATATGAGATCGTTAGTAATGTTATAATTTTTATCAGTGTAGTTGGTGAATTTCTGGAACCACTGTTAGTTCAAGAAGAAAAGGAGTTTGTGTCTTTCATTTTAAAATTTGTTCTATTTCCATTTCTGAAATTTCTGAAGTTCCTACAGAAATGTTTAGAAGACTAATGACCAACGTTGCTTCCTTATTACTGATCAACATAATTCTTGATAATGTTAATCACTCATAAATTTGGTCTCATTTATTATAAAACTTGCCTTTTTTTCATCTACAATTTTTTTGTTGTAGGCTCATGCACCTGTTGGTATTACGATAACAATCAGGAAACAGGAACAAATGGATGAAGATATAAGGTATATACCGGACGAAATTTTGGAAGCTAAAAAAGCAGAACTGCTTAGCTTGGATGATCCAAAAACGAGGAAACTGCTCGGCTGGGAGTGATTAATTAATTATTAGCAAGTTTGAATGGTCAAAAGCTGTCTATGTTATAATTGATGTAAAATATAAAACGCAGCAGTTAACTTGAATTTAACTTGTAACTTTCGCATAACATTTTATTTGATGATTGCTGCATGATCTGCGTTCTTTTAATCTTTATGCTCCATAACCGTAGTAAAAGCGCCTTACTCTTAACTCGATTTTGCTTTAATTATGCCTGAAATTTTTATGAAACCTCAGGTCGCATACTTATGGTTTTCTTTTCAAAGCAAAAATTTCAATTTCATTTTTCAGAAATTCAGAAATGCTTAAAATTAAAACAGCATTATTAGGAAAATATTTACCAGCAAATCAGCTGGTAAAATCTGTATCCTGAAATATGCTGCATCTTGCTAATAAATTATTTAATAATAAATTATTTTGCATCCTACTAGGTTATTTCAATCATTATTTTTTTATTTTTTTCATTTTCTGATTATTTTGCTCATGTTTTCCTGAACTTTACGTTTCCAGTGTTGTAATGTGGTAAAATAAATATGCTTGTTTTTGCGCAAAATAGTCTAACAAATTTTTCTTTTATTAAAAATAGTGCTACATAAATGAACTGTAATCTATTACCTAGAATTTGTATAACTGTAACGCTAAGAAATTGGATAGTTAAAGGAAATTTATTCCAATTTATTTCTCTACTAAAATTAAAAAACGACGAATGGTCTTCAAATACATTTTTATATCACTTAAAATACGTTACCTTTCTATTTTATTATTTTTTTCCTTATTCCAAAAAAAAAAAGTGAAAGAAAAGACAGGAATAACATTATTAAGTTTGATGTGAGTGCAATTAAACTGAGTACCGGTTCTACGTTTCTCAGAGTTATTTATATAAATAAGCAAATTATTCTATCTGCTTTTTGAGTATTGAAAAGAAAAAAAAAAAAGTTCGTGGAAAGACGGTAAGTATGCTCTTTTTGAAAGAATACACAATTGCAAAATGAGCAAAATATAAATTCTAGATATGAAATATATAAACAAATTAGGATTACATCATAAAATGTATAATCTAAATTAGGGTTAAAGCAGTTAGATGAACTTTGGATCTAATAAATTTCGGTATTTAATAATGAATCCGCAAACTTAAAGACAAAAAAAAACGAAAAGAATGGTGGAAAATTGAAGCAATTTTTGGAATTTAAAAAAAGTAATTTAATAATAATATTAAAAAGCAATTTAATATATATTTTACAGTTAAAAAGCAGTTTAATGTTATTTCTAAAATTAAAAAAAAAGAGAAAATTTTAATGATAATATTTTATAAAAGCAATTTAATGATGATATTTCTTGCATATTTTGAATACAAATGGTCATAGATATTCATAAAATTTTTAATGAAAAGAAAAAAATACCAAAAAGTGCGTGACTTATTCAAATGCTTGTTTATACCACTGAAAAAAGAATAAAAAAAAAAAAAAGAAAGGTAAACATAATTTGTTTATTTATTCATATATACAAAATTTTTACTGTAAAATTGCTATTATTGTTAAATAATTTTGTGTGATATTTGAATGAATGAATGAATGAAAAAAGTAAAGTAAATGTATAGGAAAATGAATATAATTTTAACAATGAAATTTAAAGTATGTTTAATGATGGAGCAAAAAAAGAAGGCATAAAAACTAGTTACTTGTTCTTACTCAAATAAATTATGCAAAAAGAAAACAAAAAATTTTATAGCAATATAAAAAGAGAATGTAAGAAATGAGAAAAAGACTAATGGAAAAGTTAACAAGATTAAACTTTCTTTTAAAATCAATCATAAAGTTGCATTTACTGTTATATCAAAGTTAACTGAAAGGATTATTTAAAAAAGAATAATGACTAATGTCAAGTCAACAGTGCAAAAGAAAAGTACCCTATATAAAAGTGAATTTAAAAGTTGAAAGTAACTTTAACAGTTTTTTGAAATGATTCATTCAATAAATTCTATCTTTCTACTAGTAATATCAACGATATTTTTGGTTGCATCAAAACCGAATATATCGTGGAATTCATCTAATAATCACGAAAGAGTACCTTCATTTCCATCAGTATGTTTCACTCTTAATTGTTTATTAATTATCTGATTAATTTAACTTAACTTATTACACAATTATTTATAATCAAACAATGATTTAATACAAAAAATTATCATTTCATCTCTAAAAAAAAAAGATCAAAATTTCAGATTTTTATATAAGATTTATTTAGTTATATATATTTTTTAAGATTTTAGTTTTTTTTTTTTTTAATTATTATATTCCATTGTTTTGATTATATTTGACTGAAATTTTTTTTTTCTTCCCTTTTGAGTAATAATTTCAACAATCATTTAAATTTGTGGAAAAGTATTCAAATTTAAATAGTCAAAAGAATTATTTGATAAATTGTGAAAAAAAAAAAAGTATGTGTTAGCCAAATGTTAGATATTATTAGACGAAATTTCGAACATTTGGAACAGTTCAAAAGTTAGCTTGAAAAAATTGAATTAGTTTAATTATTAAAATTTTTTAAATAATTTCTAATTGTTTGCACTTCTTCGTATTAGGATGAATTAATTTATGAATGAATGAATGAAATAATTAATTGTTAATTATATGCAATATTGTTTCAATTGATTATTTAATTATTTAATATTATAAAGGTAATCATTTAGGAACCACCATTTGAATTGAAAAGTATTCTTCCACCTGTAACTTTCGCTCAACTTACCTTAATTCATCAGAATGAATCATTAACAGTACAGGTTAGAGAGAAGATATTTTTATATTTCATTAATAGATATATGATTTCTTATTCTTTTTTACAAATTCATATTCTTGATTTTTTTTTTGAAAATTAATTTCAAAATTATACACAAACACAGAGAGAAAGAGAGATACATAAAATGAAGAATAAAAATTTTTTTCTCTCTCCAGAATTGTCCTTATCAAATTATCTATATTCTTATCAATTGCAGCAAAAGATAATGAAAATTGATGAAATTATTAATGCTCTACCGGAAAATATCTTGCAACAGCTTCCTTTGCCACCGGTTTTCCGTTTACTTCCTCAGGAAATCCAGGAAATGATTAAGATTATACGAACAGCAAAAAATCTTACAATGCAAGAAAAATGGCTTCAAATGACAATTATCATTGAATCACTTCCACAAGAACAAAGAATAATGCTACAACAAACAATGCCACATTTTCCATTGGTATTTTTTTTATGGTTTTATGATAATAACAAAATTGTTTTATTATTCATTTCATAAAAATATTTTCTTTTCATATTTCATTAAATAATTAAGTTTGATTCATATTACATATGTAAATTAAAATAAGCAAAACATAGTGTGAAATACTAATAATAATAACAAATGATAATAGGTGATAATATAATAAAAATAAATAGTAATAGTGAATAACAATGATAATAGCAGTGATAATGATAATTATTCTTATCATATCACTATGGTATTATAATAATTTAAAATGAATGTACTTCTATTTACTACTTTCATACTAGAAAAGTAAGAAAATTCCTGAATTGTTGCGCTGTATTTCAATTATTATTTATGAGAAGGTCAAATGTGTGTATTCAATTATATCAATTCAGAAAGAAAAGTTACTTATCCTAGCAGTAATTACTGGATAAGTGAGTGGAATAATTATAGAGATTAAAGTAATAAAGGAAATTTCTATAGGAATCAGATAATAAAAGCAATGAAATTCAGTGCAGCATGAAAAGAAAAAAAATCATTGTTTATTTAAGTAAACAAAAATTAATAGGTAAATAGATAAAGTGATAGTTAATAACTATAAATGAATTTTTGCTGTATTTAAATTATTAGTAAAGTGTTTAAATGTAAATCAAATAAATATTAGTAAACTGTTTAAGTGTAAACAAAATATTAGTAAAATGTTTAAATGTAAATAAAATATTAGCAAAATGTCTAATGTAAATTATTAAATTGACTAACATTTAATTAATTAAAAATCAATATTCCTAGGCACTTTCATCGGAATCCAAAGATATACTTCCAAATGAAGTATGGAATAATCTTGTTGCAATTTATCAGGATATTAATCTTGATAAAGCAGTAAGTTTTTTTTTTTTTTGACATTTTATTCTATTTTTATAGCTTATCTAAAGCTATAAAAATTTTATTATCACAATGTTATACTTTACTTTAATAATTTTTTTTTTTTCTAAATTATTTGAAATTCATCCAAATCATAAAGAAAAAAAAGAATTCATTCCGACTATCTGCAATTATTTACAGGAAAAATTGAAAAAAATTGATGGAATAATTAATGCTTTACCTGATACAATTCGTCAAAGACTACCATTATTATCACCATTTCAAAAACTACCATTTAATATACAACAACAATTACGAGCAGTTCATATGCAGCATCAATTATCGGTGGAACAACGACTTCAGAAAATAAAAGCAATAATGGAATCTTTGCCATTGGACATGAAGAAATTGATATTACCGCAATAGTATGTTACTCTATCATAGCTAGTGTAAAAATTGAAATTTAAATTATTGAGTAAAAAAAAAAAAAAAAAACAAAATTTAAATTATATTGTAATACTATAAATTGTTGCCAATCAACTGTGTGTACTTGTACTTTTTAATGAAAATTATTTTAGCACTAAACCCTGCAATGTTTTTTTTTTTTTTTTTCTAGACTTTATCGACGAATTTATAGAATTGTCTCGAAAAAAATAAATAAATTTTCACAACAAATTTTTGAAATATAATTTTCCAATGGTAAGTGAAAAGTTTATAAACTATACAATAATTGTATCATCTCTATTTTTGATTTCGTCGCTGAAAGTTATCACCATTAAATAAATAAAGCAATGTTTGTTAGTTTCATTAACAGCAGAAGAATAAAATTCAGCAACAATTAACAATTCCAATCTTCTTTTTAACTTAAAAAGGTATAAGATGCATTGCTGATTCGAGAATATCAAAGAAAAGATAAATCAGATAAAAACACCGTGAAAATGTATAATCTTAACTATCATAAAAATACATTTGATTTAAAAAACCCTGATCAAACTCGAAATAAATAAAAATGTGGTGACATCAGATAGAATGATTAAATCAATATTTCAAAATTATCACATTTTATTTTACTCTTTGACTAATACAAAAATATAGATTTGTCATTGTCTCTACAATATTCCTTTACAATATTCTAACAGAACTGTAAATTAAAATTAATTTCATATCTTGAAAGGGTTGAAAAAAGTCCTTACATACACATACGGAAAAAAAAAATTTTCCAGACAAAAAATACCCTCTCTAATACACTGCAAAAAAAAAGAGATCAAGTCAATATCCTTCATATGAATATGTAATTTTATATTCTGGATACTTCTTCTGTAGTAAATTGACCGTCTGTTCGTGTTTTGCCGGACCATATCTCTATAATGATAAGCCAACATTTGACAACTCTCATTTTATCATAACTATACGGACTACTGCAAATTAATCTTTTATCATATTTACTGGTGCTCTTGGCAAATTAAAATAAAATGTTAAACGTCTACTGATGAAAATGTCACATATGAATGATGACAAAACATCACCGCCTTGAATATCAAATCTTTTCTTTTTGCCTGTTAGTAAAACTTTGGATGATTGAAATTTTTTAATTTTGTATTAAATCTATCAGATTTTGTTGCTATTTAAAAGAAAAACTTTTAATGCAATGAATAATTTGCAAGAATAAAAATGCTATTTAAGTAATTATTTTATAAATGCTAACATAAACCAAACCTGTGAATAGCCATAAACAAAAAGACTTTTCTTTTGAGGTTCATGCATTATACGTCCACCACCAACGCATTTCAATGAAAAAGAAGCGCCAATTTCCTTTTCAGTTTGTTTAAAAATATTTTTGTGCCATTTACAATGTTTATAACCTCGAACGATCATTTTCTCCTCGCTTGTTTGTTTTGCAGTGACCTGGAAATATGAGTTAAACGAAAGACTCAAACACATCAATTTATTAAAAAAAAAAAAAAAAAAATGTAACATTAATGATAAGTCAGTACAGTGTATCAGTTAATCTGATATGTTCGAAAATTCACGAATGATATATTCGATATTTAGCTAAGCCATATGATGATAAATTCTACGATAATTCTAGCAATTACCTTAATCATTATGTATTTAAATACACCTTCCGGATCTATATCCACATCCGGAACATTTCTCAATGACATTGAATGTAAAATGTTCACAGGAGTTAATAACCAAACTGAACACTGAATTTATTAAGATCTTCCTGAAACTTCTTAAAAATTATAGAAACATGAGGAATCTTTTTAAATCGTTTGTGAGAACCATACTATTTGGTTTGGCAAAATATATAAGTTTGTAATTATAAAAAAAAGAAAATTTTGTAAGCAACTTAATGTGACTGAATGAGTCAGTGTAACCAAAAACTGGCAGGAAAAGTAATAAAGCGAATCTATTTATGAATATCCAGTTTTTATTACAAATTACGTCTGCAATTTCAGAATTTACAATCATAGAAAACATATAAATTGAGTAGCAAATGTAATATAAAAAATAATGAATTAAATAAAATCAATTTCAAGATGAGTCGTTAACTAATTTTGCCAAAATGTAAGTTGTGTTGAAATTACAATTCAAATTTTAACTTCAATCAAACATAAAAACAAGAGAGATGAAAAAAATAATGATGGAAATCATGCAGCAATTTAAAACAATAACGATAAATATTGGAGCATACTGAAAACGAATTAATATCCTTCATTAGAAAAGGTGATTTTATAATTGGGATATTTCTCTTTCAAGATATCGACACTTATCTGGTGATCCGCAGGGCCATAACCCTAAATATATAATTGCGATGAAATTAAATAATGTACAGAATTTAAATGAAATTGTGAAATTTCTATAAGTCCATTTTTTCAATTTATCGTCCTGTCGAATAATTTTTCCATCGCACCAATTCGACGAAAGTTTATGTTTTAAAAAACACTAAACATACAAAAACATGAAGATCTAATTTTACGGAAATATTTGTAGTATTCCAAAAAATAATAATAACAAAAATGACATTCGATCATTTTTCAAATATGTTTTTGCTTTCTGTGGGGCGAATGATAACACTAATTTACTTTCTAAATTCTAAAAATCCACAAAAAATGATTACAGTAAATTGAAAATTATCATATCTACTGGGCAATTATTATTAATATATGCTATTAATATATAATAAATTATAATAAAATTTGATAACCTGTGAATAACCATATACTAATATGCTGTGATTTTTCGATTCATGCTTGATCCTACCTCCACCTAAACATAACAGTTCGTAATCTGTCCCAAGTTCTTTTTCTGTTTCGTCTAACACATCGCCATGATAAGCGCAACGAGCATACCCACGTACGATTAGTTTTTCTTTCTTTGTAGCTTTTTCTGTTACCTATAACTGTATAAATTGCATCATATTATAGCCATCACTTCGATATTCTAACCGTTTCAAAAGTGAAATTCACTAAATTATTAAATAATCGTTCTCTTCTTTGTCTCTTTGTGTTAACACATTAACTTCAAGTGACATAGTTACCGCTATATCTGGAAATAACTATTCTTGGATCAAAAATGTACCTTTATTAATATATATTTGAAAACGCCATCAGGATCGATTTTAGCACCAGGTACATCGACTAGTGGCATAGTTGTTGAACTTGAAAATAGCCTTATACGCCGGAAGTTAGTAAGAGTTTTGATGAAATGAGAAATCTTGTCTATAAGAAATTACTCAATAAGAAAAGCAACAGCCAAATATGTTGTTTGTAATAAATTCAAGCATTCCTTTGACAAAACCCCAATGAATCTAAAAATCTTTCACCACAGTTCAGATAGCTATCATACTTCAACCTTCCATTACTATACTATAACAGTGCAACTAAGAACTGAATTGTATGTAATTAAAATTACTGCTTTTTATCATAGAAACTTCAACAATAAAAAAGGCGAAAGCTTGAGTATAAGTTATGACAGTACATCGATGTCCAGAACTTTTTCTTTTCTTTTTTAAAGTGAGACTTAGAATTTTCATTATCCAAGAAATAATAAGATACTATAAAAAATAATAAAAAATACAAGAAATGTGCACAAGAAATAACAAAAATAATCACAGAAAAAATTCAAAAATGCTATTAAGACAAAAGATAACAAAACAATCTCATTAAACATCATTAAATTTACACTCAAATTTCATAACCAGCATATATCATTATTGCTACCATTAGCTAATCCCTTATTTTTCTTACCATATTATTAACATCAGAAATATGACTAATTCATAAAGTATTTAAATGATATAATAACAAGTGCTTCAATCATACCTTTTCTAAGATCGTTTAATATAGTAATCTTTGATAACTACCTTGAAAAGAATATCACATTTCTAAAGCCCACTGGGCAATAATAATTGCGATTTACCTTTGTGTCATAGAATCACCATTAACTTCACTACCAAATTCAGAAATTTAATGCAAATATTCAATATGCTGAACAACCGAAAACAGTAAAATTAAATAATTGTAATCACATCCATAAATCTGTAAATTTTCTATTGATCAACTTTTCGTTAAAGCATAATTGAACTGATGCTCGAAATTCTTTGTTGCTCTTGCTTTTCGAACAGATTCTAATGTTTCATAAACTCGTTTCATTGTACTTCGATTAAATAGTTTAGCCTAGAAACGAAAGTACATGATTATGTAAATCTCGATTTGAGATATAAATATCGCAAGAAAATTCCTTACCTAAAATTTACTACCAACAAATTCCATATCTTCATAAATTAAGAAAGAAAAAAAAGACTAACAAAACCTAATTTCTTAATTCAGCAATAACTCCAAAGTAGCGTGATTATTTTTAATAGTAATTACGATACATTCTTGTATCTAGTCCCATTCCGAAAGATGCTATAGATATATCTGGTTAACCACCAAACTATCTTATTCACTGCCCCTAATACCTAAGACAGTCATTCATGACATTCCAACCTTGCATTATTAACAGGATTGTCGAGAATATCCTCATAATCTACCTACAAAATGCTCCCCAGACCTCTGGGAGGGAAATATTGAAATTAGCAACTTCTTACACTGAGTCTATTTCTTACGGCAACTGGTGCATTTCCTTCAGTATCTTCTTGTCGTTTCCTCTTCCTTCGCTTTACATTTCCCCTCAAATTAACTCCAGTCGCAGCTTCGACATCTCTAATATATTCTTCCTCCTCCTTAGCATCATGTTCTGAATTGCAAGATTTCCTGCAAACGGGAAAGGCTATCCATAGCATTTGAATTTTGGAATGTGTAATTAAAAGTTTGAAACTCAATTAAAACTTGTTCCTTTATTTCAAATATCACTTTTAAAATTACATACTCAATGATTTCGTTCACTGGAAATCCCATCTCATCACGATCAATGATCTTCCCATGTAGTGGACAGCGTTTTTGATCCATACGAGGACATAGTGTTCCATCACTAAGCGGAACACGGCATTGCCGACTACTCATTAACTGTTGACCAACAAATGTTATAACTCGTGCGTGATATGCTTCTGAGATATCCAAATTTGTTGAACAACTACAATTTAAAAATAGAAGTGATCATATAACTAGAAATGATTAACGTAAGCAAAGTTTAAAACGTTAATAGTTTGCTAACCTTTCATCTGAAGGACGCCAAAATCGATGGCAGTCAGCATTATTTCGTGGTACTTCAGCGGGCTTGATGTCATTTTCACCCCAGTATTTCAGATCAAGTCCATATGACAAAACTGGTACTTTATTTCCATATTCTTCACTCTTTTTGTGATCTGGAAAATAAAAAGTTCTACAAGAGCACAAGAGCAATAAAAACCATAAAAGTAATCATAATTCTACCTGGCGATAAATTTAGTGGTTTCTGCACTCCAGAAATTTTGCTAGGACCAGCTGAACTGTTTTCCATTGTTTTTCTTAAAATATATTCGGGCAATTCTTGTGGTGGTTTGCATTCCAACTCCAAACCTGATAAATATCCAATTATTATTAACCAAAATGGTAAAACTTTTAGAGCTTTATCACATAAAATAAAAAGGAATTAAAAAGTGAAAGGCAAACAAATCACCTTCTTTTTCTGGCACATCTTCAAGATCGTCAGTCTCCGAATCTTCTTCATCTGACTTCTGTTTGCTTTGCAAGTGCAATTCTTCACACCTAAAATTCTATTAAATTTTATTTTGTTTACATCGCCACAAAATTCTTTAATAAATTAAAAAAAATTCTATCATTTCCAATCCAGATAAAAAATGCTGACTTTCTCAATTCAATCGTAATCCTATCTTTTAAATGAACAATTTCCTTGCACAGTTTCTGCCCATTGTTTCCACCATACTTGCCAAGCTTGATAAGCCAACGGCAAATGATTTTCTTATAAAATTGCAACATTGTCATACAGTCCATCAAAGCATTTATGATTATTTTATTTTCTGCATTCACATTCACAACTGGTGCATCCAGCGCAACAGTGACAGCCACTGGTTCGAGTACACTATATCCATGAATCATCTAAAATTACTTAGTGAATATGAATGAAATCAAAGCATAAAAAAATTTGGCGTGGAACGGAAGGCTAATATGTGTTAAAAAAGATAAAGAGAATAAGATGTAATGATTTCATCAATTAAATTCTAAAATATTTTTACAGAAAACCAACTGCAACCTCATTCTCATAACCGAGATGTCTCTTGTCATGTGTATCGTTATCAATATCAAATCGTGGCACCAGGAGCTCAAGTGCATGTCGTGTCTCATTGATACAACGTGAAATTTCCTCTAATCGTTCTTTAAACTCTTTTTCAATTTTCTCGATCACTCGCTTACTCTGCTCATCTTTTTTCCGATCTCTTTCTTCAGCACGTTGCCTTTCAATCTGAAAACAACTCGCGTAAAAAATTTTCATTTACAAAAAATTAGGACTTAAAATTATAACATCTATTTTAATTTTAAATAAATTTGAATGAAAAAAAAATAAATATATGATTTAAAATAAAATACAAATCCCATTTTCTAGTTTGGCAGTAGAAAAATAAAAGTTTTTTTCGTACTGCATTATTATGTTAATGTAAGTGTTGAAACCAATATTTACAATACGATATCAAAAATAACTGAACAGCTCACGATAATTACCATACATATTTAACAACAGATAGGCATCTTAATTTTTTAAGAAATAAGAGAAAATACCTGAAGTTCAGCACTAGCGTGTTCAAAATCTAAAGATTTTGAAGAGCGCAAGAAATTGACAGCAAAATTCAATTTCGAATAAGCTTCTGCATATTTCTCATGCCAAAGTTTGACAAGCTTCAAAGTTTCTAATTTAAGAATTTTGGCAGCTTCCTTGGGAGGTGGAAGAGGATAATGGAGAGGATCTGTTTCTGCTGTATACAACAGAACTTCCTGAAAAGTTAATACAGATTATTGGAATCAATTAAAAATGAGCGTATCAAAAGAAAATCACGCACTACAGGAAAGCCAAAACAAAACCACTCTTTTTAATAATAATTCTGTGCAATTTGGAAGAAGTTTAAATATGAAAAAATTTTAAAAAGCTTAAATATATATCATGATAATTTCGCTACTGTCCATCTTTAATTCAAACTTCCTCGACACAAACCTGCATATGACTGGTCAGCTGAATACGGAAAACATGAGATCGTTGAAAGAGTTCTGCACATAGTTGTAAAACAGCCAAACGATATTCACAATCATTTTGTCGGAAATATTTCAAAAAATCAGTAAAGATAGTCTCAATGATATCCGGATTACTCTTTAAAATCTGTTTCAATTCTTTGAGTTTAACTTCATTCAGTACTCGTCTACTGAAGTCGAACTGAAACGATGAAGTACTAAGAAGGTACTAAATTCAGCAGTTGTGAGAAACAACGTCAAATAAAAATTCTAAATGCCTATAGTTCACGTTATATTTCACCAAGCTGATAATCGTTGTCAAAAATCGTATATCAAAAAATGAGTAAAAATCCAAACAGTATGATCAGTGGCATACCTTAACAAAAGCGTCACTTCTTCAATTAATCATTTTATTTTATACATCTATTACCCAGGACTTTGAAAATTAATGACCATAGTAATTTCCACTGCTCATTGAAAAATTACATTTCAGTATTCTTGAAAATAATTTTACCTGTTTAATTAAATTAGAAAGAATCCTTCTGGAAGCTATTAGCTGAGAAGATCCTCCGTCCTGCATTCAGTGGAATTTCAAGTTTCATGTGAACATAAAATAAATGATTTTCGGATTGCGGCAAGTTTACAAAATTAAACCATCCCATCCAATATTCAAATAAGCCAAGCAAATGATAAAAGCTCTAAACAAAATTTTAACATTCAAAACACGCGTAACATGAAAAAATTTTGACGTAAGTGATGTCACTGTGTTCCAAATATTCTACTCAGGAAAAGAAATTCCAATTTCCAGTTTCATTTTAGTTTGCAGAATTTAGATGAAAGGTGTGAATCGCATAGTTTATATCTTTATGTTTAATGGAATAAAATATACGTCTTTCGGTATGATAACAGTTTGCTTCTTTTTTAGCATACGTTCAATGAAGAAAGTATTCATAAAGAAATCACAGAGCAAATTAAGCGGAAATCGGAACGTAATTTGAGTGAAAATTTTCACAGAAATTACTGGGACAGATGCATTGACTATTAATCCTTATGAAGAATGGAAGAAGAAAACAGAAATAAAATTGATAAAGTTAATGAAAACCTTATATAATCAATGCATATGAAGAAGAAGCATTCCGGATTTGATCATTCAATCCTGCATAATGTCCATTCAAAATACCAATAAATGATTAAGGAAAATAAAAATCAAATGAAAGAAGTCAGACTTTCCAGCTGTAAACATTTTCTAGTTTTTCAGAATAACAACGAATAATTTATTTCATTGTTGCAACGAAAAAGAAAAAGAAAAATCACTCTGAATTGATTATTCATGCTTCTACGTTGTTTACTAGAGGACATGTGCTGTAATTACTTTTTGAACTTTTTAGTTTTTTGCTCAGAATCTTTCTAACGATAATTTTTTTTCAATTTTATTTTTTCTTTTTTTTAAAGCAATTCTTCCAGTTATTTCCAAATAACTTTTTTAACTTTGATTTTTTTAATTCCCAAATTTACAAAATATTTTTAGATATAATCTTTGAAACGAAATTACTTGAAAAAGTATTTTCAAGTAATTTCAAACATGATTTAATCAAAAATTTTATTGTGAATTTTTACTATTCCATGCAAATCAACTTAACGCTTTACATAATTAGTAACAGCAAAATTTATAGCGTCACGTATTTATTAAAATCTTATAATTTACTACAACACTGTCACTTACTGATAAACATAAAACTAATTCACATACTACTACTACTGCTACGACCTTACTAGTCAAATAGATCAGATCACGGATGATAATTTTGATTATCACTGATAAAACCTTCATCCCACAAATTCTTCCTGACCATTATATCCCAACTCTTTGCTTACAACAAATCAGACTTAACATTAATCTCTTTAGCGTAAGCACGACAATTGGAGGGATATTGTTTTGCATACTAACAGGCCGCACTCCAGTCATTAATTTGGGTTTTTTAAATAAGGGTGGAAGTTGTTTGCTGGGTAGGTGTGTCTGTTGTGTGCTTGGATTTCTAGGATTGTGGAGTATTATGTGATATTGTGTGGTTTTTCAGGTGCACACACATAGAATGTCCTCAGGTGTATTGGTCAATTCAGAATGTCAAACTGTATTTCAGCAACTTTCGGAAGGAAAGCATCATAAACTGCGTTATATCATTTACAAAATTGAGGACAAAGAAGTTGTAGTAGAAGCAGCTGTTTCACCCGATGAAGTTAGTTTTGCTAATATGTTAAAGTTAGCTAATTTTAGATGAGGAATATATACAAATCTTAAAAATTGTTTTGATCAGGAAAGAGAAATTTAGATGATTTAGTCAGTGTTGTGTTGTTATCTGTATCACGTTAATTCTAGCGTTTAATAAGATGATGCCAGACTTTCTTTCTTATGAGCATAATGTAAGCGTGTATAACTTAATAATTTAATGGCTCATTACATTATAAGTGTATTTGAATTTGGTTGCAATTAAATTAATTTATAGCTTGGTGTAACAGATGATGATCATGACGAAAATTCGAAAACAGCATATGAAGCGTTCGTACAAGATTTAAGAGAACGGACGAATGGTTTTAAAGATTGTCGTTATGCTGTTTTCGATTTCAAGTTTTCATGCAATCGACCCGGCGCCGGTACTTCTAAAATGGACAAAATTGTTTTCATTCAGGTTATTTGCAATTTAATCATAGAAAATTCTTCATATTTATGCATTAAAAGAGTCGTTACTGGACTGTTAAATCTAAAATTGTAAATTAAAATTCTTCAAATCATTCGTTTTTTTCCATATTATCTCAAAGTATAAAAGAAACAAGCTTTTTGAAATTTATTGCATTTGTAGCTATGTCCCGATGGTGCACCAATCAAGAAGAAAATGGTTTACGCTTCATCCGCTTCTGCAATCAAGTCATCGTTAGGAACTGCTAAAATTCTGCAATTTCAAGTAAATAATTTTCTCGTGCTTTTTTCTTACTTAACTGTTAATAATATGGAGAGTTAAACAATGAATGCCAGGAAGTCTTGATGTCCGAAGTTTTTCTTCTTTTCTTCACTTTCTTATATAAAAATTTGTCGCCACTTGAACCCTATTCAGATGCTATTTATGCTTAAGTTGCATGTTACGAACTATTATCTTAAGGTTTCCGATGATTCCGAAATCGCTCACAAGGAGCTTTTGTCCAAGCTGAGTGAAAAATACCGCGACAATTAATGGTTTTTTGATCGCTACAATTGCCGATTGAAATTATGTACGTGATCGAAATGAATATTAGCCTCATTGTTTTACGTTGATATTTATTTGGTTTACCATTAATGAAAATGAAATTGATTTTATGGTTGCTCCTGAGTAAGGGTGATTAAATTCTCTTATCTAGAGCCTAGAGAAAAATTAACTGTACTGTTTGATAACACACTAGACTTATTAGATTCTAGTGCTTTGTAGTTATGTCCATTATACGGAGATCTGCCATCCTTTTTTTGCTTTTAAAATATCATTTTATATTTTTAAAATATTTACATTTTACATTGAAAATCCAAAAATGACTGGAAGAATCTTTCAAAACAGTTGTAATGAATGAGTTGAATTACTGATGAAGACACTGTAAGGCATTCATTAGTTGCCTAAAGTTATTGGAAGTGCAACTATCAGCCGTACTTTTCATTATATAAACTGTCTTTATCGAATTGTAATTGAAGCAATCTGTTTTAACAGACTGCCTTATTCTGTAGAATGGTTTACTCATTTGTTGGATGAAATTAAGAGAATAGAAAGGAAAATGGGAGTATATTTTTAGAAAATAAAAGAATAGAGATATTTGAGAAATCAGATGAACTTTTTCTTTTGTTTAAAAAGGAACTTAGCTGAGCAAAACGTTAGTGTTTTCTTTGTGATTAGTCATCATTAAGTTATAAGCTTGATCTGCAGTCGATCCATATTTGATTTGAATGATTTCTTATGGAGTGAAATTCTTTTTCAAGTTCACAAAAATTGATTTGTCTTTTTATTTTTTCAATTTTTAATTTTTTTTTTGTGTATTTTTGCAATTCTTCATTCTGCTTTACAGTTTCGAATTATCATTCCTTGCCAACAAAATTCATTTAGCATATGTCACTTTGTTTCACTTGCACTTACCATTCTTCAGTTCTTCCTTCTCATTGTGCACAGAAATACATAGTCTGCTCATGCGCGTATGCTTTGTATATCACTGTGTGCTGAATGTGTTTTGCATTAAAAAAGAAACATTTTGCTTCTGAAACTTTTTTCTTGGGTTGAAAAAGAGTGTAAGTTCTCTTCTTCAACACTTAAGTTGAATTAAAATTTTTATGTTTGAATATAGTTTGTTTCGATTAGTATTAATAAAGTATCTAATCATGTTGTGCAGAAACTCGAACAGTTATGAACTGTCCCAGTAATATTTTATTCTGTTGAAGGAAATATGTAGAACTTGAAAGTTAAGCATGCGATGGTGTTAGGTGGTTTTCTTCAGGTTGTCGACGGTTGCTATTAGTCCACAGATTAAATATGAAGTAATGTGATAGTTGGAGCTGTAATTTTATTTGAGCATAGAATATGTCACATATAATATAGGGAACATGAAACTTTAGCATGAAGAATTTATGTTAAGGAGATTGTAAAATGAAAAGTGATCTTAATGAAGTACTCAGTATTTCAAAGATTACCAATATTTTGAATTGATACAAAGAAGATCAATGTACATCTTTTTATGGGTTGGGACTTTTACAAACTTATATCTCAGCTAATCAGTAGCATTAGCATTTGTTAACCATCGAGTTATGTGATGTTTTATTCAAAGCAAGAAATCAATTCTGCATTTTGTGCTGATTATTAGAACTACATAGCGCAAGTGAAAAGTGCATAGATACTAATATGTTTTTTAATAGGATTTGCAAGGAAGTAATATTTCATTATCGTCCATTAAATACCGATGCAGTCTCTTAACGTCCACTGTAATCTGTTACCTGTTGTGGTTCAAAAAAGTAGAAAAGAGGAGTAATGTTGTAGAGTAATGTATTTATATTACAGGTTTTCAGCTGAAGAAACTTTTGCTTCCTATAATTGTCAAGCCATGATGAACGGACCAATAATTTTGTTGAAAGAGGGAACAGAAGCAAAGTTTGGTAAACAACAAATAATTAGTAATATTAGTGCATGCAATGTGATCGCCGATAGTGTTCGTACCACTCTAGGACCTCGTGGCATGGATAAACTGATTATCGATTCTAAAGGTATTCTATACCGCACCGAATTTTATCAACATTTTCTTAAATGTAATCAGATTTTGAATGTTTAGCTGATGATTTAATCGATATTGTGAAGTTTTAATTGATGACATGCATTTATTCTGTCAACTGAAGGTCTTCACTTTTTTACATCCTCCAGTAAATGACCTTCAGGTAAAACAACGGTCTCAAACGATGGAGCAACCATCCTGAAATTACTGGATGTTGTTTTTCCCGCAGCTCAAGTTATGGTCGATATAGCGAAAAGTCAAGATGCTGAAGTTGGCGATGGCACGACTTCAGGTAAATGAACTGTCATAAATGGAATCTAATTACTAAGTCTTTCTTGTATAGCTATATCACTCAAATGTTAACTTTTAATTCGTGATTTTCAGTTGTAATACTAGCAGCCGAGCTTTTGAAACGTTCAAAATCTTTCATTGAAGATGGTGTGAGCCCACAGCTAATAATTCGATCCTATTCAAAAGCTTGTGAAGAGGTTTGCTTGTTTTTAATTGTTGCGTCACCATACCGTAATAACCAAATAGATTATTAAATGCATATACATATAGTTATAAAGTGGCGGAATTTTAGCAACTTTATCTTTTACGGAATTAGCTGTGTACTGATCATTCGATCTCAGTCGATTGTTAATATAATGACATTTCGGGTATTTTGAAATAACGCAGTGGTATTGTTTGATTGCAGTATAAAATTAGCAAAAGAAGTAGGAGGTAAGGAGAAAAAAGCTTTTTTAAATACTTTGTAATTTAAGGCAGTCAGTCGACTTAAGCAACTGGCTGAAAAAATCAGTGGCGATACTAATATGCGTGAAATGCTAACTCGGTGTGCCACTACTTGTCTCAGTAGTAAATTGGTGCGTTTTATGCTATTCAGACATTTGCGGTGATTTTGCCTTTTTCTTTAAATAATAGTTGAAATTTCCAAACATCCTTGATTAATAAGAACCTTACGAACTCGAACGAACTATGTGAAGAGACAAATTAATTGATCGCTAGGATTTTTTCCAGCTTATATTGATGCAGTTTTGTTTTATCATATATTTGTGTTTCACATACGATCATACACAGATTAAAGGAGACAAACGAAATTTCTTTTTAAACTGCATCGATTGATTTTGAGACTGTTGATTTCATCAATTCGACGTTTGTTCTAATGTTTTTGATTCATTGAAAGATTAGAATGATCTCTGCATTGCCTTAACGGCTGCTATCACTTCAGCTTCTCGATGAAAATTTGTAGTCAATTTTTCTTTTTTTTTTCTTAGACATTATTTTGTAAAAATTGAAGATAAGTCAAGAACGGGAATTCTTCGCTGAAATGGCTGTTGATGCTGTCGCGTATTTGGATGAAAATTTGACATCAAATATGATAGGGATTAAGAAAGTTAGCGGTGGATCTCTTTCGGTACGTATTTTCATGAAGAATTGGTTGTCATGATTTTATGAATTCTTGCAGTAATTAGGCGCATTAGAATTTTTCAGGATTCTCAACTTGTTAAAGGCATTGCATTCAAGAAAGCATTCAGTTATGCAGGCTTTGAAATGCAACCAAAACATTACAAAAATCCTTCCGTTGCCTTGCTTAATATTGAACTGGAATTGAAAGCTGAGAAAGACAACGCAGAAATGAGAATTCAAAGTGTGGATGAATATCAAAAGGTATTTGTTTCTGTAAACAGAACTATTACTTTCACTGATTCTATTTAGAATTCCATTATACTTTAATTATTGATTTACATAATGGTACTAAAGCTAGTTTAAATTTTCTCCTGGTTTTCAGATTGTTGATGCTGAGTGGACAATTTTGTATGACAAACTGAAGAAAATTCATGAATCTGGTGCGAAAGTAGTACTTTCAAAACTGCCAATTGGAGATGTGGCAACACAATGGTTTGCTGATAGGTAAGTTTTACCGTTAAGCTTAAAACTATACTTTAGGATCGTTCTTAAATTATTTGTATTTGCAGAAACTGTTCATATAATTGTATCTTTGTGATAGTGGAATGTTCTAGATTTGAAATAGGCGTTACATTTATTTACTCCTTTTTATTCTAACTTCCAAACACGTTTATGTAGAGATATGTTTTGTGCGGGACGTGTGGAACAGGCTGATATGGATAGATTAATTGCTGCTTGTGGTGGTACTATTCTTACAACCGTAAGTCAAATTAGCAAGGAACTTCTTGGAAACTGCGGTGAATTTTACGAACAACAAGTAGGAAGCGAACGGTATTATTTCCATTTTTATCTTTTTTTTTTAAAAAAATGATCTCATATTCCTAGCTTTCTCTATTTTTTACCATTTTTTTTCCTTCAAATTTCTTTTACCTCAGATATAACTTTTTCCTGGACTGTACAAAGGCTAACGCTTGTACCGTGATTTTGCGCGGTAGTGCAGAGCAATTTATCGCAGAAACGGAACGTTCTTTGCACGATGCAATCATGATTGTACGACGTGCTAAAAAAAATGACACAATTGTTGCTGGTTTGTTTTGTTTTTGTTTAGACGATTGATTGCCAACGAAAATTACATGAATTATCTTATTCATTGTCATTTCAGTACTTTCGTCTGCTTAATAATCTCTGCATCTCAGTTATTTTACGATTTCCGGACTTATGTAATACAGATTTGCTTTATTGTTCAAATCTTCAATTTTCGTTCCGGCGTAATAGAATGTATTGAGTGTCTTTTTTTAAATACAAGCTTTGCTTAATTATAATCAACTAAATGTGCTTATAAAGTTGTTATGATAAATTGTACTGCTTATTCAACTTTAGGTGGTGGTGCTATTGAAATGGAGCTTTCGCGGCATATTAGAGATATTTCTAAAACTATCGCGGGCAAAGAGCAATTCTTTTGGCAAGCATTCGCCAAAACTTTAGAGGTATCGTTCGTTTTTTTTTTTTTTTTTTGTGGGAGTTTTTTTATGTGATAATGGAGGAACAAAATTTCGAAATTATAAAGTTTTCGTCCACTTCGTTGTTTTCCCATATGATAATACAATGCTTTTCATTTCTGAAATGCTTGCCGTTTCCATTTCTATTTGATATGATTCATGTAGAAATTTTTCTTGTATATATGGTGCTGTTTATATTTAATTAATTATGAGTGCTAATCATAAACGAAATATGTAGATTTTTTTTTTGGAAAAAGAAAAAGCATATGTTTATGTATTTTAGGTAATTCCAAAGCAGCTATGCTACAATGCAGGCATAGATGCCACGGACATACTGAATCGATTGCGACACCGACATGCGAAGGGAGATAAGTGGGCGGGAGTTGATATTTATGCGGAAGATGTCAGTGACAATATGAAAGCGTGTATTTGGGAACCAGCTGTTGTGAAACTAGTTTGTTTTATCTGGATTTCCACTATGAAATTTAGTTTCAAACAGTAATTAAATGGAATACTAATTGGAAACAGTGAGTATAAAGGAATATAAGGTTTAAGTCGGATGGAAGGTACAGTTAGTTTGAACTAAATGAAATAAAAATATGAAACGACAAATTTTAGGTTATCATTTCTATACATTTCTTATGTTTTATTAGGCACTGCTTAGATTAGATTTGATTTATTTTTCGTCTACAAAGTATTTGCCAATCGCTAAACATCATTTTCAGAATGCACTGACAGCAGCAACCGAAGCAGCATGTCTTGTTTTAAGTATTGATCAGACGATTAAGAATCCTCGTTCGGCAAGTGGTGGTCAGTTACCAGATATGTAAAGTATCTTTTTCAAGATGTTGTTTGGAATATCATTAAATTACTTCAAGAAAAGTTGTGTTTAACAAACAAAAGAAAGTGACTATCAGTCAGATTTTATGTTTACAGCAATCAGTTGCATTGTTTCTTTTTATTAATTTTTGATCAGCTTTATTGATTTGATAACAATGACAGATCAGTTTTTGAAATTCGTACTTAAAATATATCTGTCCCTTTAATTGTCACTGTTTTAATTGTTGTTGATTTGCTTCCTTTGAATTTTTTTTTTTTTTATGAATAAAACAATGCTTAAACTTTTTGGTGCGAAGATTGTGGCGTGAAACGCATAGTAAATCAGACGTGCTCTCTAAATCTTTAACAGCAGTGAAGACGTCGAGACGTGGATTTTTTGTGGAAGAATAAATTCAAAAACTTTATTCCTTACGAAATTAAGATTGATAACAAATATAAGTTATTTTCGATATCTAATATGCTATGAACATGTGCTGTCTTTGGCTGAATAAGGTAATAAATAGGCGGAAAGTGCGGTAATTCTAAGCAAAAGCTCTAAAGAGGAATGTTTCATGTAAAGAATAAACATAAATGACAAAAAACTAGCACATGAGCTAAATGTAGGTTATTATCTATTCAGCTGAATAGCTCATGAGCTAAATAGGTAACTCAATTGGCCCTCCAATGTCCTCTTATGACTTATTAATTTATCTCATCACTTCTGAGTTAATATTATTAGTTGCTGCATCGAACATTTAAAAATATGTACCTTCAAAGGATCTCTTAACAATTTTTTATAGGTTTATTTTACGTAAAATTATGCAGTTACGAATATTCTTCCCATGTTGTAGAATTACGCGCAATTTTTCTTTTTTTTGTTGAAAAGATTGCCATTTTCAATAGTATCAAAAACTTTGAACCAAACTCTATTAAAGTAATCCTATTAAGTTATGATAACCCTTTCTAAACGATTATTGCAGTTGTTAGTGTTTTCTAAAAAGTATAATTTCTAAATTCTAAGAATGATTTCATCAAAATACCACATTTGCCGGAAAAATAGCACATTTGCCATTCTCACAGGTCATAGTATAAAACTTTAATCACTTTCTTATTATTTGGCATCACTAAATTATCACTTATAATCATTTGGCATCACTAAATTATCACTTATAATCATTTGGCATCACTAAATTATCACTTATAATCATTTGGCATCACTAAATTATCACTTATAATCATTTGGCATCACTAAATTATCACTTATAATCATTTGGCATCACTAAATTATCACTTATAATCATTTGGCATCACTAAATTATCACTTATAATCATTTGGCATCACTAAATTATCACTTATAATCATTTGGCATCACTAAATTATCACTTATAATCATTTGGCATTACTAAATTATCACTTATAATCATTTGGCATCACTAAATTATCACTTATAATCATTTGGCATCACTAAATTATCACTTATAATCATTTGGCATCACTAAATTATCACTTATAATCATTTGGCATCACTAAATTATCACTTATAATCATTTGGCATCACTAAATTATCACTTATAATCATTTGGCATCACTAAATTATCACTTATAATCATTTGGCATCACTAAATTATCACTTATAATCATTTGGCATCACTAAATTATCACTTATAATCATTTGGCATCACTAAATTATCACTTATAATCATTTGGCATCACTAAATTATCACTTATAATCATTTGGCATCACCAAATTATCACTTATAATCATTTGGCATCACTAAATTATCACTTATAATCATTTGGCATCACTAAATTATCACTTATAATCATTTGGCATTACTAAATTATCACTTATAACCATTTGGCATTACTAAATTATCACTTATAATCATTTGGCATTACTAAATTATCACTTATAACCATTTGGCATTACTAAATTATCACTTGTAATCATTTGGCATTACTAAATTATCACTTCTAATTTAGTGAAAACAGAGTGATTTAATGATAACCGACTGATTTAATGATAACAGAGTGATTTCATTGATAAATTAAAAAATATTTGAATACGATTTTTTTTTAGCAATATAAAATCATTCATACTTTATTATGATTTCATTCCATTTTAAAACAACAATCGGTGTACTTCCTGAGTAACTCTGTTCGTTCATTTTAAAATTATAACACAAATTCTTTATTGAATGAAACATTGAAATTTTATAATAATTAAATTCAGATTCCTTTTTTTTTCATCCATATTTTAATATTTCAGTGAATAAAAAAAAAGTTTTCTAAATTGTTAATTCTTTCATCAAAAATACTTCGGATTAATTGTTAAAAAATAATTTTAGTAAAACTAAAGAAATAAGATTATATTACTACATTCTACCAATATTTCTATAATCAATATAACTAATTGGCGCTAATATTTAATCTACAATTTTGCGCCAATGTATACTTTTTTTTTTTTTCTTCTGATTTATTCAATGTTTTGTTTGGTTTGTTTTTTTTTTTTTTTATGAAGTTCTAATAAAAGTTATTTTTTACATATGTATTTTAAAGTCTTCCTATTATCTTTTTAATCTTCTCTCATTTATTTTTTTTGTTTTCTTAAATAAATAAAAAATGAACTCAGAATGTTGATTAATTTAATTTAAAAAGAAATATTTTCGACATATTTTTTCGTTTTTTTTTAAATTTATAATAACTTTGAAATTTCGGAAAACAAATTAATTCAGCAAAGAATAATTGCAATGAGAATTAAACGAAAAGCTGCAGAAGGTAACTTTTTCTCATTTTTCTTCTTTTTTTTTTTTTTTTAAATATAAAAATGTTAAAGTATTAAGCAAAAATTTTATTAATGTCAAGATGAATTAACATTTCAACTATTCAAATCAGTGATTAAATTTTTTTTAAAAAAAAAGTTCGATAAAATTTGATTATAATTAAAATTGAATACTGTCATCAAAGAATGCAAATTATTGATATAGCATTATTTTAATGTATAATTGATGAAATGAACAAATTTCTATCTGTAATTACTGGTTTTTTTGTTTTTTTTCAAAAACTTTTCAAAATATTTTTTTTTCTTTTTTTTTCGAAAACTTTTCAAAATATTTTTTTTTCTTTTTTTTTTCAAAAACTTTTCAAAATATTTTTTTTTTCTTTTTTTTTAGTTGCACGCGAAGCTATACGAGCTACCTTGCAAACAATCAGCAAAAAGCAGAAGTAATTTTTTTTTTGATTTTTATTTATAAAATTAAAAGTTTGATAAAATTTGAAAAAAAATTTTTTTTAACATTTGGAAAAACATTTAAATGTATTAAAGCATTTTTCATTTCTTCAAAAAGTTTCGGATATACAATTTTTTTTTTTTTTTGTTTTCCTTTTATTCTTTTTTCTATTTTTTTTTTTTTTTTTTTTAGACGACCAAACCGTAAATGTACAACGGTTCACGTAAAAAGTGTCATTAAATCATTGAAATCAAAACGGAACAATGCAATGGTTACTAACAGTAAAGTTAATAATTTAAATTTCATATTTTTAAAGCTATTTTCTTCTGAAATTATCACAAAAAGCTATTTAGGATTTTAGAATTGCTATAATTGTAATTACTATAATTTATAACAAATTATATATAATTAATAGTTATGTAATTAATTAAATTACCTTTAATTAAGTAATTATGTAATTAAATTACTTAATTAAACAATTATATTACTATCACATTACAATAACAAATTATAATTATTTAACAAATTAATTAAACATTAAATCTATCGACGATTCACACATACCTAAATGAAATATTTTTAGACAAAATTTCATGTGAACAATCTTACATTAATATTTTCAAAGTAGTAATATTAAATGTTTTTTTTTTTTTGTCAAAAAATTTCTCTAAATTTTTCTATTTTTTTTTATTCAAATTATTTCATTTACATTCTTTTTGTTTATCAGTTATTAAATAATAAAATGCAAAAATATTTCTCATTCATTTTATTCATATTCTAATTTATCAAAAAGAAATTTAAAATTTATAGCAAATAGATGATGACAACAATTTTAATTACAGCGTAATGAGTCATCGATTCGGTTAAACTCAAAGCAATCAAATAACACTGATAAAAGCAGTGATAAAAACTTTTTAACAAACTCTGATATTTATGTATATAATCAGTTGAAACAATTGCCTAATGTTAGTTCTTTTATTTTTTTTTAAAAAAGCTTTTTTTTATTTTTTGGCAGTGGCCAATTGATCTTAGTCTTTTATAATTGAAAAGTATTTTAAGTTGGAAATATAAAAAATTCTAAAAATTACTTTTTTCTTTTTCTAAAAAAAAATTATTTTTGTAAATTCTTAATTTGAATTACTTTAATTGAATTCAAGAATTACTAATAAAATACCGTAAATATTTATTCATTTATCTAATATATTATCCTGATGTAGTACACTTTGAACTAAAATACTTTTGATCAGTTTAAATAGTCAATATTTCACATTTCAATATTTTCACTAATATTTTACATTAACTAAAATATATTAGTGTATTTGATATTTTCGATTGTTAAATATCATTGACTAATATTTAGTAATTAATTCCTGTAATTATTATAAATTTATTGCATTATTTTCATATTCTTTTCCAATTATTTCTTCCATTATTTATCATTTTTATGTTAAAAATTATTCATTTTAATTAAATACATTTGATCAATTCAATTAATCAAATTAAGAATTAATCATTTCAATGAAAAATATTTGATCAATTCAATTAATCAAATTACATTAAAATATAGCAATTATCAGTTTTTTCATTATCAGTTTACAAAGCAGTAATGCATTTCTGATTACAGTGATTATTGTTTGATGTGCTGAATAAACTTGAAATCAATTCAGGAATGAAATTTAATTTAATTATTAGAAAATATTTTTCAGAGATTAATGGTTCAACTACCTTGCGGAGTGATTTGTAATGCTGCTAAACGTCTTCAAAATGCTGATTACAGTACTTTAGCTGGATTTATCATATTTCGAACTGATCTTCATCCTGTAATTCAATTTTACATATTAATTCTAAACGAAGATAGAGATCAATTCAAGTTAACCGGATTAAGACAAAACCGAGAAAAATCAGTTATATGATATAATAATAGCAAAGTTATATATTGACAATAACTGTAAATTCCATTTAATTAAATTATGAATTATCTAAAATTTGTTTGTTTCATTTATTGGAATATTATTTCGTAAAATTCAAAACAATTTCTTTTCTAATTTCAATGTAATTTTATCTCTGTTCATTTTTATTTTGTTCATTTATTGATAATAAATTTATATTTCAGTTCAATCACGGATATAAACAGAAGAATGCTCATTGACTGTGATTATAGTAAATTTAAATTTTATCATAAACTGTGATTATAACTATAAATTACATCACTTATTTCCATTAATTACTTTAGATTATTTTTATATTACAATATTTTTCGTCTGTAATTATTGCATTTCTTGAAGTATTACTTTAAATATAGAATATACTCTGAGTTACTTAAGAAAGCTATAAGTATTAGTTTACAAACATTACTATTAGATAGGAATTTCATTTTATTTCTCTTTAAAATTTGCAACAAAATTTTTGATGTCTAAGAAAGATTAGAACAAAATTCAGTTTATACTTAAACTTTTTTTCTTTCAATCTTAAATTTACTATTCTTTGGTGATGTAAATATAAACTATTTTGTACCTACAATACTTTTACTAATGTATCAGTGAATAATTTATGAATAAATCATTTAAAATTGCTATGTGAATGCATTTTAATAATTTTTGTATAATTTATTTGCATTTTACATTTTATTATAAACATATACAAATGTGACAAAAGAACTGATAGCATAAATGTGATAAAATTTTGAAATTAAAGACAGAAATTTTTTTTCTAAATTTTCAAAAATGCAAAAAAAGAATGATAAATTGGACAAGCGAATTTAATTATTCGAAAAAAAAAAATGAAATACTATTCATATGTTTATGAGAAATTTTACAAGTGTAACAGATGATAAGGTGATAAGAGAATAAGAAGGACAACTACCTATCACAATGTATTACTATATCCTAAAACTGTTTTTATTGTATCATTACAATAAAAATTAATAATTAATATACAATGAAAAACAATTATCATTATTATCTTCGTTATTACTGCTACTGTTTTTATCATTATTTATCATTACTATTATCATTATTATCCTTGTTATTATTGCTACTGTTATTGTCATTATTTATTATTGGTATTGATTATCATTATTGTTATTACAATTCATTATTATTATTATTACTGGTCCTGGATTCCGTACATGGATAAAAACAACAAATGAGAATCGAAAAAAAGAGAAAAAACTTAATTTTTAAAAAAATAATCGAGAAAAATTGCAAAAGTGACAAATTGAAAAAGCTAGTAATAATAAATAATAAGAATTTTAATTAGTTTTGAAAAAAAAAAATAAATAAAACTATGGAACATTCTTGAATTACTCTAAAAACCAGAAATGATATTGTATGATTCGAGAGCAGAAAGACCGAGGTAAGTAAGCCAAAGAGTAACAAATAAACCTGATGTTAACACCTGAAAAAAATTAGAAATTATTTTGAATTTTTTCTTTTTTTTTTCCTCTTGAAAATTCCAGATAACAAATTTTATTTACTTTTTCTTTTATGTTCTTTACTTTTTTATGTTTTTTTGATTTTTTACAAATAACAGAAATACTATAATAAAATTAGTACAAGTAATAGCATAAGTAATCTAAACGAGTATATTTGTACTCATAGAAAATTTGATGATTAATTATAAATTTGTTGGATAATCAAAAATTTCAAGTAAAAACATTAGCATAGCTTTTTCTATTAGCTATCTATTGAAAATAAATTTATTGAAAAATTTCAAATTTATTATTAGCTAGCAAATATTCAAATGTTTTGATACACATAATTTTATCACTAAAGTTATCAGTTGAACATTTTTCTCTTTTTAACCTAATTATTGTAATTATGCAAAAATTTATTTTTTATGTTTTTAAAAATTTCAAATGATTTATGAAATTTTAATAATTGAATTAAAAAATTAAACCTTATATTTCATAGGTCCACCTAATTCACCTCCAATTGGAGGACGTCGTCTTATGATAATCACTGCAATACAGATTAATGCCTCTATACAATATATTGTCACCGAAAATGCAAGTGTCCCTGGTTCAACGTAAAAATTGTCACCATGCAATCGATGATAAACTGCTGCCATCGTCCATGCTATTCCTGAAAAAAAATAAAAAATAAAACAAAAAGAAATTATCATATCAAATTATCATATCATAAAAAAAAAAAAAAAAGACAGAAAAGGTTTTTCTTTTTTTTTTCTCTTGAAATATTTGTAAAATTCCGAGTAAAAAATACTTATTAAATAAAAAAAGTACAATTGATAAGTGATAAGAAAAATTAACAAACCAATTCCCAGAAATACATTTACACCATTTGAACCAGTAACATTACCAATTGATGAGTCAGCATATTTATCTTGAATTGCTGCTACTTTCGATGCAAATGTATCTGTAAAAAATAAGAAAGAAATATTTTTTGTTTAAATTATTAACTCAAAATAACTAATTTCTAAATTACTCATTGCTCTTAGTCAATTTTTTTTTTTACTTTTTTTTTTTTTTAACAGCAAATTATAGCACAAGTTTATGTGATAAGCTTTTCTTATCATTTTTTCACATTTATCATTTCTCATAGAAAAATGATAAGATTTATAAATTTCTTCCATTTACTTTTCTCTTTCAAAAAATCTCTTCCAATTATTTCATTCATTTGTTTTACTATTTTTTAAAATTAAAATTTCATTCCAATAATCTTAAAAAAAAAAAGAAAACAAAACAAAAATGACTTATCAAATAAATTCTTATTTTTTTTATTAACCTGGAATTGATGTGCCAAGTGCGACAAATGAAATAGCTGTGACAGCATCCTTCAGACCAATCCAACATCCAAACTGTGATGCTAAATCACCGATAATAGCTGTCAGTGTACCAATTAAAATAATTGATACGATGAAACATGCCCAACCATCCCAATAATCTAAAATTCATTCATATTTTTATTTTATTTTAGTAATAAAAAAAAAAAAAAAAACAATGCAAAATAATAATTAACTGTTGATTGAGTATTTTACCTATTGAATGAGTATTTAACTTATTGGTTGTGTATTTTGCCTGCTGATTGAGTATTTTACCCGTTGATTGAGTATTTTACCTGTTGATTGAGTATTTTACCTGTTGATTGAGTATTTAACTTATTGGTTGTGTATTTTGCCTGCTGATTGAGTATTTTACCCGTTGGTTGAGTATTTTACCTGTTGATTGAGTATTTTACCTATTGAATGAGTATTTAACTTATTGGTTGTGTATTTTGCCTGCTGATTGAGTATTTTACCCGTTGGTTGAGTATTTTACCTATTGATTGAGTATTTTACCTATTGAATGAGTATTTAACTTATTGGTTGTGTATTTTGCCTGCTGATTGAGTATTTTACCCGTTGATTGAGTATTTTACCTGTTGATTGAGTATTTTACCTAATGCTTAAGTATTTTACCTATTGATTATTTTATCTGTTGATTGAGTATTTTACCCGTTGGTTGAGTATTTTATTTATTGATTGAATACCTTACCCGTTGGTTGAGTGTTTTACCTCTTGGCTGAGTATTTTACTTACTGATTGAGTATTTTACCCGTTAGTTGAGTGTTTTACCTGTTGGTTGAGTATTTTAGTTGTTGGCTGAGTATTTTACTTATTGATTGAGTATTTTACCCGTTAGTTGAGTGTTTTACCTGTTGGCTGAGTATTTTACCTGTTGGCTGAGTATTTTACCTGTTGGTGGTATTGTTGCAAATAATAATTTCCATGGTAATGATAAGAAATGCATGAAATAATCAAAAAATCGTGGTTTTAATTTTCCATCTTCTTTATTCATCTGCTCCTCACTAACATTTTTCTCGTCTTCAAAACCTACAACAAACTAAATCAAAATAATCCATTTCGTACTCTAATATTTATTTCGATTAAAAATTTTATTTTTCACATTAATAAATATTTATATTAATTTTAATTAAAAATTTTATTTTCCATACTAATTACTAATATATTTATTTCAATTAAAAAAAATTTTATTTTAGATACTAATTAATTAAATAGCATAATTAAGTGACATACCAGCATGAACAGTTAAAGCATCGATGAACTGTTCACGCCAATTTGTTGTGCCAAGCATAAATGATGCATTAGCATTTCGTAGCATACGGTCGATTACACTCTGAATAGTTTTCAATAAATTAAAAATTGTTAAATTAATATATTCGAATTTGTATTAATAACATTTCTCTTTTTTTTTTGATTATAAAAAAATATTTTTTTTTCTTATTCATCCGATTTAATTCAAATAATAAATATAGTAATTTTATAATACTATTTATTTGTTTATGTTAATTTTTAATTAAAATATTTTAGAAAAAAAAAAAAAAATATCAACTCGAAATTCTCGGCTTTCTTTGATAGTAATTTGACATTGTTTGAATTTTCCCAGACATGGCTTTCCTAATTCAGCAATTTCAAGTTCCTCTTTTGTCAACTTTTCTTCTTTTTCACTGAAATCTACAAATAGGAAAAATTTTAATTTACATCAAAGCAATTAATGTAAACAAAAAAAAAAAAAAAGTATTGCGATTAATTTTACATTTGAAAAAATTTCAGTTTATTTGAATAGCTCTGATAAGTATTTTAAAGTAAAATAAGCAATAATAAAATATGAAATGCTACTTTAGAGATAATTAATTAGAAGAAACATTCAAAATATGAATTATTATAATTAATATATTTTTGAAGAATGATTGGGAAAAAATAATAATAATATTTGAATTGTTAACTTACTATCAATTTATTTTATTATAACAAAAATCGTTCCTATCTTTCATCAATAATTTTCAAATGTTAATTTTAATTTGTCAAATTGAAAATATCTAAGAACAAATATGATAATGATAGCTAATCAATGATAAGTACGGTAACTTTCAGTATATTTACTAAATAAATTCCTCATTTAATGAATTTTTCATTTTTTTCTTTCGAATGAAAAAGTATAAATTTTTGAAATCAGTTTCCATTAAAAATTAAAAAACTTTTTCAAGCAAAATTAACAGTAACTTTTTTTTTTTAAAATAAATTAATTACTTTTGTCATAAACTATTACCTCTTTAATGCACATCATTTCACTGTTATGTTAAAAGTTTGAAATTTAATTAGTTGAAATTAACTTTTTATTTGATTTCTTATGATCTTTAATTGATAATTTAGTTAATAATTGTCAAAATTTGCTTTCTATACTAAAATTGCTATCATTTGCAAAGACATTTAAATTACTTTTATAATTAACAAAAAAAAAAATTAACAACTTTTAACAATGAATAGAGGAAATGATTTAATCTATTTTAGGCTTAAAAAGTTGCTAGAATAAAGATATGATTAAGATCATTAATTATCCATTAAAATAAATTATTTTTCAAAAAAAAAAGATAGAAAAAAATCTAATTAATTTATAAAAAAAAGAAGAAAAAATTTTATATTAGACATAAGAATTAGTTCTTTTCCTTATTCATTTGCAATAAAATTTTTCCTTCTAATATTTGATAATAATATTATTCAGTTCAAATTTTCTATAATTTAATCTTAGATTACTTAGACTTTGATAAAATACATCTTTTTAAGATCTTTTCTATTAATTATAAATTAAACAGATTGAAAAAATGTAGCATAATTAATTCATTTAATTCTTATATTAATTAAACAGAATTATGCTAATAAATAAACAGAATTTTGATGTAAACAATTATCAAAGAAAACAATGGTCAATGGTCAATGGTCAATGTTCAATGAAAATGACCTTCATCTCGATTGTTAGTCATCCAAGAACTCATCCGTCGTTTGAAAAGGTTGGAAAGATGAAAAAGATTTGGAGACGATGATGAAGTATGAGTAAAACCAACGGGTGGTACTGTTGGCGTTGTTGTTGTTATTGTTGTTGTTGTTGTTAAATTTTTATCTGAAAAGAAATTTTACATTAAAAAATTTTATTAAAGAAAACTAAGAAGAAAATTAAAGAAAATATTTAATGTATAATTCATAAAAAAATTATAAAAATTTTTCAAATTTACATTTCTAATTTAAACAAAAAATGTTAAAACATTTTGCTAGACAAAATAATTTAACTAATTTAAAAAATTATTTTAAACCATTTATTGATGACCAGTTAACATTTTTTAAAACAAAACAAAACATTGTTAATTTCGACAAATGATCAATTTGATTTAATCTGTATTGATATTTGATAATGTTTTATCATTAAATAATCATCAATTTATTTCAATTTCATTTTTTCTTTTTGTTTGAACACTAAAAAATTTTATTAGATTTCACACTTTTTTTTTTAATAAAAATATGTAAAAAAGTAATTTAAATTTACTTTTAATTAATCTAACTTTTATTTCAATTGTAAAATATGTAAAATTTTAATTTGTATTGATATTTGATAATGCTATATCATTAAATAATCATACAATTTAAAATTTTAAGGTTGACAATTTTTTTTTTTTTGACTATAAAATTTATTTATATAACATACCATTACAATCAAATGATTCATTCTTTCTATTCAAACTATTCAATGATTCATTTTTCTTTCTTTCAATTCGCTTCAAAAAACGTTCTTGAATTTTTCTCAAATCTAAATTAAACAATTTTACATGAAATTTTTTTTTTTGTTTATGCTACTATCTACCATTATTTATTTCTCGGGTATCTTTTATCATCAAAAAATGGGCAAAATACTGTTTGTCTTTCTATTATTATTTTATACCACTATTTACCCATAGCAGAATTTATCATTTATCAGTCATTTTGATAATTTATGCAAAAATAAATAAATAAATTATCAGTGTGTTAAGGTATAATAAATTTATTTGTTCATCAAATTAGCCAATAGTTAATTAATTACAAGTAAATTTTTTAGAAAAGATATGAAATTAAATTACCTGACATCTTTTTGATCCAAATTGGTTGATCAAGAATGATAAAAAAATAATCCATCCTTTCATATTGCTCAGTATTTGTTATACCAATTTCAATGAATGCTCTAAAAAAAAAAAAAGAAAAAAAATTAATTAGAATTTAAATTATTTAAAAAATGATAATAAGAATTAAAAAAAAAATATAATTTAATTTAGTAATAAGAATTTATTCAATGAAAAAATTATATTAACTTACTCAGTTTGATTATCTTCAAAAATAACTTCACCTTCTTCAAATTCATAATGCTTTCCACGTAATGCAGTACCATCAACTGCTCTGCAAAAATTAATCATTCATTTAACTAATTAGTAAAATTGAAATTTAGTAATTAGTAAAATTAAAAAAATTCTTTTCTTTTTTTTTTTTTTAATTTCTAAAATTATCAAAACAAACATAAAATATAGTTGCACATATAGTATATAAAAGCTAGAATTATGACATATTCTTACATTAAATGAGTTATTTTGAATAAAAGAATAAATAAAGTAAATAAGTAAATATTATTTTGTGTAAATAAATAAATAAACAAAAAAAAAAAGTTAAAATGAAAGCAATGAATAATTTGTAAGAGTTTAGATTTATAAAGTGAAAGATAAATGAAACAACAAATTTGTTTAATTGTTTTTTTTTAAAACAATTTAACTTATAATAACTCGAGAATTTTAATAAAATTATTTAAATTAATTGATCATATGAAATCATCATGGAAACTCTATTTATTTTAATATTAATTATTAAAGTTATTTGTAAAATTGTTGTTTATCCTATCTGTGCTTTAGTTTCTTTTTTCAGCTTTTTACAGTCCGATAATTAATTATTTCTATTAACACAGAATTTTGTTTTAATTTTCAATTTTCTTTTTAATTTTCGTTTTCACTTTTTGTTTTTTATAAGCAACAAAAGTTATTTTAAAGAATTATTTAAAAGCTATTTTATTGTTTACAAAAAAATAACAAACAAACATATGGAAGAAAATCAAATGAGAAATTTATCTGTGCAAAAACAATAATTAAGTTTATCCCATCTAATATTTAAAATTAAATCTTTTCTCTCTCTCTCTCTCTCTCCTTCTCTCTCCATCCATAATCTTCATAATTATGCAAAAAAAAGTAAAACTTAAAAGTAAAAAATATTTTGCTTTTTTTTTAATTCTTTTAGAGTTTGCAAAAAAATTAAAAAAATTAAAATTTCTTACTTTTTTTTTTTTTTGTTTTGCAATTTTAAGTAAGATCAAATTGATATCATTCTTACATTTTTTATTCATTTTTTTAAAAATATTACAAAAGTTCTCTTTCATTTCACAAAAAATAAATTTTTTTCTTTAACACAACAAATTATAATAAAAATTTTTTGACATTAAATTTCAATTATCACAAAAATGATAAATTCTTAGAATTTATTTACTCTTAAAAAGAAAAAAATAAATAAGTTAAAAAACAAACTTACCTATATGGTACAAGTATTCTACCACGGCATCCTGACGTACGCTGTATTTTAAGTAACAAATAACCACAATTTTCAATAATTTCAAAATGATCATGTTCAAATGAAAATATACCAGCATGATCATCATCTATAAATTTCAAATTTTTTTCATAATTTCAACTTTTTTTTTTTTTTTTTGAAAAAAAAATTTTCGTTTTTCAAAAAGCATAAAACATTTTAAAATTTCAATTATACCATTCATATTTCTTTCACAAAAAAAAAGAATTGAAATTTCAAAATTGAATAAAAGAGATTTTTTCTGTTTCTTTTTTTTTTGGAACAAAATAAATTTCGAATATTTAGTAATTAATCATTTTTGCAAATTTGTAAAATTAATTCAATTAAAAATTAATGAATTTTTTTTTTTGCAAATAATTTAAAAACGAAAAAAAAAAAAAAAAAATTGAAATAAACCAAGTATCATAACGGTAGCAGTAGAAGGTAGTTCCAAGGTTGCTAATGGTATACCACCAAGCTTTAATGGATCCAATATTAAACCATCCTTAGTACATACTCTTAAATTATTCAAGTGCAAATAAAAGTGTTCATCTTCCTCAAAAACATCGTCATCCACAATTTCTATCGTTACTTTCTGCAAAATTCTCACTCTCTCTCTCTCTTTTCTTTTTTTTATGGTTTGAATTTAAAAAAAAAAAAAAAAAAAGGAAATTCAATTTAAATGTTAAAATTTAATTCAAAATTTTACTAAATTTCAATAAAATTTATGATAGTTAATTTTTCTTTATTATTACTGTAAATCGAATTAATTTTTGTGCTTAAATTTAGTCAAATTTTAACAATTTCGTTTTAATAAAATGATATCAAAGCTAATTTTATGCTTAATTTAGTCAAATTCTAACAATTTTAATTTAATAAAATGATATCAAAATTATTTTTATGCTTATTTTAGTTAAATGTTAACAACTTTAATTTAAAAATGATTAAAATTTGACTAAATTTAAGAACTAATTTTATGCTTAATTAAATTAAATGTTAACAATTTTAATTTAATAAAATGATATGCTTATAAAATTATTAACTTGTATTTTATCTTCTGGACGAAAAATTAATGTCCCTTTAACTGGAATATAATCATTTCCAGCATTAGCGGTACCATCCTCGGTGCAATAATCAACCATAACTGTTAATCCTTTAGGCCCACCATCTCGGCCAATAATTACATCAAATGTTCCAACACTTTCAAGTACAGTATAATGAGCTGGATCAAAGAATATTTTGCAGGTATTTTCTCGAAATTGTTTCTCTTGCTCTTGAGCAATCTTAAATTTTAAATATTTGTTAATTTCTCGAAATTGTTTCTTATGCTTCTTGAATTAAAAATATTTGTTCAGTTAATATTTGTAAAAATATTTGTTTTTAAATTAAATTCAAAATATTTGTTAAGTTCTTGAAATTGTTTCTCTTGCTCTTGAGCAATTTTAAATTCAAAATATTTGTTAATTTCTCATTATGTACTTATTATTTAATTTAGAACATTTCGAGTGCAAAATTCATCCAAAACTAAAATAATTTGAATAAATTAAATAATTTATAAATTACTGTCAATTAAAATTATTTGCAAATATACAATTAATTAATTTCATTATATTTCAAATTTATTACAACTTTTATTTTTCTAAAAAAAGAAAAGAAAAACTAGCACAATTATTGGCTAAACATTGCTTATTTCTTCTTTACAGTAATTTTATCATTGTTCATTTTTTTCAAATTAATAAATTTTAAAATTAATGCCTGCTTATGCTCTAAAAAAGTCTTACATTTATATCAATGATTTATCTATTTGTTTACTTCTTATTTGATAAATTCCTAATTAACAGTTAACAGTTCTATTTGTTTACTTCTTATTTGATAAATTCCTAATTAACAGTTAACAGTTCTATTTGTTTACTTCTTATTTGATGAATTCCTAATTAGTTGAATTCTTCAAAAAAAAAAAAAAAAAATTAAAGAGTTTTTTAAAGTCTAAATAAGAACAATAATTATTCTTTCAAAAAAAAGTAAACAATAAACAATAAAACATACAGCACATTTATGATGTTCTTTATCAAGTTGGTTCCTTATCACATGTCCACCACCAATTAATCGTCTGGTTGCTTGCACCCTAAAATATTCTAATAAATTTGTTATCAAAAATAATAATTAATCATTTCTGTGAAAAAATTTTAGATATTATGTCAAAACTTTTTTTTTTGTTGTTTAGTAAAATTTAAAACAAAAATTCTAAGTTTGATTTTAATCCAAATTTATCAAAAAATTTTATCGCTAAATACCACTCATTTTTATCATTTTTTAATGATTATATTATTCGATGCTTTTTTATCACTTAATTATTTTATTATTTACAAATATTTTATACCCACTTATTTACCTATAAAATTTACCCACAAAATTTACCTATAAAATGCCCTTGATTTTGGACCACGACTAATCATTTCATATTCTGCTTGCTTTTGTAATTCGCTTGGATCAATTTGTGGATTTTTTTTCCTAATTTCACGCATAATTTCAATAAATGCTTTTCGATTATCTTCGAATGCTTTTACAGCTGGATCAATTTTATTACCCTAAAAAATTTTTTTTTTTTAAATTTTAAAAAAAAGAAAAAAAAAATTTGGAAAAGTTTAGAGTTTTAATTTTAACAAAATTTATTATTAAATAAAATTATATAGCTTAAGTAGATGTTATAAAAAGGCATTCTTCAAATTAAACACCACCATTTTAATGATAAATATGATTAGTTTGATAAAATTTAAAAAATCAAAAATAAGCTAAAAAATTTTTAAAAGAAATCTTTTTTTTTTTTTTCTTTTTTTAATTACTAACTTTAAGATAACCATTTTCACCCAAAATTTCCATTTCTTCACCTTCTGTTGCAACAATTCCATGCGATGTTCTACGATAACGATGTGGCATAAAACGCCTCTAACATTTTGAAAAATATAAAATAAAATTTCAAATTTACTTAATTTTATTTAAATTATAAAACTTTTAACAATTTTTGATATTTTAAATGAAATTATTCATTTGTAATTAATTTACAAAATTAATACTTAAAAAAAAGAAAAGAAAAAAGGTAAAGACAAACCTGTATAATTTTAATATCAGCAACATATGCAGTTAATACTGTAATTGGAAAGAAAAGAAATGTTAATAAACCTTCCCATATTTCAATAATACCTGGCGAAAATACTGATAAAATTAAATACAACCAAATATATGCAAATAATGACCTAAAATCAATTATTATTATTATTATTTTAAAAATTAAAAAAAAATATATATTACAATTACTTTTTTAATTCTTCTTTTTTTCTTCGCCCATAATTTAATTAGTAAATTTAAATTTATCAAAAAATTAGGGAACACAAAAAAAAAAAAAAAAAAAAAAAATTTACGTACCACGTTGCAGTGACGCAAAATACGTCTAAATGTTTTTGACGTCGAATTTCACCATTTGGTACAGCCATTACACATATTGCAATTATCATAAATAAATTAAATGCTGCTGAGCCAACAATTGTATTTGGTCCCAAATCACCTGCATTAAAACCTTTTCCAATCACCTAAAATAGCTTTTAGGTAGTCTAAATTTCAAAAATTAAATTTCAAAAAAATTTAAAAAAAAAAAAAATTTCAAAAAAAAAATAAATTTCAGGAGTAAATTTAATTAAATTTATTAGTAGAATTTGCATAAAAGATGTGACATTGAAATATGTATGACAAATTTATTTACAATTAGAACTAATAAAAGTGTGAAATTTTAATCAATTCTACGTTACTTATTGATAATAATCTGATAAATTTAGCTCTTAATTGTTTTCCAAAATTTAAATATAATTTGAAGAGAAGCAAACCAAAATTTTGAAATTCATAAAAAGAGATTGAAAAATTTTAAAATTTTGATATGTATAATTTTGTTCAAATTAAAATTGCACTAAAAAAGTAAATCAGTTAGAATAAATAAGAATTAATAATTAATAATAAAATTTGCATAAATTATTATTGCCTTTAGCATATAAAATTTAGTTTTTCTTAATCAATTAATTAATTAATTACCTCAATGATTGATAGTAAAATTTCAGGTGCAGAGGAGCCTGAAATGAAATGTTTTTTATGAATTGCAACTAAAAAACGAAAGTATCATTTAAAAAAAAAAAAAATTATCATTTAAAAAATAATATTAGAAATTTAAAATGGTAAACTTTTGATTTGTTTTATTATCATTTTTATTAATCTCATCAATACTTTTATCTAATTAAATAATTATAATTGATAAAAATTTTCATCGAATACCAAAAAAGTTTGACAGAAAAGAAAAACTTTGGAATTCATAAGTGCTTGAAATTTTAAAACTTGTTAATTTTTATTGACAAATTTTACAATTTAATAAATTAAACAATTTGAAAATTTAATTTCTTAAGTTTCTCATCTATTATTAGTTCATTAATACTTCATAGTTCTATTTTTAATTCTTGAAAAATTTTTTTTTTTTTTTTTTTTTATTTAAACTTTCTCAGAGATAAGAATTTTCTGGTGTGAATAGATGAAATTACTTTATATTTTCAATGACAATGCAAACAAATTTCGATTATACCAATTCGTTTATTTCAATCAACAATTTAAGTAAACAAAACTTTTAAATTTCTTATTCATTCTTACCTGAATCTCCAACCTAATTTCTTTTTTTTTTCTTTTTAGAAAAATATATGATTATTTAAAGTATTTGCACTTAATTCTTTACCTTTCCACAATAACCTAGAATTAATAATTTGAAAATTAATTCAGAACTGAAATATGAATATTTTAAGTAATCGTATTAAAAATTTTTAATATATATTAATTTTAAAAAAAAATTAAAAAAAAATATATTAATTTTAAAAATTTTTAATATATATTAATATATGTTAAATAAGCTCTAAAAAGTTAACAGATTAGAATGTTTTAATCAAATTAAAATTGAATTTTTCACAATGAATTATCAATTATTAATTGATAATTTTAAAAAGTATTATCAAAATTTTATAAAAAGAAATATATCATTTTATAATAAGATGATATAATTTAAAAATTTAATTTTGGAAAAAGACAAAAATTAATTTAAAATTTAGTAAAAATTACTAACCAAGTGCCATTAGCGTTAAATTGCTAACAGTATCATTCCATATTCTTACTTTTACCTTCAAAGGTTCCAAACCTGGTCTTTTTACCTGTACTGTTCTTTCCATACTAAATAATTTTCTTTTTTTAATAATATTTAAAAGATTTATAACAATAATTTGTTTATTATTTCAATTTTGAAATGAAAAATAAAAACAAAACTTTTAGAAAAGAATTCAAAAAAATAAAAAAGAGAAAATAGACAAAATAAATTCTTTTGTAAATGAGAAAAAAAAAAAAAATTTCTTTTGCAATTCTTTTGTAAATATTTGAAACATTGGAAATTTAAGAGAAAGAATAAAAAAAAAGAGAGAAAAAATGGCAAAATTTTTTCCTTTATTATTTGAAAATAAATTAATAATTTTGAGTTTATTTATAACACGAATTATTCATTTTTTTTAAAGAAAAAACTTTTTTAAATTAAAAAAATGATTTTTTCAACAATATTTTTTACAAAAAAATTGCATTCAATTAAAATTCAAATAACATTTTAAATTCATAATAAATAAAAATTATTAATTTTAATCTATCATTTATCCGGAATTAACATTTTAAATTTATAATAAATTAAAATTATTAATTTTGATTTATCATTCACCTGGATTAACATTTTAAATTTATAATAAATTAAAATTATTAATTTTAATTTATCATTTACCTGGAATTAATACTTTAAATTCATAAAAAATCAAAATTATTACTTTTAATTAATATTAATCTTATCATTTACCTTGTTATAACTTCAATTGATGACATGAAACGATCAGCAACAATAGATACTCCAAGAAATACATAAGCAATTATAAAAAAGTATATTACACCACGAAATATTCGATCACCAATATTTAGATGTAAATATGGCCGCCTGCAACGATATTCTATAATTAATTTTATAATTGAAATTATAAAAAAATTTAATTCCTAATTTTCAGTGAAGAATTCGCTATCCAAAAATGTCACTCATTGTATTAATATATAAACAATATTATTCCTTTTAAAAATTATAATATTAAAAATAAAAACAATCGATAGAAGAGTTTCAAAAATTTGATTTCCATCAAATTTTGAAAATAGAAAAAAAAAATTTTTTTTTAAAATAAAAATTTTCTTTATTAGATCTTTTTTTTTTTTTTTTCTTAGATTTAACTGGATTTTCTTTTAAATAATTTTCCTTACATTAATGTTATTTATTTTTTTTGCCCTCGAAAGTGGGCTAACTAACTTATTGCAAAATTATGGCTAACGAAAGGTACCTTAGAATAATAGTTCAAAATTTTTGTGTAAAATTCAAATTAATTATTTGACAGGTACATATTAAAATTCTCATTGCATACCAGTCTAATTAGTTAATTAATTAATTAATGTCTAACTGCAATTTCTTTTCTGTTTTTTTTTTTTTTTGGTCATAAATACATAATTAAATTTAGTGTCATCCTGTCAAAACTAATAAATATTTTAAAATTACATTTAAAAAAAAAAAAGAAAAAGGAAAACAAACCAAATTGGTATTATCATACCATCAACACAATTTTTGATTGTATCTGTTTCTGTCTGATTGTAATTTGCTTGTACAAAATTAATTAAAGATGAAAATATGATAATAAGCAGTATTGTTCGTATATGATAATTAATAATAAAATTATTATAAAACCATTTTATCATACTTAGAACAGAATTACAATTTTGAATCGACGCTTCAATTATTTTTGACATTTCAAATTAATATTGCCAATTTTGAGATACTGAAAATGTAAAAGAAATGAAATGAAAACACTTCGCAGCAGTTATTTACATAAAGCAAAACAAATATAAAATTAACAAATCAATAAAACAAACAGAAAAAAAAAAACAAAAAATTAAAGTGTAATTAATTAGTTTAAAGGTGTATGACAATTAGTGGATGTATTTAAGTGGGAGTTAATCATATAAATTAAACAGTATATATTTTTAATTTGTATTTTAAATCAAATATGAGAGTGTCGTGAAAGACGAAATATTTAAATTATTATATCCAAAACTAACAAATTCCTCTTATCTAATTCCTTTTCCTCACACAACAAAAACCCTTTGTTAGCAAACCCTTCGTTAGCAAAACCCTTTATTAGCAGTCTTTGTTTCACATCAGTTAAATATCCTCTGCCGGATATCTGGTCAGTTCAGTTCTGCATATAAACAATCGTCCTCCATACGGTTGTTCATTCTGCATTTTGGGTGGTTTTGATATCATTTTAATATTTTATAATTTATATCTTTCGTTACGCATTGTTATAATATTGATTTGTCGGTTTAATTACCCAAGTTTGAGGTTTCACGACAGAGAGTATACAAATGTGAAAGAATTATTTCATTAATTTTTTTTTTTGTACTTATATGTAAACAATGAAAGATAAGAGTAAACAAGTAAACAATGACTGCTTAATATAAGAATATAAGCTTATAAAAAAAAATTAAATAAGACTGTACAAATGTGAAGGAATTATTTCATCAAATTTTTTTGTACTTGCATGTAAACAACGAATGATGCGATAAGAGTAAGCAAGTAAACAATAATTGTTTAATATAAGAATATAAGCTTATAAAAAAAATACATATAATTCATATGAATTGATTGTTGACATTTTAAAGTGAATGAATGAATGAATGAAACATCAGTGAAATTACTGAGAAAATTTCATTTTTTTTGTTTCAGATGACGCAAATAAAAATAAATGAAAATTGTTATTAAGTTGAAAGAAAAAGAAAGAAAAAAGAAAGAACACATTTAACAAATTAATTATTTAAAAAGTATGCGGCATTTCACTTCTATATTACTTATAAAATTTTGAGAAAAAGGAAAAAAGACATATATAAATGGACAAGTAATTACTTATATATAAGTATAAGTATATATGCTTTTAATAGCTGAATACTTTATAGTCTATTATTAAGCTTACCTGTGTATTATAAAGGTAATAAATTTTAAAAGTAAATATTGATGAGCAATAAAGCATGCAATTATCATATATTATTGGATGCAAAAATATATTTGACCGATTCTAAAGAATGTGTTAAAAGCAATTTTAAAATGACAAAAAAAACAAAAAAACAAATAAAAAATAAAAAAAATAAAAAATGGATTAAGAATGAAAAAAATTTATTTGCAAAGAAGAAAATTTAACATTAATGTTAGTTAGCAATTTAGTGTTAAACATTTATATTGCATTAAGGACGCGACGAATCGTTGACAATCGTTTGGTGACAAACATAGCAAAGCTAACATTTATCCAGTAGTAGCAAAGAAATTAAATCATATGATTTATTTTCAAAAAAGTCATATGGCATTCTTTTTATACAAATTATAATTCATTTTTTTTTAAAAAATTTTGAAAATACTTATCAATTATAAACGAAATAGTACATTTCATTCAATAGAGGAAAGGAAAAAAAAAATAATTGATATAAAAGTTAAATTTTAAATTTAATTCTTTTTTCTTTAACATTTAAAATTAAAAGTTAAATTTAACTTTCACATAAAACAAGAATAAAAACAACTTACTTTATTGCTAATTTTTGTATTGTTAATATATTTTCTATCAAATTTTAGCGAGTAATAATGAATGAAAAATAGCTTTTAAATTTTATATAAAAGCAAAATTTTTGCAAAGTGTCAAAATTTCCGATTAAATTTCACAATGCATTTGTAAATAATGTTAACATAGAATTTTAGTTAGATTTATCTTTTTGCAAAAAGCAATTGAAAATAGAGCTATTAGTAGGAGTAAAGTCAATTTGCTAAATTTAAGTACCACCTGAAATTGTCCATCCTTTTTCTTCTCATTTCTCTTTTCTTTTTTCTTTTTTTTTTGATTCCTAAAAAGTTTTTTTTTTTTTTGTTTGTTTCTCTCTCTCTAAACTATAAATTCAACTATTTGTCACACTTCAGCTTATCCTATTTCCTGTCATCCATTTGGTTGCTTGCCATATTTTTATTTTATTTTATTTATTTTTTCAAACATTTAACGAAATGAAAGATTAACAATGAAATTAAATTGCATATATTATTTATAATTAAAAAAAGAAAATGAAATAAAAACAAAATTGAAATGTTTAGAAAGGAAAGAAAACGAAAACGAAAACAATAATATTTGATTTATGAACCAAAAAATTTTAAATTTTATTTGAAGTTGCATTCATTCATACTATCATCTGTGCTTCTTTCTCATTTAATTTAATTAATCTTTCTAAAAATCTTTGTCACTAATTTAATTATTATCAATTTTCTATCTAACATATAAAATATTTCATCTACGATTTTGCTTTTCTTTTTTATTTAAAAAAAAATCTTTTATAACTATCAATTTTTATTTTCATTTAATTTGTCCAAATTTTTGAAAACAATTAATCCAATATTAATTAGTATAATCATTTGAAATATTTTATTGTTTAATTGATGAATGCATGCAAAAATTATAGCACAAAATTAAAATGATAGCTAAAATATAAATTTAAAAAAAAAAAAAAAGAAAAATATTTATGAATGTGAAATATAAACTTTAATTTTTATGTAAAATCAGAAATACTAACTTAATGAAATCAATGAGAATTAGAAAAAATAAAAGAAAAAGAAAATTTTATTGATGAAAGATAAAATAATCACTGAAAATTTGCATCATATAAGTGATAAAGAATTGAAATTGTAAAGCATTTTTTTTCTTTTAAATTTTTATTTTTTATAAATTTTAGCAAATTGAAATTTTGGCTGAAAATATTAAAATGTAATAAATGAGAATAAAACGAAAAAAAAAAAGGATAAAACATAGGCACTGACATCAAAAATTATTGTTGGTCGTTAGGGAAACAAAAAAAAAAATAAAAGTTAAAAATAAATTTGTCGTTGGCATTTTTCACGAATAATATTTAAAGCAAAACAAAAGTAACAAATCAATAAGAGTAAAGTTAATTGTCATAAAAATTATTTCCTTTTTTAAGAAAAATTTTTCTTTGATTGGAAAAAAAAAAAGTAAAAATCTTTTTTTGCTTTGTCGTAATAAAATAATTATAAAAATTTGGAAAATAGGTTGAAATGAAAAAAAAAAATGAAATTATCTATGAATGTAAATTGTAAACAATCTAAAATGCTAACTTAATGAAATTAGTAAATCTTTCCTTAAATTTAAAAACAAAAATAAATTTCATTAATTGACATTTTAGCTATTATTAACAGTTTTTTTTTAAAATTATTTTTAAAAAATAAATAGTTTATGATACTAAAAAATATTTCATTTTTATATTCAAAACTTTTGATAGAAAAAAAAAATATTTAATTATTGCAAAAATTTGTTAAAGTATAATTTTATCTAAGTAAAACTATAAATAATCTTTCTTATGCAAACAAAATATTTGTTACCAGGAAAAAAGAATTTTTTTCATTTCCTTTCAATTTCAATTTCTTTCGAATTATTAAATATTGAATTTGTTTAGTTATTACTTTACGATAGTAAATTCTTTAAATGATTTATTCTATTTTATAAAAGAAATAAATTTTAATTAAATTTATCTGTTTTCGTTTTTTTTTTCTGAAATAGTTATATGGATGCAATTAAATAAATTAAAAATTGTTATTTCAACATTTAACTCTTAAGTATCACAATTAATTTTGAGATAATAAGTAATAAATGTTATGAAAAATAAGTAAGTAAAGTATAAATTACTTATAGCATAATAACTTACTTATTAAATAATTTGTAAAAATTTTTTTTTTCCTCGTTTAATATATTTAAAATTATCAATAAAAAATGAATTATTAAATCATTTTTTATCTAACGTTTTAATTAATTTTTCAAAAATTTTAATATACCAATGGATGATTGAAAATAAAGATGCTAATAAAAGAAGAAAAAAAAAATTATTTTAAAATTATTTTATTTAAAATTATTATTTTATTTAAAAAATTCAAAATTATTTTATTTAATTAGAGGAAGGTATGAGGGATAAATATTAAAAATATTATAATTTGAAATTTCAATTTGAATAAATTTGCCAACATTTCATAGTTTATTTTGAAAAAAAGAAATGCATTATTTGTTGAAACAATTGGCATAATTTTATATATTTTAATAAATTATAAAATAAATGAATGAATAAATTTGTATTGTTTACTTTATTAATTAATACATAAAAAGGAATTAATAATCAATAATAAAATTAAATAATACTTTTGCACTATTATCGAATTTATTATTTCAATACAAATATTTAGTTAGAGTCATTTGAGTATAATAAACTTTTTAATTAATTATTATCATATCATTGATAAAATATTAAATTTATTGATGAATCATTAGTAATGTTTGAATACAAAAAGAAAGAAAAAAAAGTGCTATAATTATTAAAAATAAGAAAAATAATTTCAGTATAAATGTTTTGTCTATAAAAATTTAGTAATTGATTATTTCGATGATTAATTTTTCTAAATTGAATCATAAAAAGAATGGTTAAATTTAAATATCGATGATTGTTTAATCAATGGCATGATG